GCCAAGTCTGCTGATGCCACTAAACTATTTGGGATGGGTAAGAACAAGGGTTTGCAAGGAGCTCCAAAGGGATCTTTCCAAGCTGGGAGAATAGGCATCAAAATGGCAAATGCAGCTAAATGTAAGTAAATGTAAAGAAATACATGTTGGGGCAAAATATCCCAACTTCAAGTACCGTATTTTTTGCTCTATAAGATGCGCTCCCCCCCCCCCAAAAGGGGAAATGTCTGTGCGTCTTATAGAGCGAATGTGTGTGTGCAGTAAGTCTGTCAGATGTGCAGCCCATGGGGAACTGATGGGGAATGTGCCTGTGATTATGTGCCCATTTGATTCAGAATATTTTTTTTCTTGTTTTCCTTCTCTAAAAACTAGGTGCGTCTTAAGGTCAGGCGCGTCTCATGGAGCAAAAAATACGGTATACACTGATGAGATCCGAGCTGGCAATGACTGCGCAAGAAAGGGATCTTGGAGTGGGAGTGGACAGGTCAGTGAAAAGGTCAGCCCAGTGCACAGCTGCTGTGAAAAAGGCAAACTCCATGCTAGGCATAATTAGGAGGCACAGAAAATAGAACTGTTAACATCTTACTTCCCTTATACAAATCTTCCGTATGCCCCGCTTAGAATATGGGTGTTCAGTTCTGCTTGCCTTACCTGGAAAAGGACATTAATGAGTTGGAAAAGGTACTGAGAAATCAACAAAATTGATCAGGGGGTTGAAGCCGCTCTCCATGAGGAAGCAGTGGCTATGATAATTGGGATTGTTCAGCTTAGAAAAAAGGCAAGCAAGGCGAGTCACAATAAGGTTAAAGGTAAAGGTTTCCCCTTGGTGTTGAGTCCAGCCATGCCTGACTCTAGGGGCGGTGCTCATCTCCATTTCCTAGTCGAGGGAGCCACCGTTTGTCCGCAGACAGTCTCCGTGCTCATGTGGCCGGCATGGCTAAACACCGAAGTGCACGGGACGCTGTTACCTGCCCACTGAAGTGGTACCTTTTTATCTACTTGTATTTGCATGCTTTCGAACTGCAAGATTGGCAGGAGCTGGGACGGAGCAACGGGAACTTGCCCCGTTGTGCAGATTCGAACCGGTGACCTTTCGATCAACCAGCCCAGCTGCAGAGATTTAAACAACTGCGCCACCTGCAGTCCCTTGAGTCACAATAGAAGGGTCTAAAATAATTCATGATGTGGAGAATCTGGGATCATCCAATGAAGCTGATTGCTGATTTAGAACAGATAAAAGTACTTCTTCATACAATGTATAAAAACTATGGAATTAGTTGTGACAGGAAGTGATGATGAGACCCATTTGGATGGCCTTCAAAGGGGGCTGGACAGATTCATGGAGGAGAAGGAGGTGGCTCTCCGTGGCTACTAGCCTTGCTGGCCATATGCTAGCTCAGAGTTGGCATGTGTGCCCACCAGCTGCTGAGGAATCTATGCAGGCAGAGATCTTGCATCCATCCTGCTTGAGGGATCCTGTGGGCAGCTGGTTGGCCACTGTGTGTCTGGAGTGCTTGACTGGATAGACCTTTGGTTCGGCATGGCTTTTCTTATTCTTAATAAAAATGGGTTGCCTCTGTTCTCTTGGACCATGTCAGCTCCCATGGAAATACATCACCAGAATGTTACCAGTGATCCATGGTCTTTAAAGAGAACCAAAATATCTTCAGAGGGATCCTGGATCTCTTTGAAATCTTACTGGGTTAGAAGGAACGCCTGAAGTCATTTCAACATATCATTTTACACATTTCCTTGAGCCCTTGCTTAGAGTTAGCCCTTCGGGAATACATGGCAAAGATATACAAGTTGGGAAAGAAGTCAAGTCACTGTTTGGAAATGAAGGAAGGGCTTCTGCCGAGTAGGGAGCGGGTTAGAGAATGAGAGTGTGCTTAATCCCAACTGTACAACAGCATCCAAGCAACATTTGCTGACTTGACTGCTGTACAACAGCTGCTGCGGCAGCAATGCTCGTCTTGCTGAAAAGGGTGCCTTCCAAGGGGGAGGTGCCAAATGCCTTCTCCCAGCCCAGTGAGGAAGATGCAGGCACTGAAAGCAGCTGCCGCTTTGTGACGGACACACCATTAGATGCTCCTGAGAACAAGAACCCTCGTGCCCGTGACTCTATCTGGGGTTCTCTAACCCAGTCACTGCTTCGTTAAAGAGCCAGTGAATGCTGCTTGCTGACAACATAGTTAGGCCTGCAAGGTGCCGATAGTTTAATAGGAACAGTGGGGATTGGGATCACGCTTGATCATGGCTTTTGGCCATTTAAGGCGCTTCCTGAACACAGGGAAGCAGTTGTGTACTAAAGGGGGCTCTGTCTAGATCAGCCAACCTGGTACCGTCCAGGTGTGCTGGTCTGCAATTCCCATCATTCCCCGCTGGCATGGAATAGAATGAGGCAGCACAGAAGACGAATCCTCAAGGACAGTGGATTTATATGGTTGGACATACCTTTTTTTCATTTGGTCAAGAAAGGTCTTCAGCTTGAACAACCAAGCCTTCAGTGTTGGAGCTTTCCTAATTCCACTTCCCAGAAAGAACAAGAGAGACTTTCTTGTCCTCAGCAGGCCACAAATCCCACTCATTTCGGATTTGGCCCCATAAAACAAAAGTCAGAAACAGTTTTATCTCTCTGTTTTAAACTAATACAGTTTCACTTGCTATTAAATATAAACTTTGTTCAAAATCTTTTGCTGAAGAACAAAACAACATAGGATCAAATGCCCCCCACCCTCTTTTGCTTTTCTTTTATTTCGTTCCAATCCAAATTGAAACTTGCTGTGGGAATCTGAATGCTTATTTGACCAGTTAAAGAGAAGCCAGATGCGCCAGCAGTAAGGTTTGCTCCATCAAAACTTCAGATACAAGCACACTGCTCTTTATATTGTTATGGCTGTCAAGTGAGGGATAACATCTCAAGGCTTTTTAACATCAGTTGCTAAACATGTTTCTGTGCAGAGTACTGTTGCCTGGAACCTGCTTGTTGAAATGAGTATCAATGGCCTTCTATAACTGGTGGCTACAAGCTAGAGTAATGTTATATTTTTTGGAGCAGAAATTCAAGCAAAATTGTTTAGAAGCTGGATTGTGACCAGCAAAGGAGGCCAGAAAATAGCTTTGGTTTTTGTCTGTGTCTTGCAGCTACGTGGAAGAAAATCCTTGTGGTTGTGAAATGGGTTCACAGGGTATTTTTATTTATTTATTTATTTATTTATTTATCAAAACATTTCTATGCCGCCCCTTGCCGAAGCCTCGGGGCGGCTTACAACATCTAATAAATGTATTCCTTACTTTGTTTTGTAGGAAATTAATATGAAGTTTATGAATAGCACTCTCAGGTTCTTGCCTTCTATTTCTCCCTGTGCCAAATGGAATTCTGCACTAGGACAGACTCACGCTACCTATGAACAGGTTGGAGGCAGAGGAACCATCAGAAATTGATCATAATTCTTAGCATGAACCAATAGGGCTCCAAGCAAGCAAAATGGAACACAGAAGTCGCGGCCAGGGCTTTGCTTACCAGGAGCTTAAATCCTAAGAATAACTCACTAAAATAGCCTCCAGTGTTAGCATCCTGGGGCTCCACTTCATGGAGGAATCAGTGCATTACTTCCCAGTCCAAGGAAGGAGAACAAGCTGCACCTACGTTGGAACCTCACCTAAAAGTTCAGGATTACAACATGTGTGGATTGTAAGTCTTTCATAGGCCCAGACACAAACATTCTGCTCCCAGCTGAGTTTACAGTAACTGGTGCATTTTGCTCAAGTTGTAAGCAGCACGCATCTTTCCACCGAAGTTGCTTTCCTGCTCTTCTCAGTCTTGCCTGTTTATTGGCCGCCCTCGGGCTTGGGGCTTAGCTCAGTGGCAGAAAGCCCGCTGCCAGCATGGGAGAGGTCTTCAGTTTACTCCCCAGAAATTCCCGGAGAGCCATGTACATTCAATGCTGATAGTATGGAACTCAATGGGCAAATACACTGCCATATTAGGTTAACTTCCCAGGCCAAGGCACAATCCTGACCTGCCTCTACTCAGGGTTAGAGTCTTTGTGCACCAGCTGCCGTGGGCCTGAACTGGCCTCAGGTTGCCCTCTGAGAGGCCCCTGCGACGGTGCAGGCAGACAGTCCAAGCACAGTCCCTTCGCCCTTCGGTTACGACATTTTTGTATCCTAGAACCACCATGCGGCTTAAAGTCTTTTTGCTGTTTAATTCTGCCTTCTTTAGGACCTTGTAGAAATTTGATCCCCCGCAGAGCGTGAATAGACGGACAAGTTATGCTCAGCACAACTCTATTAATGTACGAAGCAATGGAAAAAAGTTTTGGGAGAGAACTGGGGAAGGAGAGGCTTGGATTCCTGCAGAGCTCTCCGCGTGCTCTGTAGATGAATCTCCTCCAGGCAGAGCCGAAGGGGGTAAAAGCAGGAGACAAAGGCTGCAACCCTCTCTAAACAGGAAGACTTTAAAATCCAGCTTCTTTCCTGCGGTGCTGCAACAGCCACCACAGTGACTTCCACAAAACTCCGGCTGGAGATCAATATCAGCATCTTTTGGGGGATGCAAAAACCGCTGGAGAAAGTTACGCTTTCCGAACTGCAGAGAGCGGAGGTGTTTTGCTCAGGCTACCCAGCAAAGCGCGGTGTCCCCCGCTCACTCTTGCATCTTTTCCTTGCCCCTTATCATGGAAGGAAATGAGATCTGCCTGGAAGCGAATCCTGCCGTTACGAGATTGGTTTCCTCTCAGCAGTTTGTGCCCTTGAGGATTTTCCTTCCCCCAACCACGCGCAGCAATGCGAGGAAGAGCCCTGAGCTTACCATGTGGATCTCCGCACTTTCTCCTTTTTAATTTTTGGTGCGCCAGGACGAAGTTCGTGCTATCGCTCGCAGATGCTTCTTGGAAGGCGAGAGGGGGTGCGTGTCGCGGGTCTGGCGCTCTGCAACGACGGCTGCCCCCCGCCCCACCCCAGCAGAGCCCGTGAGCAGCAGCGGAGCCCCCTCCCTCGGGATGGGGGGGCTGCAGTGAAGTAAGCAACTGCGTGTGGCTTGCGCTCATGTTAACATCGGAGGGATTGCTGTGGAGGCGACGTGGGAATTGCGTGCTTGCTGGCTGGCGGGGCGCGGGGGGGCATGGAGGTTTACAGGCATGGAGGTTTTTGTTGCAACTGTGTTGTAAACCGCACAGCGAGCTTCGGCTCTTGGACGGTACAGGAATAGTAATCAACTAATAATGCTTATACCTATTTGGCGATGCAAGAGAAAAGTGCAGGCGAGCAACCGTGGGTGCCTCTCTGGGGATAAGGCAGCACCCGCACGTGCCACCCTGGCCGGGGAGCAGGAGCGGAGGAGCGCGGTTGTCGAGGGGGAAATTCTGCGGGACGAAGGCTGGGGCGGGCACGTCGTGGGGATGGCGCGCGTCTGGCAATGCTGCCTCGTGGAGGTCGACCCGTGGAGAACGCGGGAGATGGGCCGGGATCCCCTGCTTGGCCCCATCCCAGGGCGCGGGGATCGGACGCCAGAGGGTCGTGGGTAAAGGGAGTGGGGTCCCCGCTCCCTCCTTAGGGGGTTTCCGCGTGGAAGCAAAGCAGACGCGCGTTGGGGGAGGGGAGGCTCGCGGAGCCGTCGAGCAGAGCACGGGGCGGCTTCGCTGCGCGGGGGGCGTCCGCGTGGCCGGGCGGCAGGCGAGGACTGCGCTCGGCTCTGCGCGCGGGTGGCGGCGGGCGAGGCTTCGGCTGTGGGGAAGGAAGCGTGAGGCACCCGCTGGGTGCGTGTGGGCGCGCTGGAGAAAGCAGGAATGTGGGGGGCGAGCAGACAAAGCGGGGGCCGCGGCTGTGCGCGGGGCGCTCCATTGTGCGCGCTGGAAGGAAGCGGGAGAGACGTGGGGGGCGGAGGGGGAGGCGGCGGCGCGAGGGGGGCGCGGGGAGGGGGCTGCTCCTCTGGGGCGGGCGGGAAGCGGCGGGGGCTTCCCACACGCCCCGGGGGGGGGGCGGGGCGGGGCGGAGGCCTGTCTGCTGGAGGGAAGGGGCAGCGGAGGCGAGGCGGGCGAGGCATGGCTCGCCAGACGTGGGGGGTGGGCGGGCCGGCGAGCGGCGGCGCGAGGGAAGCGGTGCAGACACGGGGGCAGGGCGGGCCCGGCGCTGCCTTCCCGGTTGGAGGCCCCCCCGGCCTTCCCCGCCCCTGCTCGCCCCCTCACGCCTCCGGGAGAGGACTCGGAAGCGCGGGGCGCGCCGGCTCCCTCCGCGCGCCTCCCCGTTGCGCTTTGTGGCGCCGTCCCGCACTGCCCTGCTCGCCTCGGCTGCAGAGGTGCTCTGCACACCTGGGGTCCGACTGGAACCCGTCTTTCCCCCAGATGTGCTGGCCGGGGACAGCGTCGCAGTCCGGCACACGGGCGGGCGCCGGGTTGGCGGGAAGCGGTTGCAGCCCACTTGCCTAGGTCGCGAGCGCCATGGGGTAGCCCCACGGATGAAGCTCTGTTGTTAAACCTGCTGGGGGGGGGCGGGCGGGTGAGTATTTCCTGGCTTGCAACGTGATAACAACACGTTGCACTGGCGTTCCAGGATTTTTGCCGATTCTTGCCATGATTTCGCTCATTTCTATGCCACCCAGTAGCTGGTGCTCCATGGGCAGTCCGCAGCAACAAGGGAAACCATAAAATGCAACGTGAAATACACCGGAAGAGTTTCGATCTTTGGCGAGAAATAGAAGGAAAGTCAAAGTGAGCAGAAATACAAGCACTTAATGTAGGGTGAGGGTGCTTATCCTGGCCTCCACCCGCACCACAGCCCTGGAGATCCGCACTGTGCCACATACCTTGTGCTGGATGCATGCAACCCTCTGAGTTGAGACCTTTACGTGCATGAAGAGGTGGCAACATAGGACAGTCCTGTGCATATTTACTAATGGGGAATTGTAGGGCTTTTTTCCTGCCTGAACTTGCATGGGATTTCACCTTCAAGGATTTAAAATAAATACTTTTATTTTTTAAAAAGTGTGACGTAGATTTAGATTTGGGGTCATTTCTTTGCCTGTCTTGGGAAAACAACTGTCCTTCTGCTGGTCAGTCTGTATGACTGTTGCTGCTTCACTTGCCTCACAGGAGGATAAAATCAGATACCCACTGTGGTGGAAATGGACACACACACACACACACACGGAGCATGAAAGGGAAAGAATTATGGCAGTGCACGTGAAAATGCTGTTCAAATATGAATATTTTCCCAGTTTCTGTTTCAATGCCGACTACAGGATCCAGTGATGAGAAGAATTAGAGACAGGCTATAGTTTAGATTTTTGGGGTGTATAAATTTGGAACAGCTTTAACGTATTACTATAAATTATCTTGTGGGTTGCTTCATTAACAAAAAAGCATGCTATAACTGAGTTATAAGCGTGCAATCCTATGCAGGCTGTGCTGGCTGGGGCATGCTGGGAGTTGGAGGCCTTTTTCCTGTCTAAACTTGCATAGGATTGTGCCTTAAGTAAATGAGAACAATATAAAACCTCTCACTCCATTTCCGTCTCTGCAACATATTCCACTCGTCTTGGGATTCCTTCCTCGCTGTACATGGAGCTTTGCATTGGCAGTAACAGAGCCCACTCCTATCCATTTCTACTTCTGGGTCATTTCCTGCAGATCCCTTTGGATCTCTTTATCTCCTGTGATTCTTCCTGGAGCTGATGTGGCTTCCAGTGGCCATTCTTGTCCCTCATTTGAGTGTGTTGCTGGCCTGAGAGAGACCACACAGATATTAACATGTAGTTCATAGCACGTACATTGACTCAGGCTGCGTTTCCTCATGACAGAGTAAGCTGTTCACTCCTGTGGTAAGGAAAGAAAGACATACCATATGTGGGAAGGGGAAAACAGACCACGGTTGCTTTCACACAACAGTAAGCAACCCTGTATGGTATACAGGGTTGTTTTCCACCTTGATCTACCTGACAGACAACCAAGTAGTCCCTACTTTAGCATGGTTTCCATTCTCCCTGCTCAGTCCTCCCACCATCAGTCACTGTGCCTGAAAGTCAATCCCAAAGTGTATCACTGCCTGCCTCTTTCTCATTGGTCCACCCATAGAGGAGGATGGCTAGAGTGGCTGCTGCAGTGGCTGTGCTTTCCAGGTGGCTCTGTGGTAGTAGCATACCAGCACAGTGGAAACCACGATTCTGGGTCTAGGCAATATGACAAGCCGCAGTGGTAGAGAGAAACCACAGAACAAACTGGTTTGTTATCACACAGATAGTAGATACCATCTGCATATGGAGAAATATAGGAATATTTGGTTTGCCTTTGTTGAAACTTATGCAGAACTACTTATCCTGATAGTGCAGTATTTCCTTATATGCAGGTGATACACAGGCATATAATTTCCATATAAATTTATTGCAACTGTTATACCTAGCCTTTCCGCAAAGTAAATGTTCTTCATTTTTGGTTTTGTTACAACCATAGAAAATTCCCAATAGCACATTTTTAAAAAGTATTTTTCTGAACCATCCAGAGAGTTTTGGTTGAATGGCAATATAGAAATGCAAGAAATGACTACAATGTGTAATTAGTTGCATTCATCAGAAGGCACAGGAACTGGCAAACTCAATGACAGAGCTTTGGCCTGGTGCAATACAGCAGCGCGCTGGTGTATTCTGGGAATCACATGGCATTGCTTCGCTCTTCTTCTTTTGCAAAGGTCAGCTGACCTCGGCTGTTTGTCTGCACTACAGATGATGGCTGAAATTAGCACGATGCAGCCTGCCTTCTCCAGGCCTCCTCTCAGGCCCAGCGTGGCCCGGGGTTTATGAGCCGTCTCGTCCAAGCTCTGCCTCGTGGACACTGCAGAATGGGGAGCAGCGGCTCAGCACTGAAAGTTTGCGCGGAACACCAGGGAGGCATTAACTGGCTCAGCCTCAGTCCCGACGGGCAGTGGCTTCTGACAGGCAGCGAGGATGGCACTGCTCGGCTCTGGAGCACTGCCGACAGCCAGTGCCGGGCCCACTTTCAAGGTACGTAGCCAGCCTTTCGCCAGGACTGGTGTCAAGGGAAGACACGGGGGGACCTGGCAAGAATTCAGCCAGAAGTCAGTCTGCCCCAGGCAATGGTGGCCGTGGGAAGGTGGCGTAGGAGATGCTGTGGCCGACTTGTTCACAGGCTTCTGCCTCTCAGGCAATGAAGGGGTTATAATAACGTGAAGAAAGACGAGAAGCAAGAGCAGCTGGTGTCAATAGCCGTGAGAAGGTGCACACAAGGACCCAGGGGGCCTGTTGTGGTCTCTTGCCTGAGGGACCTCAAAAATCTGGACATGGCCTTCTCCTCCAGTGCTAATGCTGCGATACAGCCCCTTCCGAGTCCCGGTTAAATTTTATTGATCTCTGTATGGTGGTGGAAGCTGCATCATAGAATATAGCCTGTTGCACCCCTTTGTCAGAATCCTAAGACTAATGCTCGGATCAGTGGAAGTTTCTGCCCTTCTTAAATTCCTGCAAGTTGCCTTCTAATAGTTGAGGCTCAGAAATTGAGGCATTGCAGGTACAGAAGGGAAAAGGATAATGATAAACTTGAAAGTTTTTGAAAGCAGGCATGGTGCAAAAGCTAAGCGTGCATTTTAACAGAATATAAGATCTACCAGTGGGGAGGCAGGGCTGGTCCATCAGGAAAAGTTGGAGTGAAAAGGTGTCGAAAACAGGTGTGTGAATGTGGTCATGGAAAATAATACATGGATCCTGGATGAAGAACATTCCAGTAGGAGGGAGAAGCAAGGGCAAAGAGGTTCGGGAGGGTACCAGGTTCCAGACAGGTGTGGCCTTCATACAAGGTCTACTTAGCAATGCTATGAAGAGCAGGATCATAGACCTGGATCAGATTTCTCTTAGGCTCGGGATGGGCAACTTAGGCTCTCTAAATTTCGTGTCCACCTTTGGCAAGGTCAGCAGAAGAGCGAACAGGAAGAGTTTGGAGGTAGGACTGCACTGAAAGGTTAGTTCAATGTGCCTGAACTACACAGAGAGAACAGAGCAGCCTTGGAGATGGGTCTCCGAAAAGAAAGACGTACAAGTGTTTTGGAGGCATGAGACCATGGAGGTGATGCTGCTGCCCTGCACAGATTCTTGTCCTGTGACTTTACACAGTGGGTCAGTTCTGTGATGTCATCGTTTGCATGTTTCCCACCTTCCATAGGTTAATCTGGACATTAGAATGCACATACATGAGTAGCCCGTCATGAGTAACACAAGCATTTCTCTTTGTAAAATTCCAGGGAATATTAATGTGGGGTTTCAGACAGTGGCCATCCAAGTTCCTATGGGGTGCCTGTAAGCTGAAAATAATGACGGCAGCCATTCACAGTGGTGGGAATTTTCCTCCTCCTGCAAATAGGAAGTATGCCAGAGAGGGGCTACTCTGATTAGAACCACCATAGGAGCAACAGCTTACAGCCCCCTCCCTTCACGTGGCAGTCCCAATCCAACTATTTGCTAAAGAAAAATCAATTACATATGGGCAGACTAAATGCCAAAGAACGTGTCTTGTTTGGCTCTTAGAAGGAGCTAAGAAGTTGACTGATCTTAGAAGGCCAGGAGAACGTGGGGGAGAGAAATGCAGCCAGATGCTTGCTGCGACCATCAGTTTGCCCTGGGACATTGTGACTTGCTCCAGATTGAAAATGTGCAAATGCAAATTGAGCTATGTGGAAATGCTGCCAGAGGTAGCAGCGTCTTTCCCTGCACGGCTGCATGGTTTTCATCTGAAGTATCTTTTTCATTGCCCTCCTGGAGTCTCTTCGTACCTCAGTCCATCAGATAAACTGTTCTACTGAACAACAGAAGTTTATGCAGCTGAGTAAATACAACCCCACTGAGCTGGCACAGCCACTTAACTGCTGACTCTCAGGTTGTTTTCATCTTTAGAATAATAAATGTTGCTTTAAATACAATCCCCATACAGTTTAACCTCAAAATCATTTAAGAATGAAGAGGCCTTCATCTTTGCACAGAAGGAAATGCCCATTAAACAAGGAGCTTGTGGGCTTGAAAAGAAAAATCATAATGGAAGCAACGAAAGCGTTCCTTTCCTTGATTCTGAAAAAGCTTGAATTTCTGAAGTGTTAGTCATCTTTCACATAGCATGTGTTCTTCCCACCCACCTGTTAAATATAGAGAATAAGTATAGGAGAATTTAATCCATACCTCTTTTTAGCAGCTAAAGAGCGTTTAGCTTCTACTGATCTCTGTAAGGCTTATTCTCAAAAATACATAGGTTATGCTTATGTGTCAATTCTGAGATACAGGTTTGTGGTGAGTTTATGTTAGACAGTAGGAAAAATGTTCTCAGAGCAGCGATTTTATGACTCCTTCCTTTAAGAAGAAGCTAAATAAATGTATAAATGTAGACAAGCTTTAAGCAGAATTAGTAATGCCTTCCCCTTTCTGGTACACTGCCGTTCTTTGAGTTAAATTGGATGTTTAGGGAACGGAAGAGAATTTCAAACACCCACCATTAACTACAGTTTCTAGGGATGCATGGATGGAAACTGTGACAGACAGGCTGTTGGAGAATTGATATACCCTTTTGGTGTATCTCTGAGAACCCTTTGAGTTCTGTGACAGTCATGAGGCTTTAAACCCCCTTTTTTGGATAGGTCACCAAACGAAGAATTCTGATTTGTAATGTTCAGCAACTCGTACTGACCATTTTCAGTTCTGTGTATTCTTCCTAGGGCACGAAAGCTACATTACCTTTTGCCACTTAGAAAATGAAGTAGCGTTCACATGCAGTGCAGATCACACCATCAGAAAATGGGATGTGATGACAGGTCAGTGCCTCACTGTTTATAGAGGTCACACATCCATTGTGAATAGGTAAGTACTCCGGAACCTCTGCTCAGAGCTGCCGAGCTTCTCTCCCTCTATCCATCCCATCAGCAGCTGACTTCCTGACCCTCCTTCACCATTTATTGTTGTTTTAAAACTGTTCGTATGCCCTGCGTTGTATTGCACAAGCAGATTGTCTGAATTTCTGCTACACGTGCTTCTTGGCTGCCTGGTTAGCTTATTCTAGCAACATGCTGACACAGCTCCAGTCTGGGGACAAGAGACCGGCAGAAAAGCAAAGAGGAACTGAACCAAATCCACTGCTGGAAATTCCAGCTCAATTGGTAACAGATGCACCTGATAAAGAGATCAAAAGGAGTTGTGTTAAGCATAGTCTTAGTAGTAAAAAAAGAGAAAAGAAAAGATACAGACATGGGTTTGTTTAAAGAGTTGGAGTCTTGCCTTTCTGCTGATTACCCCCAGAGAAGCTTAAAGCTGGAAGCTGTTTTCATTACACTGAATGTGCGCTTTATTCATAAGCTGTAGGAGATCCTTTCTGGGGGCTGTTGCCAAATGTATTTCAAAGAAACAAATTATCTAGATAAATTAGTGACATTTGCTGGATACAGATGATCACTGCTGTGTGATGACCACCTATCAGCTCACCCCGGGCTTCTGTAAAAATTTTGAGGGGTTTGGTCACCTGCAAGCAGTGGAACATTAGTGGAACTGGAACCGCATGATTCAGCTTGCTTTGCTCTGTGGTGAAGGGCTTGGGCTAAGCAACCGCCTGCAGCCACGGGTATTGGGGATGGTGTCCTTCCCCCACTCCTGGAAATATGGCAAATGCTCTACTGAAAAAGGACAAATTCCAGGAACTAGTACGAATTTCCTGTGGAACCCTGTATTTTGTCAGGCATACTATAAATCAGTTAAAAAGTCTGAGAAGAAAACTACAGTGGTGATTAAGACTGCAATTCCCTACATGCTTACCTGAGAGTAAGCCTCATTTAATTCAGACTTCTGAGTGTCCTGCATGGTAATGCACTGAAAGGGTCTAAAAAGCAAATCCTGTAAGATAGGCTTAAGGAGCTGAAAAACACTCTGAAAAGAGATCACTGTGTGTCTGGGCACCCATTGGCAATATTATTATTTTATACCACTATTATAAAACATTAACTAATGTTATAATACTAAAATATTCTAAACTGTTTCAAAAAATTGAAGCATCTGATTATAATTATCATCACCCTATGCAGAGAGGCTGTGTCTTTGGACTCACAGGTAGCTGAGTCAGGTGAAACATCACAAAGAGAAGCTAATGGTAAAAGCAATTTGGCAGTGGAAAAGCAGTCTCAGGGGGCTGCAGGTGGGCTCAGCAGTCCTGCTTGCGTGATCAGTTTATCTGGCGACATGCTGACGCAGGCGCAGCCTATGTGCCTCCCCTTGTTAAGTTCTTCTGGACCAGCGGAGACTCTAATTGGGACTTCAGAGGGGCTGTGGAGGGGGCTGAACCCTGAGCCCCGATGGGGCAGCGCCATGGAGAGTTCCTTAAAGTTCAGCCGCCACCCGGAATGGCTGCACAGCCGGCTCAGTGGAGATGCTCAGAACCCCCTTCCTTAGGGCACCATGTGGACATGTGGCTGTTTTCCCAACAGGATCCTGGTGTCCAAGGATTATCTCTTCAGTGGCTCTTATGACAGGACCGCGCGTTGCTGGAGCGTGGATAAGGAGAAGCCCCTGCAGGAGTTCCGGGGCCATCGCAACTGCGTTGTGACGTTGGCGCTCTACTCCTCGCGGGATGTCCTTGAAGATTCGGAAGAGGAAGAATCGGAGGAGGAGAGGCTCAGCAGGGACTTCCTGGTGACCGGGAGCACAGACTGCACGGTCAAGGTCTGGTGGGTGTCCAGTGGGCGCTGCCACCAGACCCTCTTGGGGCACACGGGGGCCGTCTTATGCCTTATCCTTGATGCTCCGAACAGGGAGCTCTTTTCCGGCAGCACGGATTACACCATCCGGACATGGAACATTGTGACGGGCGAGCAACTGAGGGTGTTCCGGGAGCATCAAGGATCTGTCATTTGCCTGGAGGTAAGACGTCGATCGTGTTTCTGTGGGAGGTGCCTTGCTGCTTAAAGCGCTTGAGCAACTGCCCGGACCAGCTTTGCTGGGAAGAGAAAAGCAGGAGGAGAAAACAACGTAGATAAGAAACCGCTGTATGAAGGGGAGTCAGAGATGAGCTGGTGGGTGGTCACAGCTGAGAAGGCATGTGGAAATGTCTGTGTTTTTGGGAGAAGACTGCCAGTATGAACGCCATGCCGCTGTATTATATCCATCATAAGACAGAAGAGTTGAGAGTTACCACTTCTGCAGTTTGCATTCAGCAGATTCCAGGACAGGTAATAAGTTGTGGTCAAAGTCAGGGACAGGGATAAGACAACAGGTTGAAAGTGCATTGCTGTTGAATGGCAGGTTCTTGTTCAAATGCAGGTTCTCGTGTTGTTAGAGCCCAGCCAAGATAACAAGCCATGGTGAGCAACCCACGTTCTATAACCCAAGAATACACCATGGGTTCCCTTCAAAGGCTGTTTGTGGTTAAGAAACCTAGTCCCCGCTAGTTCAGACAGCATGATTTGTTGTTGTTAGTTGCGAAGTTGCGTCCGACCCATCACAACCCCATGGACAACATGACCTGTCCGTCTTGGGTGGCCCTGCTCGACATAGCTCATAGTTTCATTGAGCTACACAAGCCCCTTCGCCACGACAAGGCAGTGATCCATGAAGGAGGACAGCATGATAACCCACAACAATTCACACTTTAGCAGCAATCTGCACTAACTCACATTCTTGTGTTGACTGAACCCAGCCGATATGAGGCAGGGCCTGGAAGAAGCAAAGCTCGCTTAGTCGTCTGGTGGGCAGAATGAAGGACTGCAAACATTGATTTCTTGATGTCATTTCACTGCATTCCATTATTGTTGTCATTAATGCATTGTTTGATAGATTCAAAGCCCAAATACCTCCTCTGGTAGAAAGAAGGAGCAGGTGCTCTCTGGTGAGGAATCTGAAAGATAAAATAAATCCTAGCCTATTTTTCTGCGGAGAATGTATTGCAGCCTCCCGCTCAGGAAAAGAAGGGATGGTGAGCAGTCTTGGCCAGACTGAGGGAACTTTCTCTTAGCTGAGGACTTTCCTGCCTTTTCTAGGGATTTGGGGGAGGTGTTTCTTCTTCTGGCCCTTTGATGCCGCTGAAACATCTTCACAGGTTTGCCAAAAGGAGCACCTGCCAAAGACTTGAAATGTATGCTCCATATCCATGTTAGTCTGATCACATCTGCTTGCAGAAAAAGTGCATCGCTTCTAAGCTGGTAGCTGCCAGCCTGGCTAGAAACCTTGCACAGCTTTCCCAGACTACACAGAGGACTGAATTCCACCGTGCTAATGCTCCAGATGTTCCCTAGCCAGAGGAAGAAACAGTGGGAGAACATGGGCAGCTTGCAAGTGGAAGACAAAGTTGTGTGTACCTGCTGTGAAGGAGCAGGACAGCTGCACAACAGAGGCTTTGTCTGGGCAGCAAAAGACATACAGCCTGACTTAAATCCACAGTTTTGAAACCAGAATGGCAGGATAATGTCACTGTCCATTAGGGCAGGGGTGAGGGTGAAGTCGCTAGACTACAGCTCCCATCTTTCCCGCTCATTGGCCATGCTGGTTGGGGCTGATAGGGCATGGAGTCCAATTTCTGGAGGGAGGCTGTGAGCACCAGCTAGGGAAGCCACATAAGCCAGAGGTAAGGAAAGGAATGCGGGAAAGCTTCCCTTATCTCTCAACTCACTTCAGCTGCTCGCAGGAGCTGGAAAAGCCCTTTCGTGTATCTTCAGTCTCTTCAGTTTCAGGAGAGATTGAAGATAAGGAGAGTTGTTTCCAGCCTGTCTGTGTTTTTCCCTGAGGAAGCCATGGGCCTGTTCACAGATATCCCTGGCGAAAACCGCATGGCGCCCTTTCCCACAGGGTTTCCTGTAAGGCTCTCGCTGCTCCTATGGGGTCACTGTGCCCAAGCTCACTGGCCTGTTTTTGAGGAGCTGTTTTCCCCGTTGCTGTGAAAAATCCCCTCTACTGTTTTCCTTCCTGAACTTTATCACACATATTCATTCTCATTGCAGGAGCTTTATTCTGTGTTGGGTTTTGCCCAAAGCAGGGAAGGGGCATTGCTCTTTGATGCCCCTTTGCTGGTTGCCACCTTTAAAGGTTCAGGGGAGGGGAATCCAGGAACTGGGATTTTAATGCCTCAGTGGACTGCATGCGACAACTCCCTGCAAAAAGGGAGACGGGCATCTCTAATGACCCCGTTTGCCCTCCAAGCTCTGAATACAGTCCAAGATCTGTCAACTGGCCCCTGCTAGGCTGCATGGACCTGGGTAAGAATTGCTGCTTTGGGCATGGAGCGACTCTAGTCTGGCTGCCCCAAAGCACATTTCTTGCTGTGGAGAGAGATGTCGGCACCACAAAGACGCAGGGGCTTGTTGTGCCAGGTCGAAATTGCAGCTTGATCAGAGAGCCCTTGATTCTGAAATTAGGGCGGTGATCTTACGCACACATACCTGGGAGCCAGTCCCATTGTGCTCGGTAGGACTTAATGCTGAGCTAGACGTGCAAAGCTTATGCTATATAGAAGTGGTGCGAGTGGCAGCGGTTAACCTGTCAGTGCCATAGGTATGAATGAAGGTTTTGCTGACAGATTGCTGGATTGCTGCCCATGGAAGTGTGGAGAGATTTGAGGAAAGTAAAGCTGCTCTCAATGTGTGTACATATGAGGTTATTTGAACAATTGACCAGGAAAAGCACTGGGTTTTGCTGTTGGCTGTGAGTGGAGCATGTACCTGTGAGCCAAAGGATCTCCTGAGCACTTCTGTTCCAGGTACCGCTGGTGCTTATACAAAAGAGCACAGACACAATCTTTAACAGCCACATATAGGCAGAACAGATCTAACGGCCGAGCCAGAATGGTACGGTTTGAAATGTGGGTGCCATCTAGACATTTCCCAGGGCCACATGCCCAGGGAGAGGCTAAGAGGTGCAGGCAGCTGTGTGGATCCATCGCAGGAGACCAGCACTCGCAATTTTATCTCTACTGGCCTTTTGTAAAGCCAGTGGGTCTATTGCCCATCCAGAGCCAAGCCATGCCAAAAAATGTTGCTTTATAAAAAGCAGTATTACTCGGACCCAGTTCTCACTGCAAGGTAAGCCGTGGTAGTATGTTAAATATCTGTGGAACCTGTTCCCTGTTTTAGGGTTGTGACAGCTTCCTAGCCACATGAATAACCCATCCTGAGCCAGTTGGTATATGGCAGTGATGGTGAACCTTTTAGAGACCGAGTGCCCAAACTGCAACCCAAAACCCACTTATCACGAAGTGCCAGCACTGCAATAAAACCTGAAAACTGGTTTTAGTTTAGAAAAAACAGCTCACAGCCAGTCCAATTAAGCAAATGTCTGTCTGTCTGTCTATCTGTCTATCTGTCTGTCTATCTCTCTCTCTCCTTGGCAGCACACTGACCAGCCATGAGAAAGCTCAGACGAGTCATGCCTAATGAGTCGTGGCCCGTGAGATCATCGCCGACACTCCTTTCCGAGCATGCGCATGGCCCCTATGTACGCTGTTATGCGATGCTTGGCTGCTGGGCGATGCTGGGTTCACTTAGCTCATGTTCCGACAGAGAGGGCTCTGCGTGGCCGCTGTGGCACACGCGCCGTAGGTTTGCCACCACTGGTATAGGACAAGCTGCGACAGCCTCCTGCCATGTTTACATATGAAAAATGCTGGCTGGTCGGTATGCTTCCCAGATCTCCATACCGATGGGGCTGTCATGATGTGCAAACGGGCCCATTTCTTTTCTTTCACAGCTGATGGAAGGGCTGCAGCTAAGCTGAGAGGAAACGGGGGAGCCGGAGTGGGGTGCTGATCAGAGGGTGCGCATGCTGTAGCTGTGCCAACCTGGGCTGCGCTCCCCCACTGCCTTTCAGCTGCTCCAGCTCCCCTGCAGAACTCCATTATTCGCTTTAATTTGGGGAGGGGTCCATGCCCCGTGGGCTGCACTGGCCCTCTAGATGGCGTCCTAGGTCCGAGCCGTGGTATTTCTGTGTAAAAGGATCTCAGAGGCAGGTTTAGTTGGGTTCCCTCTTGGGGTTGCGAATAACCAGCTAAACGCAGTGGCTGAGTTCACACAACATGACCACCACCCTGGCAATGGTGGGTTGGTTGTTTTGCAGTGAGCCAGGCACCTTGTGGGGACGTCCCTCCTCCTCTTCCTCCTCCAGGCAGGGGGCATCACAAGCGGGAACACGTCTCCCCTCTCCTAAGCCACCATTGCAAGCGAGTTACAGCTTGTGTCCTGAAGCCCAGCCGGCTAAACACCTAGGCCAGGCTAGATCCCTCCCCCTTGCCCGCTCCAGTGCCCAGCAGGAGGGATGGGAGACACACACCTCCTTCCCTGTAGGAGGAAGTGAAGGGTCCTGATCCGCTTGGCCACACAGCCTCAAGCATGGCGCAGGCCACTGAGCGGATTGCCGGGTTCTGCCACCCTGGGCTGGGGAAGGCAGGCTTGCCTGGGGAAGCCGCCCTTAGCGGCAGCAACTCGAGCCCGAGGCAGGGCGGTGGAACGGATCCCCTCCTGCCTCTTGCACGAAAGGCCTCCTCTCAGGCAGGAGGTGGGGAGGCCCGATCAGCTTGGCGGCCCTGCCTCAAGCACAGGCTGGTGCCTCTGAGCAGAGAGCCAGTTCCTCGCTCCTGCTCTGGGGCTGGAGGCAGCGAGGGGCCTGATCCATTCTGTGCTGCGGCTCCGAAGCTGGGGCAGAGTACCGGAGAGCGGCTCCCTCGTGGGGGCTTGGTGAGGAGGAGGGGGTTCCAGCCATCCTCACCGATGGCTGGGGAAGTCTGCTCCGCCCTGCCCCACAGTTCTGACAGCAGAGACGGCTCCGCGCCCCGAGTTTGAGTTTCACGGACCACAGCTGGCTTCGGGATGGCAGTATGGGCATATGCCAGGAGAATGCCCGTCCCTTCCAGGAGCAGTTCTGCTTTGGTTGCTAACGGAGAAAATAGGTGATCGCCACCAGGCATACATGCCCCAAGAGGTCCGAGTGAGTTCGGTTGTGCTCGCTGCTTTCCAAGACCGGCTGTGCTTTTCTCGAACAGCCGCTCTGCTGGGAAATCAGCCAGAGGGAACAAAGCCTTTCCAAAGGCAGCCAAGAAACACGCAGCCACAGAGTCCGTGTGGCTCCTTCAGCCACAGGCAGATTATAATTGGGAATTGTGTCTCCCCAGTCATTTTTTTGAACTGGCCATTGCTCGGATGGGGCTGTGTTCGGAAAAGCTCTGGCCGAACGGCTCCCCCCGCTCTTCCCGGCCCCCGACCTTCCTAATCACGGAAAATTAATCTCTGTTCTTGTTGAGGAAAGGCAGCCAGCCTGTCTCTCTAATGAAAGAAATTAAAAGCACGTTTTGCAGTGATCGACTACTTAATTTTATCTTGACATTAATGCGGGGAAGGTCTTGCATAGGCCTTCCTGTCACATTCTTGGTCTGTGCCTCACGATACAGGATACCTTAACTTTTTCCATTCCATTAGCCAAATGAATGTTGTGGGAAACATTTTTTATTAAAATAATGGATCATTTCTGGAGGCAAGCATTCCTTCCGGGGGATTTGGGCTGGGGGGCAACAGATTGAGGCTGTGTGACTGAGCAAGTTAAACGGCTCTGCGGGGCGGAGGGCGGGGGGTGTTGGTCCATGTAGGCTTTTGGTGGGGGAAAATAGCTTAAAAACAGCAAGTGGTGGCGGTGGAGGGGTGATAATGCAAGACCTTGGCAAAGGGATGTCCAGCTTCTTGGGGTCTGTAACTGGACTTACACTTTTATATTTCAGCAAATCCCCTTTTCTGCTTACCTCCTGGCTTGCTGAATTGCCTCCACCTGTCCAGGTTTGCCCAGGTTAGCCATGAGTTAAACTTGCCCAGTCTGGCAAGTCTTCTTTTATATCAGAAATGCCCCCAGAAAAGATTGTCTGTATCTCTAGTCGCACTGGAGATGTAAACTCCAGTTGTCCGGCTTTGTTAGCACCTGCTTTGGGCAGTTGGAGGGTGGACTGGTAGACCTTCTGTGTGGTCCAGGCAATTTCTTAGGTTCCTGCTCGCTTGTTCTCCACATGCATCTGAAATTGACTGCAGTGTCTCATTCATCTACATAAAAATAGGTGGACTGTGTAACCTCTGGAGTTGCATGTTCTAATTAATTATCAACAACAAGCATTAAGAAGACTTAGGAAGCTTGGAAGGGATCCACATACATCAGAAATATAACTGAGATAATCTTTAGCAAAGGCCCCTTGTCCCATCCCAAAAGTTCAAGGCACATGAAGCTGAAGCCAAGAAGGTGCAGTTGTCCAGTCTATGCTTTGACGGGCGACCGTGTGGGAAGCTTGGATTCCGTAAGAAGGAGCACCAATGTAGTGAACAAATATCTGGCTGAGGAGCCTGCAAGCCATGGGTTGTCCGTTCTGATATCATAGCTGAGGTGAGAGGTGGAGAGTTCCATTTCTCAGGTCATGCGCAATAGCCAAACAATTCTATGGTAGCTGGGCTATACCAGCTCTATTCTGCTCTAACATCTGGATCAATAAACACAACCTCTGGACCAACAGATCTGCTGGTTCAAAGGAGTAGAGAGCTTCGGTTGCTTTAAAGGTAGGGGTGGGGACCAGCTTTGAACCTGGGGGGCAAAAGTAAAGGGAGAAGAAGTGGCACATGTAGCTTAAAGTTCTTAGCCAGTAATTAAACCTTAGAAGAAGCATTTTGGCCATTTAGAATGGGGAAGAATCCCCCAAAGCCGGGCAAGGACTAAGTGATGGATGACTGGGGAAATGGGGAAGGCAATGGCCTTCTGGGGAATGTGGGAACTGTGGGGGAAGTGAGGTTGGTCCTTTGGCCTGCGTTTTCCTGCTCTGAGGGACCTTCTCCCACCTGCAGTGGGCAGAGTGAGCATTGTTTTTAATGTTCCACTTACGTATTTCCAGGATGTATAGAGCATTCCATATTCCAGTATGGTGATGGCTGAGTGATGAACCATAAAAATAAAGCCAGTGAAAGAATAAAACAATAAGAAAATTACTACAACCGGGAGCTTAGGGAGGCATTGCAAAAAATAAGTCTTTGCAGGAGTTGCCAAAAACAGCGCCATGTTGGCACCTGCCTGACCTGCAGTTTCAGGGAGTGCCAAGGAAATGGAGCTGCTACCTGGAAGACTTGGTGCTGGGAAATGTCCAGCCAGGTCTCGGGTCTCTATGGATAGGCCACCTGGTGGCCTCAGTGACTGGGCAGGTTGGTAAGGCGGAAGGCACTCGGGTCTCCTTGTCCCAGGTTGCTTCGGATTATATGCACCTTTAACCTGGCATGGTAGTGAATAAAGCAGCCAGTGCAGGAGTTTTCTGCTGAAACGGGGCAGCTCCTGATAACAGCCAAGCTCCTGGGCTGCAGCTTCCCACCCCATTCAGGGCAACCTCACACAAGCTACATTGCAGCAGTCCAGTCTCGATGTCACCGGCACCTATCTGATTGTGCCGGAAGCTCTCCGTGCCCAGCATATGCCACCGCTGGTGAACCCACTGAAGCTGATCAAAGGCCATGGTCTTTTTGATCTCAGAGCCTTCCGCTGCATGTCGAACCTAAAGCCAAACGACTGCATTACAGGTGTAACGGCAGCGTGGCTTTCGGCTTTTCAGCAGCTGTTTGCCTCGTTGTGTTTTTTTCCCATGGACCTGAACATCACGGTGGCTTCCAAGGACTGTCCTTCACCGAAGTGCCCTCTCTTCTCTTTTCAGCTTGTGAATCGATGGCTTTATTCAGGGAGTGCAGACCGGACAGTGAAATGCTGGTTGGCTGATACAGGAGAGCGAATCCGGACATACAAGCCTCACAAGCACAGCGTCAGCACTTTGAAATATCACGCGGGCATCTGTAAGTTCCAGCAGATGCTCCAGTATTTTTTCCATCCGGCTTCCTCTCAGGTTAGGACCCGGGATCGCCTGCTTCAGATCCCCACTTGGGCACTCTTCCTCACTGGAGATGTCCAAAAAGCGTTTGGACAGTTATCTAAATGGGATGGTGTAACTTCGTGTCCTGCAGTAGCAGAGGACTGGACCCGATGGCCCTCTGACCCCTTCCAACTCTGCTCTTCTACGATTCTATGATCTTATTCACGTGATCTTCTTTCCTGGTGGAAAACATGCTTATATCTAGACAACCCTGTGGAAAAGTGCCACCTCCGTAAAAAAGGCTACATCTCTCTCTGAGAAATACATGCTATTTACAAATATGTTTTTTCTTTAATTTACTCCCTATGCTCTTAAGTGGAATTGGCTATCTCAAACTGTACCGGAGTGGGGTCTCATGTACTTCACCTTTATGTTTGCTTGTGTAGAACTTGGGAAAGTGAAGATTGCTGGGGCGCTCAGGCAGTTTCCTTGCACTCTCCTCATCCTCCTTTCCCTACTGTATTTCTTCAGTTATTGGCGTATTAATTAGCAGTGCTGGTGAGAAGGAAGTGCTTTTATTTCCAGACAGAGGAAACTCTTTTCATGCAGACATCAGATGCTGAACAGGGAACAAAGATGGAAGGAGTAGACATAATGAACTTGCAGTGGCGGTCATGGTGCTTTGAAGGAAACCGACTCTGCACATCATATATTTCATTATTATTTCCAAATAATAGAAATGGGACATATGACAGTATTTTGCCCTAAAGGACTTCCATCCATTTCCAGTCAAGGGTGTTTCCAGATAAGGCTTTCATCTTGTCCCACACATGGGATTGTATGGTGTGACCAGAGGCCGATGTGTTCCCTTCGTTACCCTGTGGTGTTTTGTTCACTGCGTCTTCCATCTTTTTTTTTCATACCAGAAGACAGTCCGTCAGGGAAAAAAACGCAGAACAGGCGCACGGTCCTGTTTCGATCGGAAGAGCAAGAAGCTCTTCAAGTGCGGCATCAAAATGAATTATTCATGAGGATGGTGTCATTTCATAGATGGCTCCATTCCTCTTGGTCTTAACTGCCCTGGAATGAGTATTATATATTACACTTAAAGTAGCTCATGACATCAGAATTAACCTTCGAGTAGGCAGGTATTTACATTTAACCAGTAGGTCATCTGGCAGACTGATGGCCTCATCTTGGATCTGCCCACTTGCCCAGGGCTTTTTCCACAAAACCTTCTTGCATCCATTTCCCCTACGGAACTAATATCTTGGTTTATGCAGCAGGCAATCCAATAACTGAAAGACCTGGAGAAACAATCACACCGTATGTAAACCAGCAATACTATAATAGTGTGACAGTTACTGCGTAGGTCAAACTGGCTGTGTTCTTGAGCAGGAATGTCTTTCCCCCTTTATAAAACAGCCCTACAAAGCAGAGGTAGGAAAAGCCCATGAGAGAAACTTCAGAGAGAACTCCTGCTGACCTTAAGAAGTTTCCAAACAGAGTTGGCTTCCCTCGAAAAATCCATCCAGTCTGGTGTCCCCAATGTCACTCGTACAGCCCAGTGGGCTGCCTGGGTGTTGCTGTTCTTGTCGTGTGCCATCAAGTCACCTTTGAGAACCCTTTGAATGGAAGTCCTCCAAAAAGTTCCATCCATGACGGCCCCGTTCAGCTCCTGCAAGTTCCAGGCTGCAGCTTCCCTAACGTAGTCAATCCATCTCATATTTGGTCTTCTTTTTCTTTGTCTGTCTTCAGCTTTCCCTGGCATGATCGTCTCCTCCAGGGAGTCTTGCCTAAATTATTTCCCCTGGAACAAGCGTGCACTGAGGGTGCTTTTTAAATGCATATATAAAAATGCATCGAAGCACAACTGAGGATTTTGAAGTATTGGTAAAAATGTGAAGCTTCTCTTTGGTTGTCTGCTTGGTGAATTAGTGAGATACAAAACCCAACAACAACCAAAAAACAGTCTCAAATTTTGAGTGGTTATATTACAGCTCTGGATAAATGACTTCGGAAAGATGATGAAGAGTGATTCAGCTCCCACATCCAACTTAGAAGATGGAAATAAATTAATGGTTTATTGGTAACAGTATTCGAAACAATTCGGTAGTTGCAGAGCTAATGTGCATGGCACCATTTGAGTTATTTGAAAGTGTTCTTGTGTAAGGAACAGTCACAGCTGTTCAGATCTTAAAGGCAACAGCAGCTGTTTGTCAGATACTTCTGTAGTAAGTTTAGGTAGTGCAGCAGCCTCTTTTCATAGTACATAAAGCCTCAAGTCAGTTGAACAAAGAAGGAGAACCAAAACGTTCTGAATGGCTCTTTTTGGAAAACGTTAAGTTAAAAAGTGACTTGCTTTGTTATTCAGACAATTAAACTTGTGCTCAGAAGAGGAACTATCAGCCTGCTTGCTAAGCTGTGGTTCATTGTGTGCGTTACTTCCAGTGGCATATTTCTCTGCTGGGCCCAACTTACAGGAAAGTGAATTGCACAGGTCTGGATGATCCTGTTTTCTTCTTGCTTAGGTTGCAAACCTGTCCTCACTTATCTGGGAGTAAATTCTGTTGAACTCACTCGGGCTTATTTTTGAGAAGACATGGATATGGATGCACTGTCAGTTTACAATCAATGTCATAATTCTGGGGTTTATTTTGCAAGCGCAGTGCACATACTTTTGGTATCTGGCAAGCACTGAAGAGTGGAGTGGTGCAGCGGATAGAGCAGGACCGGGCGACGTGTGACCTGCCAGATCTTTTGGCCTACAACTTCCATCCAGCCTAGCCAGCTAAGCCATTGGTGAGGGATCATGGGAGTGGTAGGTGAAAACATCTGGAGTGCCGCAAGGTATCCATGCTCATCATAGCTCCTGGTTTAGGTTCTCCTCCTAATGAAGGTATCATATTTTACGTTTTCTAGGCATTTTGCATGATTGCTGTGATGATAAAAAAGAAACAGAATATATTAGAACTTGTCTGATATTTTTTTAAAAATTGAGACAGCTGTTCCTTTTGACCCTGATGTTGGATTACCAGTTCAAACAACTGACAATTCTTCCTAAAGGACTATCATTCCAAATTCCATAACCTTCTCCCCCCACCCCCCCACCCCCAAGCACCAGCATTCTTCCTCCCTAAAAGACAAAACTGAATCCTTGCTGATCTTCCCAGTCATACCTTTTAAAGTTCCTAATCTTGATGTTCCAGTAGGTTGAGAAAGGAACCAAAATACATATATGTGTTCGCTGCTGTTTTTCTTGTCATTTTGCATCTTAGCTGACTGGAAAATCTTTTTTTTTTTGGTTCAAAAGAGCAGGAAATAAATATTTGCACAAATGAATGCAAGAAGATATTAAAATGACCCGCCACTATTATCTCATTTTTGTTGCAGTGTTTACAGGAAGTGGAGATGCCTGTGCCCGAGCCTTTAACACAAAATCCGGCATCCTTCAAAGAGTGTTTCGAGGACACAAGCTGGTTATTAACTGCATCCAGGTGAGCTGCCGTCTTTTCTGAACTTCGTCATCTGCAGATGGAAAGCATTTTGTACAGCTTTGTGCAGCAGGATGGTTGGAAGCTATTTATATTACAAGCACCTTACTAAGGGTTCTGGCTGCTAACTGTTGAAGGCAGATTACTGTGCAGAGTGGGAATAGGAGATGAAAAACATCACTGAATGAAGACAATTTGCTTAGATGGCCAACAGCAACACAGGCACATGGCAATCCCGGAGTTCATTTTAGGACTCGGGGACTTGCATTATCCTGCTGCTTCGGAATACGCTCGGGCCACAGGTCCTTCATGCGTTCAGGCACAGGAAAAAGTTCCTTTAAGTCTTCCCTTTCCCAGTTGGGCTAAACTGCCCATTTCGGTTCCTCCTACCTTCACATGTGCAAAATCTTAAGTTCTTTCTCTGCCCAGTATAAGCAACTTTGAGAACCATGGTGAATTCTTTTCAAAACTGGAAATTTCAAGCTGAAACAAAATTCTTTGCCCATCTGCACCAGCTAAATTCAATAGGTACAACTATTCCCAGTAAAGAGATGACCATGTTGTACCTGCCTGTCATCCAGGTGTTAAAAATGAAGCTCTTGTCAGAATAAAAGAAGTGACAATGCTAAAGATTGAGTTCATCGGAATTCAGATACAAACTTTTGAGAGGAAAGCACGCAAGGCCTGGGTGGATGCATCTGTCCGTTTCAGTTTTCTCCTACATTTGGGATTTTTTTACAAAAAAATCTTGAGTCCTTTTTGTTGTGATGAACTTTGCTAATATTGGTAATTTCTTATCAAAACTAAATTGAAATGAAAATCTCCTCCTTCCCTAACATAAATGTAAATTTTGTTGCTTAGTCTTTGCTTTATTTTGCACCTCAACTACAGACTGTGAACTCATCAGCTCTTTTGCCCTCTGGCTTTTCTACATGAGACTGTTGATTTCTTGTATGTTTGTGCGTTCACTGCAGAATTGAGATCAGAGCATGTTTACTTTCTTGTTTTTCTGCTATATATCCTCTAGGTGGCACTGTGATATAGTGGAAAGTGCAAATAGACAAGAAGAAATCACATTTTCTTTTACTTTTAAAATAAATGTCATATTTTTCCTGCTCTTTACAAAAAAATCATCATGTAGGTTAGACGCAGCAAGCTGGAGGGTCACCATACCTTCTAAAGAACCCATAATGTGTGAGTCAGGAGTGGCAAGTGCCCCATAAATGCTTCCTGTAGAAATGCCCACAAAGGCACTGGCAGATTTAGCCTATTATGTGTTTGCATTTGAGGTGGGACACAGCAGGTTTTAAGCACGTTGGATCCAGAGTTGCTCATGCGTAGAGCAGACATATCAAAATAAATGGGGTTTGAGTTAGTTACGACTGACTTTTCCTTTTGATTTGATTGGATCTACTATAAACATGACACTTCCGCATCCAGCCCAGCATAAATACAAGCAGAACTCTATCGGCAGTTGTCGCTAGCGTCTAAGCAAGACTGACTTGGGATGCGATGCTTTGCACCTTTGCCTAGGAGGCACCTTTGCTGGAACAGACCCATTCAGGGATGTGCTCTCAGAACTGCTTCCTCACTTCCCGAGAAGCACTTTGTGCCTAGGCTGCGCCTGCACAGATCCTGCCCACCAACGACCTTGTGGGCGTCTCACCAGCCAGCCGTGTAGGAGCTCTGTGAATCGTGGCCAGGGAGTGATTCTGCAATGAACTTCCACTTGGAAGCGTGCATCGTAACATCTGCTATATTCTGGGAAGAGAAATGCTCTTCCTTGTTACAGGGAAAGGGGAACGTGCAGGGGCCGTGTTGTGGGAGGAGAAGGGTGAAAGGAAGCCAAGACACCCACAGTGCTCCTCGTCATATTGAAGGGTCCTTCCTCTCCTCCAGTCTGCAGAGAGCAGCTGCTTCCAGGCCACCAAGCCATGCGATTCTGGGCTTTGGTTCCTCTACAGGACTTGACTCGGTACCTGGAATAGTCGGAGGGCTTAATTTGAGCCAGGCTTGAGCTCTGGCCGTTGCTTCTGTGTTGGAAGTGAGGCTGAGCAGATGCATGCATGTTGGACTGTACCACTTCAGACTGCAGGAGGGAAAACATCATACTGGCATCCTGTCCAAGCTAAAACAAAAACCCCACTTCCGTCTCATCAGACACATGCTGCATCACCCCAGGGAGAACGGTCCGAGCCCAGTCCCTCTCTGCTGTGGAGGTTTGCGGGTCGGTTAGCGCTGAAATGGCTGAGCTGCTCTTCCTGCTAAATTCTGCAGTGACGTGGTTCCTTCCAGCACTCGGAGTCCTTGACCCCGGAGGGTCGCTAGCACTGCCAGTGAAACTCCTTACAGCTCCTTGGTCTTCTGAATGGCTGAAGTGCCTTTGCAGGGGTTTAGTCTCTGGCAGCAGAACTTTGAAGCTAACGTGCGATGGCATTTAGGCTTCTTCCCTTGCCTTTGCCACACCCTCCACTGGAATCCTCCCTCCTGAGCTGCTCTGGAGCAGAATTTGGCCTTCGGGCGGAGAGGTCGGGCACCCTTGGCCTACCTACGGCAGCGGAACGTAGAGGATTAGCATTCCTGCAGACTAATCATTCTGTTTATGAGGACAGGCGGACTAAAAGCAACACTTTGGCACAGCTGAGCCGCATGCGGAGGGCGGGGTGGCGGGAGAGCTCCTGGTGGCGAGGAGGAGTAGGGAGGTGGATGTGGGAACGGCGCAAGAGAGGAAGGCACGGGGTGACGGACGGAGCTGCGCTGGTGAACAGAGAGAGACCATCAGCTGCCCGCTCGTCTCCGGGAGCCGCACAGGAACTTGGCCAAAGTTGGAGGAAGCAACAAGGAGAGCCGATGGGAAGAGTTTAGAAAGGAGGGGTAGCTTTCTGTCCTTCTGGAAAAGGAAGGAAATAGGAAAACTGCACAGTCCTAGGTGTGATGAAGGTGGAGGCAACCAGTGGGCTTCTCAGGAGCTCCTTCTCTAAGTGCTCCTCTGAGGGAGGATCAGAGGATGGCAGCAAAAACGGGGCCTTCTCAGTGGCAGCCCCCTGTAATGGAACACGCTCCCCAACAAGGTCCCCTGGCCACCCACGGTCCTCAATTCCCAGGCATTTGGCCGCATGGGGATTAAAAGAGGCAGGACAGGGTTCGAATTGCGGGCAGCTAGCAAGCTTACGTCATCATGGAAGGAGAAAAGGGGGGCACGAGACATGCCGAGGGGGTGGGGGTGGGGAATCACACAGAGCACTCCTTTGGGCTGCCTTCTTCTCATCCAAGAGGACAAGTGGGAAGGGAGAATCCACAGAACTCTAATAACCTTGATTGCAGCAAGTCCTGAAAGCATGTGGAAATCCATGCCTCTGCATAGCCAACTCACGAAAGCAAAGGCCTCCACTCCAGGAGGGCAGTGAAAATCCCAGATTGCATGTGCCCTGTAACAAGTCATGGCTGAATCGATCAGGAGACAGTATAGATGCCTGTGTGCATTTTACAATCATCGAGGCGTCCACTGAGGAATGAAGGGCATGTGGATTCCGCTTGGGAGGCCAACAGGGGGCACTTGCAAAAAGACACAGCCCCCCCTCCACACATCCCCAGGCACCCCCATTTACCTGCCCCCAGAGGATGAACACCCACACAAGCACACGCACAAATCACTCGGAGTACGTGTTCCCCTCAGCTCGGCACTGGTCAGGCCTCATTCAGAGTCCTGTGCCCAGTGCTGGGCACCAGTTTAAGAACAATGTGGATGAGCTGGGAAGGGTTCAGAGGAGGGAACAGGGATGATCCGGGGACTGGAACAAAGTGGTTGAAAGAACTGGGCATGTTCAGCCTTGAGAAGAGAAGATTGGGGGAGGTGGGAGAGCGCTCCACAAGTATTTGCGCAGCCGTCGCCAAGAGGAAGGCCAGGATCTCTTCTTACTCATCCCAGAGTGCAGGGCATGCAATCACAGGCTCACGTAGCGGGAAGCCAGGTTCCAGCTAGACATCAGGAAAAATCCCCTGGCTCTTAGAGCAATTTGACGGGGGAACCAAGCCCTAGGGGCCTGAGTTGTGGACTCCCAGACTTAGAGGCATGCAAGACGCCTCTGGACCATCCTCTGAGAGGGATGGTTTAACTTGGGGGTTGCCCCCTCTGCCCCGGCAACTCTGCTGTTCCATGTGATTCTATGTGTGGGAGTTCATACATGTGAATTGGAAGCTGCCATACTTCTCAGCAAAGAAATGTTTTATTTGTAAAGGCATGGTGGATGGGAGAGGGTGCGACACCTGAACCGCCCTCAGACTGGGATGCCGCTGTGCTGTATTTGACTGCAGTCCCTGAAAGAGATGGAGACAGGGGGGGTTTCTCTAAGCTTCCTCTTGCGGAATAGAAAGAGGTTTCTTTGGTTCAAGAGAGTCCCAGCTTTAGACTGACAGGATGCAGCAATGTACCCCAAAGCCGAGTTTAATTATTACAGTTTGGTCTCTCCGGGAAGCTAAGGCGAGATGTTGGGGGTGAAGTCTGGTGGGCTGTGGGTGTGTCGGGGTGCTGCGCACACACGGCTCTGCTTTGATGCCAGGCATCTCCTGCGCTTTCCCAAGCTGGGATGAGGCTTCCTTTTCCATGTCCAAAATAGCTGAATATCAGAGAGAGAGAGTGCCTCCCCATCCCTTTAATCAGCCCACTCACACATCTGGCACTGGATGCAGGAGGGAGGGAGAAAAGCCTTCCCTACAGAGGTTGAGCAACCAGAAGAAAAGGGGGCGACCGCCTCCGCTTCTCTGCAAGGGCGCGATTGTTGTGCTGCCAAACTGCTCACGACAGCCTTTACGTATTGCCCTGTTGTTCCAGGTTCACAATGAAGTGCTGTACACCGCTTCCCATGACGGCACGCTGAGGGTCTGGGACATACGGCAGATCTGCAAGCGGAACAAGCGTCGCTTGAAGGACAGGACTACGCAGAGCCGGCACTCCCAGAAGGGAAGCTTGTCTCGCCTCTTCAACAACAAAGTGGGCTGCATGGTGCCCCAGGAGAACGGCGGCGAGCAGGAGGAGGTGGAGCTGATGTGACTGCGGGGCTGGGCGAGGGGACGGGACGCTCGCTGGCATCCACGCGGGACAAGCCCGAGCCGCACCACTGCAGAGGCAGCAAGCAGCTCCGTAGGCGTGAGCAGGTCTCCCCGTCCAGCTGCATCGCATTGCTGGTCACCTGCAGGGTTGGTGGGCTGCACTCGTCGTGAGTCGCATAGGCCGTGCCAGCGAATACCGAGCAATGAGCTTCTCTGCGGCCCTCTGGGAGCGAACTCTGGTAAAAACTCTTCACCCTCTTGAATGGAAGACCTCCCAGTTCTCGTGGGAGCCAGTGGAAACCTCCCCGCGTTGCAGCGCTTGGTGTTGTCGCCCGCAGGGCTGCCTCAGAACATCCTTGGCACAGCCCGCTCCAGGAAGCGACCAGCCCCGTGACGGCTGCACGGCTGCGAGGTTCTGTGCAAGCTCGCACTGGGCCTGCGGAACCAGCACCTCTGGGAACGGCCGAGGGAGACAAGGGACAATTGAATGGCCAGGGCTGAGGTGGAAACGGGCAGAGCTTCCCTTGAGAGAGGCTGGGGAGCATGATAAGTGGCTCAAATGACTTATCGGGAGACAGAGTCACACCACAAAACATTGCTTCATGCCCACATTGGAAGTGTAGTTAGGGGAACGCACAGGAAAAAGGCCGTCGCTATTGATCTTGATGTCTTGCTTACTGGTGAACTTATTTCCTCGCCAGGACTGAGCTTCATGAAACCATTTCTGTGAGTTTTGCACAGCTGTGCAGAGCCCTGATTGGCTGAAGGGTGGCTGTGCGGGGCACTGATTCGATAATAGCCCATAGTCCCTCCTCCCTCCTCTCAGAGCAGTTTTAGAGTTTTGCAAGTGGGCCCAGTTAATGCAATTGCACGGTGGGAAAGAGGCTTAAGCCCTGATGCTTTCTGACCAAGCTGTGTGTGCCAGCCAGGATTACACAATTTCTACTTGCCAGTGGGACCTGTTGTGATGTTTAAGCCCAGCATGGGTGCGCAGTTGGGGTGCTTCACCAACCAGAGCCTACAGCCTGGTTTAGCGTGGTTGGGCATTCTGTTAACCACCTGAATCATCCACCCTCTCCAGGTTCAAACATCAAACAAGCCACGGCAGTCAAGGTACTCATTTAAGTCCAGCCGGCAAACAACCCACACCCTGCAATTGTGTGAGCCTGGTGATTAAATGAGCAGATGTGTAGAGATATACATGTGGCACTTTGGCGGGGGGAAGGCATAAAAGCAGGGTCCATATGCAGAACATATTATTACTCCCAGGAGGGATCAGAGCTTTCTAGCCAGCAGCACATTTTGCAGCAACCTTTGTTGGAAAACCACAGAAGGCAGGCCTTTCTGCAAGCAAATATCTTGGCATCACAGAGTCTGTCAGCAGGAAATGTCCAGGGAAAGCTGCATTTCAGGACAGCAACTCTCAATTCAATTTTCCTTAGCTTGGTGCTAATCTCTTTTCCCTGTGGATTGGCTTGAATACAGGAAGTTGTATGTAGCACTCCGTCTTCTCATGATGTGCCTGAAGGATGACAACCTCGGCTTTGTATAGTCTGGTGGGTTTGCTGTAAGATAAAGTGACTTTTCTGGGACTCTGGATGCCAGGGATGAAGCAAGCAACTAGAAAATACTGCAGCCCAGTTCTTAAAGCGGCCCTGGATTTTGCGATTTAATTTGAAGTTTGGTGTGGGACCTGTTCTTAACACATCTACCCTGGAATGTGAAAAATGATCTTAGGAGGTACCTGTCATTGTGTGTAGAGTGCTTTCTCTCTCCAGTGATGGGCTCAGGTACACCTATCTAGAAGCAAAGCAGAAGAAATGCAGACATGGTACCCAGGCAGGACTATCTAAGCAACTTCTCTTTAGCATCTTACAAACTCGGTGCGGGCTTCTGGCCCAGAGGAGTGGCTCCTTTTCTCTCAGCAAATGAACTGGCTCAGCATCCTGTCGCCTTTGATCTTCCCAGCACTTCCCTGATCAGGTGCAGCTGTGCCTTTGGTCCCAGTGCGCCATCTGGACCAGGCGGGCGACTGTTCGAATGCCTTCCCCCTCCTACAATACCACTGGTGTTTCACAGCTGCAGTAGCTTTGTGGGATCGCAGAGGGGTGTAGAAGAATCACACTTTTTGTGAAGATGCTGAAGATTCCTCAGTGGAGAGGAGACAGGCTGATGTACCTTGTGACCTTGAGTTGAATGCATACCTTGAGTAGGCCTGCTAAAATGTATGGACTTGGGTTATTTGTGACTGATTGACTCGTCCCATGAATTTCAATGGATCCAGTCCAAACATGACTCAATTCTCTGGTTCAGTTTTTTCTCTAGGGACAAACCTTTGCAGCCAGGATTCACAATGTGCATTGCCCAGAAGCTTTGCTGTAGGGACTGAGCAATATCTATTTCCACAGAGTGACAACGAACTGGCTGGGCTTTGCGATCGGTTTTCAGGAACGGAAGCAGAGAGGCAGCCCTGCCGAGAACTTTTCTGTTCAAGAAAAAGGAAAGACAGAGTCTAGCGTGACGCTTTGGAAGACCTCTTGTGCCTTGCTCAGCTGGGCTTTTTGACCTGGAGATGAACCTTTTTTCAGTTTTCATTCTGCATTTGTTTAGATAATCACTGAGCCATAAATATATAACTGCTGCATTGTGGACTCCAGTGTAGTACAGTGTATAATTGAAACAAATAGTTTAATCATTTATTTGTGCATTGTGAGTGCGTGTGTGTGTGTGGGTAGGTGGGGTTTTATTTCTTTGTTGTGTACCCTAACCCAGGAAACTTTGTAAAAGGGGCTGGATCATAAAAAGTAGTTAGAAGGCAACACAGAATTGCTTGCTTTGGACTGGCTGTCGTCATGATGGAGGGAGAAAGGCTTCTGTGCAGCTGGGACCCAGCCAAAGTTTAAGAGAAGTAAAGAGAGATGAGGAAGGCAAGCGACAATTTTGTACATATGCATTGCTTACAAAATAACACCCAGTGCCAGGGATGGGCGGCAGATAGATCACCTGACAGCTTGAACTTCTGTTCCTAGAACCAACTTCCAGCAAGGCCAATGGTCAAGAATGCCGGAAGCGGAAGTTCAAAACGTGTGGAGACTTGGATTTATTGCCCAACTCGGATCTCTGCCCTGCAGGACATTTTGCTAGCCTGCCCCTCCAGGAAGGCAGTGCTGTGCCGGCAGAAGGCAGACAGCCATCCCTGCCCTCGCAAACCCTCCAGCTGGCGCAGGGGCTCGGAGACTCGGGGCTGCCCCAGGAGGCTGCCGCTTCAGATCTCTCAGCCACAAACATACAAGGTTGCCTGAAGTTGCCTTCTGGCCTACTTTGCAGGGCTGTTATGAAAGGTCCGGTAGAAGAGGCGGCACTGGAAAACTTTGAACACTGGAAGAACTATAAAATAGGAACTCCTCACCTCTAGATTAATCGGCAGTTATTAATTGGGTGCCAGCAGCTGAATGGTTTTATGGTTGTCTTCCTTTAAGGCATTGAGAATGAATGAGACCTGACTTCTGGTCAAACACACGATGTTATACTGACACCAGAATTTGGCACACTACTGCCTAGATACTGGGCCCCATAACCATCCGTCTGTCCGTCCATCCGTCCATCCATCCATTTTTATCCTGATCAATAGGTTTAGTCAGTTAACAAAAGTTAAAATTAAACATTAAAATACACACACATTAATTTAAATAATCAAACCACAATAGCAATTATAGTTGCTATGATTCAGCATAAAAGCATAGCAGTGGTTTAGAATAAAATGGAATACAGAAAAACAAAGTAAAAAAGTTTGGCTATTAAAACATCAGAAAAAAAGAGGTATTCATCTGGTACTGTAAAGGGGCTCCAGGCGCAGCTGTTTGGGGAGCTCATTCCAAAATTGAGATGCCGCAACCTTCTTTCTCCCCATAATTATTTTCTCGGCAAAGGACGGTCGAATGAATTTTGATGTGACGCACTTTAGGGGTGGCCACAACCTATTCGTTTTTTTAAAAAACAAGTTTTATTATTTTCTCTATAAATCCAAAACTAAAAACAACAATTATTCAGGACATCAGACAGACTGGGTTGACATTGTGCTTTTTTTTTTTACATTCAACAACCATATTCAGTTCTACGCATAGTCCCGTTTCTCTAACCAATGACGGAAAATATTCCAAGTTTGATAGAAGTATGTATCTTCCTTCTCCTTCAAAGACAAAGTCAATCTGTCCATCTCGCTCAATCCAAAATCTTTTTTAAGATCACCTCTTCAGTAGGTGGCTCTTCGCTTCTCCAGTGTCGGGCACATGCAATCCTCGCTGCAGTAGTTATATGTAAAGCCAAATACAGAGCTTGTTTATCAAAATCATCAGGAACAATACCTAATAAAAAGACTTCAGGTTTAAATGTGCCACAACCCAAGCACTCAGAGGTCAGGACCCAGCTGGGTGTGCAGTTTGTCCTGTCTCGTCTGACCTTAATAAGCCTCCCCATTTTAATAGGAATGCAGGCCCTGTGTGACAGTTGGCATGGGACCGAATGGAACCACTGAGAAACAAGAACATTTGGGGGAACCCTGAAGTACAAAAAGGCTTGACAGAAGAATCCCGAAAGGGGCACTCCATCCTGAACAAACTGCCTCCTGAGGATTGCACATGCCAAGTAGCCATGCGCTGCTGACCTCTGACTGGGTTCAAAGATAGGCTGGACGTGCACATGGTGGGCATGTCGTGAGTGAAGCCAGCTGGAGCCAGGGGTCAGACTAGATGACCCAGGTGGCCCCTTCTGACTCGCTCTGTTTCTATGTTTCCAAGATGCTCAACAGGGCACCTAAGGAACAGGTAGGGGCTGTGCAGTGCCTCACCTGAGCTTACAGCTTAAAGGATCCTGGAGGAGAGCATGTCTGGTGGGCAGGACCCTAGAGCCAGGACGCTCCTTCCAGGACATGAAAATATACTGCAACATTTTGTTGCAGGCCCTACTGCTTCCCCTTTATTCCCATATCCAATTCTTCTCAAGGAATCTTAATTTTGTCTGAAGATGATGGGATCATTATTATTTAAAGGTATCCTTGATGGCTTCCTGCCTTTTTAGCTCCTAAGCACGGTTGATGGACATTGCATTGAAGTGGGTGATGGTAATAGAAAGAAAAAAAGTCATTGTAGCTTCAGCCCTGGAGTAAGAGACAGAATGGATGGGTAGTTGCTTTTGAAGAATTTCAGCCAGTTCTGCCTGCTTGTTTGGGGTGGATGAATACATCTTTTATTTGCTTTCCTGTTCCTGGACAGATTACAGAATTCTCATGCTACTGCCAGTTCCTCTTGCTGTGCAGTTTTGAATTGCAAATGCTCACACAATTCTTTCCTGCTGCTTGAGGGGCAGCTTTTGGGGTGCTTCCATTCAGGGAAGAGATGCAAAGCTAACGGCTTCTCCACTAATTAGCTTTCACAGGACTCATAAACCTGACATCTCCCCAGAATCATGGCATTCTTAAGAAAGGACGGTAAGTGGCAAACCGCATGAGCGCCACTGCTGCGTCGTCATAATGAAAGCGGATGTCTTCGTTAGGATAAAGCAACCAGTTTATACCATGCAAATTGTGGAGCCAGGAGGGGATTTCCCAGTCATCCCGACAAGGTCTTTGTACAGCTGGGGAGCAGTGCTGCCTTCCTGCCTAAGCTCACCTAGCGAGCTTGTGACAGCTGCGGTTCGCCACTTGCATTTTGGGGCAAAGCTAGGTGTGATGCTCTTCACACGGAGTCCGCTCACACAACCAGCTGTGTTTCCCATGTGTGCCACCCTGAGCATCGAACCCCCAGTTATGGTTTGCCTTGCGAAGCTGGGAAACGGGAGTTATGTGAGGGTTAAGCAGGCAGTTCAACCACTGGAGCTGGCGCCCCAACGTGCCAGGAAGACATTTGCCCCACTGCCCTGAAATCAAGTGGTTCCTCTCCCGTCCCTACAGCCCTGTTTACAAACGGGTGTCCTCAGGGGACAAGGTCCTCTAGTCACTCAGAGACCTTGCAGCACATGTATATTGGCATAAGCAAGTGTGTGGGCCGGAGCCCTGGATGTTTTCTGGCAGCGCCTCCTGGGATGAACCACCATTGGTCTGTTCTAGATGCTGCAAGGATTGAGAATTAAGCAGCCCATGTAGACCTGCGGCCAGCGAGGTTCTCATGCCAGGACAACCCACAGTTGGTGGTTGGATACTCAGGATGCCATATATGTGTCCTGCAGCTTGTCATGGTTTAAAAAGGTGTGGCATGCTGAAACACACGCGCACATGCGCAGAAGAATAAATTACGTGAATATGGCGACATCTAGTTGGGCCATGGTAGCCTGGAACAATTCCTGTATTTTCTGGTTTTACATAATTTATTCTGCTTTTCCAAGGGGGAAAGAGCTATGCAGGACCTGATGTTTCCCGTTGGCACACCCACTCGCCTCTGAGATTTCAGCAGGCTCTGTCCACGTTAATTTCAATCTCAAGGTTGTCTTCATTGTCCTGAGGACTAGCCCCTCCAAATAATAATAAAATATGAGATGTTCAGGAGATTGGGCTTTGGTCCCAACATCGAATGGAACGTGCACGCAATCCTGGCCTTACGGAAGGCACTAGGCACAGCCAGCAAAATCAGAACAATCCAGAGAAAAGTGAGCACAGCTGAATGCACTCCATAGTTGAATGTACAGAAAGTAGGAAATCGATTTGATAGCAGTGACCGGTAGCTCCAATAGCAGAGGGGTAGCAAAGCTGCTCCGGCTTTCAGACTCAACTTTAAAGTTGCTATCTGTGGGACTCAATCCCACCCCAATCCCCAAATGGGTTCCCCACTATGGACTGCTTGGCCTGAATGCCGGAGTGGATACACTGCCCCTTTGGCCTTGCAGTGCCACCACAACCATCACACGCCTCCTTGTGTGGATGGGCAAACGACCAGCCCGACTAGGTATGTGGCTACCGTAAGCGTGGGGTGGGGTGGGATGGGATGGGACGGGAACAGTGGTACGGCAAAGCCGGAAGCTCACAGGGCTGCACACCAACTCTCGGGTTTGCAGGAATGCTGGCAACTGCCCCATTCCATCCCAACTCTCCTATCTGAATTCCATTAGTTTTCCAAAAAGCTCCTTCTGCCCGCACCTTGGCCTCTCCCTGGGGCAGGGGTGCAGGGTTTCTCATGATGAGTGTCCACATGACCTAATTTCCCTCGACAACCCTGCATGGGAACGAAGGACCTACGGTGCTTGTTCCTCGTGAAGGCCTCCAGAGCAGTTTTAAGATTTGCACCGTGAGGTTCAGGCTAGTGTGGAAAGGGTTATAGTGGCCTAAAAGGCTTTTAGGGCACAGCATGGCGGCCACTCCTGCCCTTACGTCCAGCCGGGGTGCAGTGCCGCAGCTCAGGTTAGGGGCCCCAATTCAGCAGGGTAGCCACAGTGCCGGGCAAGGGCCGAAGGGGCATGGGAAGGCCTGCTTAGGGTGCACACTGGACAGCAGGGGCATTCCTCCTGTCCAAATCCCTGTTCTAGAAGATTCCAAGCTGAGGCTCGCATAGGTGCAGAGCTCCTATGGGTGATGGACAGAGACCGTGAAGAAGAGGCAGGCGACAAGGCACTTCTTTCCTTATTCACAAATCTGCCTCTCCGAAGGCTTAGTAAAAGCACGAGGCACGAGGTCAGCTGGCATTTGTGGCCACACCCCTTTTATTTTGGCTGTGCCCACGACTGGGATGCGTCCCGAGGAGCATTTCAGGATTGAAACTTGGCAGTTGGGCCAGACAAGGGTCAACTCCCCTTTGGAAAGCTGACAGGTGGGCGACAGACGGAGGACTCTCTAGTCCCATTTCTCTGCAGAGGAAATTCCAAGTGTCATCAGCTAAATGACCGGCTTCAGCTGTAAACAGGATGTAGCACTCAAAATGCTTTAGCACTGTTTGGGACCTTTGGGGGCAACTGACTCTATAGTTTTTTTCTGCAGTCTCTTGAAAAGCCAAGAATGCACAAGATTATAGAGTTGGGCCCAGTATCTGTGTGGACTTCCTCTGGTGGCTGGTGTGTTTTAGGCTGGCCATGGATGGCACCCGGATCTGGCTCTCCACCCTGAGCTTAAGTAAGACAATAGGTGAAGCCCCACATACCCATGAAGAAACTTTTCTTTCAGGCTACTCCCACCAGTCCACAAAGCCAGTCCGACATACTGGGTTCTGGGTGCCCTCTAGTGGCCAGACAAGCTCATTTCTACATTTGGGCCGTCTTGGTACAGCAATTTCCCCCCACCTCATTTTCACATGGGCTGTGCTATCCAGTGACAAAGTTACTGTATTAAAGACAATGCTTGCAATGCATTTTTAAGATGCAGGAGTTAATTCTGATCGATTATATAAAAGCTGTGTTAGCTTATAAGGCTTGGAAACTTACTGGCAGAGATGGAAATGTCACATACTGGATGCTGTCTAGGGAAGGCCCCCTTCCCTCCCCACCCAAGCTGGGATGCTTCTGCTACATTTGGAGTACTGATTCCTTGACCGATGTTTACAGCTGCATGCACTGTGCTCAGTAAGGCAGGCCAATATCACTGTTCTTACTACGGGTTTGGGGAGAATGGGAAAGGATGCTTACCGGAGGCTTGGGCTTACCTGATGCAGATAAATACTTGTCCTGTTAGACCACAAGTGGTTTTACAGCAGAAAACATACTGGCATTTTTCCCCACGTGAGGATCCCAAGGCAGCTTACATAGGTCCCATTATATCCTCACGATGACCACCTTGTGAGGTAGACATTAGGCTGAAAGGGAGAGACTGGCCCAAGTCACCCAGTGAGCCTCGAAGAAAGAGTGAGTCAGAAGAGGCCTCCTGGGCCATCTAGTCTGACCCCAGGCTCCAGCTGGCGCCGCTCATGAAACCCCCAGCACGTGGTTGCCCAGCCTTCATGGATGCACGAGGACCAGAACTCCCGTTTCCCAGGAGCACCCTTGCCACCACACCATGCTGGCACATCCAACACTTCTGAATCATGCAACGTCTACACGCACCAGTACTAAAGGAGGCCATTTGCTGTCTGGGCCCGAAGAAGCCCAAGGTCAGTTCCTCTGTGGGGTATGGCTCGAGTGGAAGCCAGGCTGAAAATGAGTTCTGAAGATACAGTGCCGTCTGCCCAGTTCACGACAGGCCCGTCAACAGCCGCTGGCTTGCAACTTGCCGCACTTCATGCCAACCTCAGTCCAGATCCAGTTTGTGCACAGCGTCACTGTGCTGGATCACTTGTGCAAGCTGGCCGGCTGCTGGGTGGCTGTTCAGGAGCGGCGAGAGGCCCGCAAACGGCCACCCCACAGCCTGTTGTCGCGGCAGTCAGGGCTTCTAGAAATGAAAACTGGGGAAAATCTGTGCTGGGGAATCCCAGACGGCCTCACTGTTGATTTGAATTATCATTACTGCACTAGATGGACTAGGAGGTTTGTGGTGCCTTCGCTTTAACCCTGCCCCCCGAAAAAAATCTCAGTGCTATTTAGCAGAGACAATGTACTCGAACATGATAGAAAGCTGTAATTTTTGAACAGAATAAGCAAAGTAGCTAAGTAGATCAAAGGAGTCTGTCAGCAAATTTCTACCTTTAAACAGTATTCCCCATATTCTTTGTATGTGCATCCCAAATACATGTTGATGGAGGAAGCCACAAAATGGCAGCAGCAGGACATCTTCACAAGAAAATTCTGCATCTTCTCCTTCTGATATGCTGAAAACATGCTCAAACAGATGTCTGGCTATTCCTATAGTCGGTCGCTGCATCCGGGGGCTCTTTTCAAGACTATTTCCTTTAAAGAGCATCGGTTGAGAAAAGCACAGAGAAAGTTGCTCAAATGGCACTTCCATTAAATGCCACAGGCACTAAGGGCACTTCCTGCATAGTGGTCCAGAAGAGGCAGTTCTCAGAGAGTTAAGAAAACAAGAAACTGAAGAGGTTTTGGTACTTTTATAATCTTCACTACAGCAGCATCCAGTACTTCATCTCCAAACGGACAGGCCTTAGCTCCCCAGAAGAACTGCAACAAATGTTATTACTTTTTATTGGTTATTAATGCATTATGTAAAACAGACACTGAAAAAAGGAGATCGACACAAACTGGTTTACAGCTGACTTCAGACTACTGGATTAGATCAGAAAAACTGAAAGATCTACAGACTTGAGATTATATTCCAAAGGTCTGAAAATACCAAAATGCTAGTCCTAGAGAGATCCTATGTTTAATGCTCCAATAATTGGATCTTTTGTTTTTTAAAAAAAGAAATCTGGGTATTGTAAAAGAAGTAAAGAGATGTAAAATGGATTTCATTTGCTTACTAAATAGGTTTATCTCACATCAATATATATTGCCTCTCTATAAAAATATGTTTTGTAAATACTTTTGTATTACAATTGGTATTACTCTCCAGTGTTGCTCTAGATTACAATTAAATACAGATTTTACACATACCAAGATTTAAAAACTATGCAACTGACTGAACATAAGGCATATGGCAAACAATAGGGTCAGACACATTTCCACTCCTAATATTAAAATCCAAAGTTCTGATCTAGACTAACTTAGTCATGACTCGTGTGACCCACTGGCTTCAGGACTAACATGCAATTAATTTTATCTGGAGTCCAAAAGTTGCTGGTCCATGTGGCTGAGACCACAGCCTTTTAAGTTTGTCTACTGCATCTGCACGTGGCTTATGTAGGAGAGATATTCGTTAATTATATGTTCTTCCTCTTCTAGAGTTAGGTCCAAATAATCTTCTTCATGTTCTGGGATATCTTCTAAGATTTCATTGACAGCATCTACTTCCATGTCATCATCTGTTGAGGCCCCTGAAGTACCTAAAATTAATGAGAAATGTAGTATACAGTGAATGCAAGTCTCTTATTCCCAGCCTCAATAATTTAACTAAACCTCTCGCCATAAAACTGGCTGCATTCCAACAGTACTTTATTATCAAGAGTTGGATTCGGGCTTGCGGAGGCATGAGACGTTAAAGCAAGGCAGTCTTTACTTGTGCTTAAGCCAAATCCAGATTTTATCATGTAGTATATCAATGAGGGACAGACCCAAATCTACTTCTCCTCATATTAGTGTCATGAACATGGAAAACAAGAAATCCAACTCTACAGTGCTGCTAATCTAGGCTGAAGGCTATTCAAAGTGTTAGTGTGCAAGAGCTGTTAAAAAAAAAAAGACCAAAAGGTAATATAATTTAACTGCAACATTATAAAATGCAGACATGAAGCTGAAGCACGAAAGTGAAGTGAGTTTTGGATTTAGGGAAAACAAATAAATCAAATTCAGTTTTAGAGCTCAGTGTGGTTAGAACCAAAGAAATACAGTTAAGAACGACTAAGCCAGAAGAAGCCTTTCACGTATCAGAGAAGGGGGTAAAGAGGGCAGATGGGTTATCTAATCCCAAAGGATGCAAGTGGAAGGCGAAGGAATACCAGAATGAAAGGGTTTCAGCACTGAGAAGATGACCTGCTTCTCCACAGAACCCGAATTCAGTTAAAGGAACTGCTCAAGGCATAAACAGGATCACATGCAAAGGCCAAAGTAAAAATTGGTCGTTTTCAAAGAGCAATACTAAGTATGATTTACTGAAAATAAGGCCCAGTCAGGGAAGCATATTTCCAGGAAAATGGACACAGGACAGCAGGCTTATACCCGCAAAGAGGCATCATGAAAAGGCCACACAGAACAGGACAACCATGTGGACCCTCACTCAGCCTGCCCCCACTTGGCATCAGGTAGATGTGGTGAAGTAAAACTCCCAGCATCCTCTAGCCAGGACGGCTGGGTGAGGCTGCCAAGGGTTGTAGCTGAACACACCTGCAGGGCACCAACCTGGGGAAGGCTGGACCAAACTGATGCCAGAAGCTGCAGTTTATTCCCTCTGTAGGCGGATGCTGCCTTTCAGATGTTTCGGACTACAAATCCCGCAACCTGGCCATGTCGCGAAGACTGGTGGCAGTTGCAGCCCAAAGCATCCGAGGCTCAAGGTCACCCATCCACGGCTCATTCGGATGCACCCCCCCCCTTACTCTGCAGAGAAGGAAGGAATGGCTTTTCTAACCAGCATTAAACAAACCCAAACTGGTAAGCAGATTTTTCCTTTAAATTAATGGTAGGTTATCATGGAGTTATCAAAAGAAGAAATAATTCTGGAGTGATGTAAGATCAAAGGAAGCTGAGGGTCGAGTTTAAATAAGAAGGCAACGTGGGATACAAGAAATAAAGGAGGTGGTGCAGACTGCATGGCTGCCTTTAGCGGGTTAGAACCTTCAGCATGTGCTGAGAAGTTTCCTCTCCTTCTGGCAAACCATTAGTGATAAGAGGAAGCCCATTATTACCTTGTGGGTTTTTCCTTCTTTGTTTTCCTTCTTTGTTTTTCGTTCTCCTCTTATCTTTTTTGGACAAAAAAGGGAATCATTTCAAATTTGGAAAGCTGGTTTGAACAACCCATTTAAAAAGTTACGAAAAGTGTTATTTTAAAAAGAGTAATCTGATCTAGCATTTCAAAGTGCCAGAGGAAAAGACCGACTGAAGAGCTCTGCAAAGAAGAGCTCCCCCATCCCTCTGCTGAAACAAACAGAAAACAGGCAGCAATTGGCATAACTAATCATACTCCTCCCCTTAATGAACATGTAAAGGGGGCAGGAAGAACATACATTATTTTAAGAAGTGCTTCAGATGAAGCTCAAAGTTATTCTGAGTGTCTGGGCCATGTGATTACACTGTGCCTGCTAGCACCCCCACCAAACTAGGATTCCTAGTATGAGGTGGCAGTCAGAACTTGCCTCTTTACAGAGCAGTATTGGCAAGGCTGGGCCCTGACCATTTTAATATTCCATATATTAGAGTTAAGTTCTAGCCTATTTGGTCAGATTAGATCTTGGTGTCCATGCAGTGTGTCTGGGTAGCGACACAGAACATGGCACTGCAGTAAATCCTGGCTCTTTCTCCCCAAAAAAGTCCAGAATTTCACTGCTGTATTTAAATACCCCTCAAAATATTTTGAGACTCGGCTCGTTACATAGTTAATCAGACAAAACCTAAGTAAACGTAAACCCAACAACTAAGTGGAAACTAAATGAAACTAAATTTTAAAAAGAGAACCAGCTTAATCTGACGGCCATTAGACAAAGTCTAGATGGCCGGAGGAGAATCTGAAGTCCCAACCCTGACCTCAGGAACTTGCTCTGAGGTTGGCGCTGGGACACTGAACACACAGCACGCTCCCGGAAAGAAATGCAGCCGCTGCTTCGCCAAGGCCACTCCAACGCAAAGCTGGAGATGGGGTGCCGCAGGCACAGGCTCCGCCTGCATATGGAACATTCTGGTCAGCTCAGGCACACACTGCAAGGCACCACAGGGAGGTGGCTGGAATCAGGGTGGGAGGAACAGAGGCAACCCGCCTTCACCGCCACGCACAAGAGACCTGCAACCCTTGAAGTCCGGAAGGTTAAACGCAGTGTCAGCAGATTTCACCCTAACGCTACCTGTGATCAAGGTGCTTTCTTCATGGGACCTAAAAGTCCTCTTTGATATTAAACCTCAGATAATGCAGCTGAAATGGCACCGGAGTGGTCAAAATCAAAACTTTCCTGCCTTACCCCAGGATCACTGTAATAGAAATGTTATAGCTTGTATTTCCCCCGAAAATGGAGCTTAATGTCTTCTCTTGCCTTTATTTCTTAAAATAACATTGTTTCAGAAAAGGGCTGAACCCTTTTTTGAAATTATGGTTATGAAATCTCCAGGAGAAATGCTGCCGTTCCGCAATGCAGGGGTGGGCAGTTCACATCAGTATAAAATATGCTAGTCTACTGAAAAGCTGGGAGTAGAAATCCCTCTGAAGACCAGAAGTTCCTAATTTTTTAAATTAAAAAAGAGAATATTATTAATTTTGTCTAAGGAGATCACTGATGCTGGTACAAAACAAGGCTGGTTTAGATGCCGCTCCTACAGTGTCAATGATTTTTCATAAAAACGTCACAGGGGACACGAAAATCTCAGGCTCTGAGAGCTGGGAAAAAATCAAGAGAACCAGGTTTTCTGAGTTATTCATGGCAGGAAGGCTGATGGCATTTACAGGCATTAAGGACACTATTCAAACTACCCACCATGGTGCAGTCAAGACTTTTAAATTCAGAATTTATTTTGAAATGTCCAGAAAGTGCATGTAAAGACTTGCCAAGCAACCATGTTTTACTCTCTGCTTGAGACGTATGAAATACTTCAGGTGGCAACGCATCATCTGTTTATGAGTTGTATACCAGCAGAAAATAAATAGCGTACGTTTTAGAAAGGCCAATTGAAGATACTTTTTGGAATATCCCAGTGGTATAGCTGGTACTGTAATTTCAACCAACCATGAAATAATAAAAAAAAGTCTGTAACAGTTTGGGATTATATTATTAGAAGTGCCTAAGGGTATTACATTACACTGTAACATCATGATGCCATTGTAATGACAACAAAGTATCTCTGGAAAGTTGCTGAGGAAAGATAATAGGCTGCGGGTAGAGGACGTTTTGTCAGAAGCATAACTGTGAATTTGCAGAACGCTGGAAAAATCCAGAAGTTGTCCTCAATCAAGAAACGGTGTAGGAAAATCTTGCACACAATGGTTAAGACGAAGTTATTAACCACTGTGAATATAAAGGCAGGTCAGGATGATGGCATGTTTCTGCTTAAGACACAATGAAGAAAATTGTTGTGTTTTGGTACAACAAATACCCCCGTGGAAAATGCCTCTGGAAAGGTCAGTATTATGAAGGCAGTCAACATAACTGTAATTGTTCCAAAGTGGTTAATTAGTAGCCCATTTTAATATGATAGTGTCACGTTTGTCTTTTCCCCATTATTACTAGTAATCTCTCAGTATCACAAAGGGAATGTAATTCAGAATTACAACACATGTCACAGTAAGTTATCATTTGAAAAGTTGTGGGTTATTTTTCCAGTGTTACACCAGTGTGTATGAAGAAACAGGCATTCTGAGAAGTTAGGACCGGCCTCCACGCGCACGCTTATTACATGATCAAAAACACTGCCTGCATGCAGCGCACTGACTGCATGGCCAAGTCATGCGGGCAAGGCCCCTCTTTCATGGTACAGTCCAACAGGTGAGGATCACGCATGTGTGGCCCCTCCCCATGGAGACTGGACCTCCCATGCAGCTTTTGCACCCTGTCTCGGCTGGCACCATGGGAGCAAACGCCTTGCCTTTAGACGTCACAGCCCCAGGTCCCCCTTTACCTGCAGAATCAGTAGGAGAGTCTTTGGATGAACTGGAGTCGTCTGAACGAGGGAGGCTGTCCAGAGCGGTCTGCAGTTCTGCAGGAAGGGATCCCCCGTGATGTACAAGGATCTGTGCAGCCAGCTGAACGTTGCCTTTGAATAATTTCAGAGCCTGCTCCACGTCCTTGGGCTTAAAGCCCATATATACCAACTAGACCATAAAAACACAAAGATGAGGCATGTGTTATAATTAGCGAGGTTTTTGTTTTATTTATTTATTTATTTATTTTACTTACATCCAAGGAGCTCAGAATGTGACTTTCACCTCAGAACAGCTCTGTGAGTGAGTTGAGCTGGGTTGGTTGGAGTGGGAGGGGAGATGGCCCAAGATCACTTGCAGTTACAGGGCTGAGCAGGGAATTCCAGGTAGGGTTCTTACCCTTGTACTACACTAAACGCGGTGCAATTTGGGGAAAGTGTACTTCTTATTGTAAATATATCCCAGAGTTGAAGGCCATATCATTGGCTCACAATAACGGCTCAGCTTTTGGTCCTGTCTCTGGAACAACACACTTTTCTGTAACATATGGTGAAATGTGGGTTAACTATTATTACAAGAAGTAAAGGATACAGATGGCCCATCCAAGTTTTGCATAAGAAGAAATGCAGAGATGGGCCCGGGCACTTTACATATGGATATCCCCAAGCACAATGCTTCCCATTTATACCAGCTGGCCTGCTGCACATGTTTGAACTTACTCTACTGCTTTAGCTCTGGGCCTGGTTCTGACACAATGGATGTTGGAATGATTCCTGTGGTTATCTGTGCCTGGAAATATTTAGTTAGAATGGACCATCTTTGCTGCACAATGAAAAACACACTCAAAGACACAGCTTGCAGCTTATCAAATGAAGTTTTAATATGTCTGTGTCTACTGGAATAATTGTAACATCCATCCAACAGATGCAAAATCAAGTAAGTCGTTCAAAATATGAAAATTATTCTCATATGATCTGTGCAAAGAATGCTAACCAATACACATGCACAAAAAGTGAGTCTCACAAGGTTGTGAGACATTCCTGACTGCAACCTGAGTTGATGCGCACTCTGGCAGGTGGCTTGATGTGATCCGCACATTGCTTACACTGTCAGTACTTTGCCTTGTTATATGAGGAGATGCCCCAGCTCTCTTTCGGCTACAGCTATATCACATGAGCTACCCATAGATTTCAGTGCAGACTGCAGCAAAGTGGCAGTGGAAATTAACGAGACATTGGAGCAGTGGTAACAGGACACCCTCCAGATGCTGCCTGAGAGGAGCTCCCATCAGCTTTAGACAGCGATGTCAACGGAGTGGGGTGCTGAGAGCTCCAGCCCAGCAACATCTGGAGGGTCACTTTCCCCCCATCTCTGCCTTAGAGAAAGAAAAAAAAAAACATTAAGGATTTTACTGGCCCCTAAGTGGTAATGTAAAACAGCAAGCTAAAAATTGCTAAGGCAACGAATGGGACCGTCAGCCTCAAAGAGATTGGAGGAATTTGAATCCCCCCCAGGATAAATGCAACTTACTTGATCAATACTTTCCTGGGTAACATTGAACTCTTCCCCTGGCATGGGATCCTCCTCATCTGGCAGGAGTAGCAGTGGGTTGTCCAATATAATCTGGAACAGACAGCAAACACGAGTGTACACACAGACCAAGAGCCTCCCCCACGCCGTTCACGCAGAAGTGCAAGCTCACAAACGGCATGTGAAAAGACCATTTGGACTTCACAAGCTATTTTTCCCACACTGCTGTCAGCACATTCTCAGGTAGCCAGGTGTGCCTCCCACAGTGCACAAGGCCTTCAACAGCTGGCAGACCGCAGGCTGTGTTTTTCCTTTAATGCCTACTCAAAATAATTCTATTTTATTTATCAAGACCTTTGCTAGTATTTAATTTTGAATTGTCTTTCCATGATATTGGGCATGGAAGGCTGCTTTTACGTTTGTTGGAGGTTTGCTTGATGTGTTACAGCAGTTTTAAAAATAGAATAAATACATTCTTAGGCCAGGATCCAAAGGGCTATTTTAGGAATGTTTAAAGTATATTGGTTTAAATGAAGGGAATTTAAACCAATCATTTAAATCTCAAGTTTCCTATTCTGAAATCTATACTTCTTGAGTCAGCTTGAAACATATTGATTTATAAATAAAGAGAACATTCATGTAACGAAAGGGCATAATTCAAAACTGTCTATGCTAGTTCACATGCTCTTTATATTGTAGATTTGTGTCTGCTCATAGACACGTATCTTACAAAGGTTTCTTTAAACATACAAGGATATTAGGCACAATAGCTCATTTGAGAATTACAGCTTCAATCTTCCACATCCTTGTTTGGGAAACATGCATAAGGATAGGCATTAAGAAGTACCCAGAACTTTGCAGAAGCGAGAGACGGCAGTTACCGAGGAACGCCATTTCCCCCCATAAGTTGGAAAGTGACGGCACAGCCTTTTCTGGCGGTGTCATAAACAACAGTAATTTTAGAATTGAACCAACTGCAGCCACAAGGCAGGAATTTAATACATGATCATCCACACATGTAGATAAGGGTGATTCTGATAAGATACAGAATAGCATCACCTGGATTACGGAGCCTGCGATGGCCCATTAATTGCAAGTCCCCTGTGTCAAACTGTAACGTAGGAGCGTGAACTGTACAGGTGCTATGAAGATGTTTTCCCCAACCTAACTTGATGAAACAAAGCATTTTAGGAATGATCTAGGGGGCCCCAGGGATCTCAGATCTCCAGATCCAGCTTGACAAAGAGCCCTCATCTCACAGCTGGGATTCTGTGCTCCGATACCTCCTGCACACCTTGCAGCCATCATGGAAACAACCATGCTGGCGGTCTCTTCGAGGTGGGGAACGCAACCTTGGAGGAGGTAAAGCGGGGAGGAGACAGCAGGGGTCAGGGTGTGAGGTATCCTTTGTCCTCTGCTGCCCCTTCCCTTCCCTTCCCCTGCAAAGAGTCCCAGACGAATGGCTGAAAAAGCTACTGAAAAAGCAACGCAGAGCAGAGGGGGAAGCAAGGCAAAAAGCAGCCACTCTGCACAGGATGCCTGCAGCCCTCCTAGGCTTATAGGCATCTTGACTGGATTGCACCCGTAACAAGCAACAGCCCACTTACCAACGTTTCTTAAGCTCCGGGATGGACCATGAGCCCAGTTTTCGTTTATATGAAACCATTAAGTTCCAGTTTCATTTTAAGCCAGGTTATTTTAAAAACTATTATTGCCCAGAATATTTGTTTTAAATAATCTGGTTTTTGTCCACCCTGGGCAAATCCAAGGATGGGCTTTGGCTTGCTTTGTGGGATGTTTGACTTTTTTCTTTGAATGGCAGGTTCCTGTGCCATATGAGACAAAGCTATGGCTACCCATCATGCAGCACTGGGGGCGGGTGCTTGAGAAACACACTGCCATACAATAGCAAGGCATGTGAACTGTACGGATCTTAGGAATCCAGCCTCTAACTACAGGAGCAAAACTTTCTGCAGGGAAGTGCTGAGTTAAAGTTCTCCACATGAAACCTACCAGAGGAAACCAAGTATGGGTGAGAATGTCATGGTTATAGTAAACTTAAAAAAATAAAATGTTTGCAGCTTAGAAAATTTCCCCTACACATACGTACACATTTTCGAGTTGAGCAAGTCATTAAAATTCCATGAAATTCTTACTCAAAGTATTCTGACCCATTTCTAATTCTTATTTTTCCTTGTGTAACACAAGGTCATGTGGTGCCAGTGTGGTGTAGTGGTTAAGAGCATGGGACTGGGACTCAGATGATCGGGGTCCTAGTCCCCGCTCAGCCATGGAGCCCACTGGGTGACTCTGGGCCAGTCACAGACTCTCAGCCCAACCAACCTCACAGGGTTGTTGTTGTGGGGATAAGATGGAGGAGGAGAATAATGTAAGCTGCCTTGAGCCCTTTGTAGGAAAAAGGCAGGATATAAATCCAAAAATAAAAAAATAAAAAAATTAAATAATTCCTGATTATATGAGGGTACATTTGAGCTTTCAATATGCAAAATAATCTGGAATTTTTTCACCTGACATTTGTGCAACTAATGGACAGAGTCTCAGCTGGGGTGCCAAAGCCAGAAACCTGTCTCTAACGGCCCAGGTGTGCCTGCTCCAAGGTATGTTCTACTGAATTAAATGGGGCTGCCTGGCAAGTGTGCGCTGCACTGCAGCCTAAACGAAACTGTGCAATTCCTTTTGATAACTGAGAATAACTTGAATTTGAATGGTTCTGGAGGTGCCCCTTTCTTTTTGACAACTGGAGGCATCCACATTCTACTTCTCTCGCTGGCCATCTTGAAACTGTAACTGCTTAGAAAGGAGTCTCTAATTTAACAGCTATTAGGGAAAAAAAACAGCACAGGGACCCTGTCTAAATGGAACTTTTCACCTCCTCTTCCAGGTCTGCTAAGTGAGCATTATAGCAAAAATCCATTTTGCTTTCTAGGTCCGGCAGCAGGAAGACTTAGTGGGAAGCATGGCTGGTGTTCTGCAGAGCAGTAGCACACCTGTAGGGAATCCTGATTCACCAGTTTAGAGATCACATATTTGACAGACAAAGGAAGCAATAATATTTGCTGTCTGTTACCTGAAACCATATGGAGCCCACAAGGTATTTCCCAGCAGGCTTTTCTGCAGTATTGTCAAAGGTTTGGAAACACACTTACCTTAGTTGCCAGCACAATGTCTCCCTTCGCCTTATGAAGAGCTTCCCTAGCAGCTCGCTCAGGATAGCCCAGACTCTTCAAGGAGTTTATGTCCTCTAGTCGCTTTCTCCTTTTGGCTTTTTCCTCTCTCCTGATTTGAGCCTTTTCCTGTTTGAGAAGAGCCATAAGAGAAGGTGCATTGCCTCAGCCTGAAAGCATCTCTCTTGCTGCTTTGATGCCTTCATTCTGTTCTGATGCATTTCTTCCTGTGATACAACTATTTCAAGCAAAAACTCCTGCTTCCTCATTCTTTATGAAGGACTTGACTAAAATGGTAGTCTTCAAACTACCTCTCAAGGAGGACTATTTTCTCCCAGAAAGCTCCCCTCAAGTATGTCTCTACTACTCCTGAAGCTCACAAGTATGGAAACTTCATGGAGATTTAGCACAATATGTTTTAATTGGTGGAAAAACAACAGGTAACTAATATTAATACTGCCCCACATAATAGGGGGATCCAGCTCTTTGGCCACTGAGACAAATGCCACGTTTTAAAATTAGGGGGTTTGTGACATACAGCAACACACACACATACCAATAATCATGTCAAACTGGATGGTGGCAGCTTGCATTGCTTGGTGCCCACATCACAACATTTACTGCATCACAACAATACGCAACACAACCTGATGGTATAGCATGGCAGCCTCCCGGCATTATACCTCTCTCCGGTTGGAAATGTGACTAGCAGCATGATCCACATTTCCATCACAGGCTCGGAGACCCAGACGAGCTTCCTGAGCAGAGAAACCCAGAAGTAACAAGCTACTGATCTTCTCAGGATCTATGCACAATTCTTGAACTAAGCCATGGGCCTGTATAGGAAAGAAGTGGGCAAAGAAATAAACTTTTACTAAATGGAGCACACGCAAACTTGTGCCTAGGGGAGGGATTGTAAGGTCTGAAGCTCAACACAAAAACGTACCTTCTGAAGATGTTCAGCAGCCTCCCCTTCTCTGCCATTATGGTACTGGGTGATTCCTTGAAGTAAATAAAGCCTTAAAAATAAAGCCTTCTCTCGGCCAGAACTTCCCTAAAGAAACACAAGTATTTACCAATGGGTCAATTTACATGTTAGAACATAAGGACAATGTATGGATTTTAACTTTATTTACCAGAAGTCATTGGAACAATTTAGAGAGAAAGCGCAAGAGTCAGCGTACAAGCACGAGACAACAAAACAGATCATAGGGGGTGGGGTGGAAAGAGAAGGGACCCACAGCCACAGGAAAAGGAGAAAGTTTGCATACGGGACAGCAAACAAACTCTGGCCCTGCTCTGACCTCTTGAAACTTTGCAGAGCTGATGTAAGGCACTTGCATTTACTAGAGGGGCAAGAATCCACTCAAACAGAGCCCAGTAACACAACAGGCCTGAATATCAGTATCAGTTATCAGATGTAATGGGGAGGGGGGAAATAAGAGGCTGGAAATCTAACAGCTGAGTATATCACCAGTAATCAAACAGGGGAAAAAGCTTACCATGAATGTCAATCAATAAAGCACAGAGAGACTTGCCCAAGGCTAACGAACACCTGCAGCGCCGCAACAAGCTGGGCTGCATCCCCTCACTTACATCAGTCACCCTCTCAAAAAGGCCTCAAGGAAAGAATGCACCACAAGCCCGGTTAATTTAGAACGAGCCAAGTGCCAGCGACAGGGTCACCTCCAGACAGGGCTCTTCCTGGCTGCTTTCCCCCCACACTATTCACTTGGGATCAGGCACACAATGCATTGGGAATTGCTCCTGGACAGAGCCCATGGAAATGGAGAGCAGCTAGGAACGAGTTCCTGTGAAGTGTCCGTTCACTATGATTTTATTTTTCTACAGCTAAATGTTGTGTCTGGTTTAATATTGAGAAGCATCTTCCCAGCAGATCACATGGGATTAGATTTTACTGGTTTGGCTAAGTTACTTGAGAGAGCAAACCTGGCTCTCGCTGGCAGAGGACAGGGCTAGTCCCTTCCCTGTTGTGCCCAGGCAACCTATCAAACACCAGGGGAATTACCAGCTCTGAATCTCGGCGTGCTATTGCACCCTGTGTGTGTGTCCATGTGGGGAGGGACTGGAATTGGCCAGGGGACCTTTTCCACATGGTCAGCAGCCAGCTATGCAGTCGCTAGACCCACACCAGGTGCTTCTGGGCACAGGACCTTGGAGTGGAACTTATCCACTCAATTCCACTCCTAAGCTATAAATATGGACTTGGCCTGCTGTCGCCGGTTTCTCCACCACCTGCTCCAGAGCTAATCCCTGTTATCTTGCTAAAGAAAAAGATTATCAGACAGGTGATGTATATGGGAAGGAATTTTCCTTCTACTTATGACAGGTTTGTGAGGTGTGTTTTTTGCCTCCCCCTCAGGAATATATGCTGCTCGTAGTTTAAACTGCATTTTAACGGTCTCTGTCAAAACTTCCTACTGCAGGTAAGTGCTTGTGGTGGTAAGTGTGGGTGGGAGCTCAGCTGACCACTGGATTCTTTTAAGTGATACTGCAGTGCCACAGTCCAGTTCAAGGCGGAGGCCGGTGGGCTGCGTCTGTGACACGCTCAGCTCACAGACGCAGCCCATGGTCTTGTTTCACACCCTGCTGTGCTGAGAACCGCCGTCACCATCCATGTTCTCTCAGCATGAGGGCCGGTGAGAGAGAGACAGCCTGCTGGCCAACACCAATACTGGAATCCTCTGGATGCTCTGCCTAGACTGGTACAAAGCACACACACACACGTATACTGACAACCGGCCCAGAGCTGTAGTCTCAATGGTCACACAGGTGTGTGCATTTTAATGAGCATCCAAACAAGCACATTAGGTTGTGGATAGGCAGCAGTCAGTTCCAGGCTTCCTCCCTTCAGAAATGCTTTCCCAGACTGTGGCATTGATGGGCCAAGGCCCCCTTTCCATCCAGCTTCTACCACAAAACCCCGGAACATGGCAAAAAGGGTTCTGGGTGCTGGATGGGTACATATTCTGTTTCTATGGGCATCAGCCAGGCTCGCAGGCTGCACTAGTGCTTCACATGATCTGAGAATGCTGCAACTGTTCCACAGAACCGAGACTGTGCCCTAGAGCAAACCTAACACCCCCAATGCAGGGGAAAATTAGGGGTGGGCACACCATCTTGTAGGGAAGTCTGAAAAGCTTCTGAGGAACCTCATGGCTCTCCAGTGTTAGATACAGGATAAAAAGCGACTGTGGTCAAGTAAAATGCATTCATGAACAGCTCCCTGCTATGATATCATCCCCTAGCAGTGCATTATACTAAGGTACTGAAATGCGGAAGCTTGTTTTCTATTTGAATTTCCTGCTAGTCTGTGTAGAGGTTTAATTGGAATTCATTGTATCTCTGTTGCACGGGCGAAAAAAGGTGGCAGAGGAAAAATAAGTGTCAGAGAGATAACTGAGCTTACAGTCTTGAAATAGATGCATCCTCTGTGTACATATTAGCTTTATGAAGTTACATATTCACACATTTAATCTGCAAAGGCATCTACTTCCTAGGGAAAGGCAAGAAGCATTTCCTGAATGCCAAGGGTATTTGGCCACATCGGGAGAGTTCAGACTCCCAAAGCAAAGGAAGCTGTAAAGGACGAGGAAAGACCATAGAAGCATCCACATGGGCATGCCCTTCCATCTCTTTTGCCTACTTTTATAGTGACCAGTCTTTCGTGGTTCTCTCCGTAGCACCTTCTGAAGCAGTCGTGGGCTATTGTGAGCTTTTTCTCAGCATCGTCAAGGCACTCCAGCTGCCCCAGGTGGAAGTAACACCAGACTATGTCCAGTTGCAGCACTGCGTAATTATCAACAGTGTGCAGGAGCTCTGAGCCACAATCGCTGAAAAACAAGAAAATTCCATGCAATGACTTCCAAAAGCCACCAGTAAAATTTGTCAATAAAAAGTGTACATAATTTCCCTCAAAACTCTGCAAATTAGTGGTTGGAGGTGCAATTCTATTCTGCTGGCTTAAGGTTTGTTGAATGCTCCACTGAGGCCAAGATTTGGCAGTGGCGCTGCACGAACAGAGTGAGTTATGCAAAGGCTACGGACAAGATCTGATCTTGTCAGAGCTCATGTCCCTTCACGGCTGTCAATTGCACAACTTTGCACCCACCTTCCACTGATTCCAATGGAAGGAGGACAGCAACCTTGTGCCAATGCTCCCTTTTGCCTTACCGAAGGGGCAGGCAACACCTCCCCAGGCTCCCCAAATTCCAGCCCTGCTGAGTCTGCCTGCTTCTGGATGCACAAAGCGCAACATACAGCCAATGCACATGGGGCTCCACAACAGGTGTCTGTGTCCTGAAGGGGAGGCTACTGTTGGTAGCAAGGAGAGGCATGTCCAGGGCGGCACCACTCCTTCAGGTGCTCCTGTTGACCGCCTGGCCACGCGACCTCTCTTTGGGCTCTCACGGCCAGTGCCGGGCTAACCAGAAGGGTAGTCCAACCGGAGAGCAGGTGACTTCCAGCTGCTCCCCTGGTCTGCACAACAGACCTGCGGGAAGGCTGGATGGCTCTTGGCAGCATCCACTCCGCCTCAGGAGTGGTTTCCAAACTGATGGCATCTTGTGGACAGGGCTCCAGCTCCCCCCCTCCAGTGCAATGAGTTTCACTTAGCCTCAGGACAGGACCCAGGTGGGTGGGAGCCTGGTTCTACCTGGGCTCCTTTGCTTTCTTTCAGAGCTGGGCTTCTCAGGGTGTTCAAGGGGGATGGGTGCTGCTGTCATGGTGGGTGAGGCAATTAGTGGGAGGCAGCTGGGGAGGCTGGTGATTGGCCACATAGGTGGCCAGGAGGAGGAGGAGGAGTGTGTCTCAAAGATGGAGGGCTTATTTATTAGATTTATGTCCTGCCGTTTTTCTTAGAAGGCACTCAAAGCGGGTTATATCACTCTCCTCCTCCTGCTCACGCTCTTATCCTCACAATAACAACCCTGTGAGGTAGGCTGGGCTGAGTGTCTGTGACTGGCCCAAAGTGTCCCAGTTTGCTCCATGCCTGAGTAGGGCTAGAACCCAGACTGCTCAAGTCCCAAACTCCCTGCTCTTAACCAGGACACCACAATGACTCTCTTTCTTAGTACAGAAGCTGTCATTCTGGGCATCAGAGCCCCTCTTCAGAGGTGCCTGCAGTCTCCAGGGAGTAACCGCACTACTGGGACTTCCCTGCTGGGAATTGTGGCACTGCCACCCCTAGGCAGTCCAGTGTGAGCTGGCTCCATCTCTGCTGCCTCCTGGGACCTGTGGACAGTGGCAGTGCGGCCCAAAGCACAGAGGAAACGGGTAGAGTTTCTGCAACATTTGCTCCCGTTCCTCTCTACCACGTTTCTTCCGCCTGCTGTGGGCTAAGCACATGCTGGATACAACGGCCTCTCTGCTGGCAGAGCGGCAGCATTACCTCTAGCCCTGCTGGATCGGCCGCACAGGGCTGCTTTGTAAAGCACTGCAATTATATCAGAAGAGAAAACACCAAAGATTCTTACCAGAAATGTTTATCCGCATCCAACAGGAATGGCAATGCCATGGCATATTCCTTCTTCTTCAACAACGCTCTTCCCTTTTCATGATGGCCCATTGCTAACAAGAGAGCCTGCAGAGGAGGAAAAGGAAACAGCATGTTAATATGAAACCTTAATGCTTAACTGCATTTAAAACTAAGCCTGCTCATCCTTCACTCCCCATCTCCTCCCCTGCCCAAACTGCCCCAGAGCTTTCCCTCACTTTTTTGGCTTCTGGGGGAATCTTGATGGATCTTCCGGTTTGGTTTGCAATGTCGAGGTAAGGCATCGTCTCTGGATCCATTGAATCCTCTGCAACAAACCATACAGATAAATTCAGGAATAAACTCACTCTCAGATATTTGCTTTATGCACCAAAACATTTGCTTTGTAAAACTGGAAGTCCACTAGCCCACTTCACTGGCCCATTCTCTCTTGTATGCAAGATTAAGTAGTCAGGTTAAACTGTTTGTCCTAAGAGCTAAATGGTATTATGGTATATCTACTCTTTTCAGCACCAGGTGAAAACCTTTTTATTTGCCCAGTATTTTAATAGTTAACTTTTTAATCTTAGTTTTTATGCTGTGTTCTTTGTCCTATTGTTCCACCTGTGCACCTACTTGCTTGCAACTGCTATGGTTTTATTGGTTTTTTCTTGTTTTAGTGTTGTATTGTTTTACAGGTTATTCTCTTTGTTTGTAATGTTAACTTCTGTTAACCACTCAGAGAACCTTGGGCTATTGGATGGTGTAAAACTGAAATAAATATTGTATCTAAAGTGTAGGGTGCTGCCAAATGTAGTTCTGTCATACAATCAGCTTGCCTCATTTTATGCAGTGTCCCAATAAAATATTCTTCCATACGAAGCTTGCTTCTGTTTGCCTACCTCCTATTCCTTTCCACAAAAAAATCCATTAAGAAGGAAAAAACAGAAGAGCTGCACAATGTTTTTTGCTCAGAAGCACTATAAGCCCTGCATTTGAAAGCATCTGTAAACATCTTGTGGTTCCTGAATAAGTTCTTCATAAATACACACTTCTGGCAAAATGAAGTCTCAGCCTCTGTCCAGTTTTCATATTGTATCCTCCAAAATTTCTGGTGATATTTTCCGGGAGGGTGAAGATCACCCAAATTATTCTCAAAGGGTTTGTGGGAAGGCCCTATGAAGGAATGAATAGTGGCCATCCACGGATTCATCTGAACCTTCTCGTAGTTTCAGTGAATGTCATGAAAATGAAAAGGTGTTTGGTTATCCTCCCTTTGGTTCTTGGGTCTCAACTTGCCTGATTTGTACAGATGAGAGCGATGTTTACAGACCACCTCAGTATGTCTCTCTTCAAGTAAGTGCTTTAAAAAAAGGGGGCCACTTTTATTAAAAAATACCTCTGGTCATTCTATGTCAGTTTCCAACTTTCCTCAGAAGAGATCAAATTTCAGGAACGTAAGATGGTCAGGAGGTAAATTTCATGATATGATACTCGCAGCCTCTCGTACTGGCAGGCTTCCAGCCGACTGAAATGCATGGGCTGCTCCACTTGCATGGTGCCATATAGACAGTTCTAAATCCTCGAACCACGATCAAAGAGATATTGGGGCGGAAGTAACTGGGGCTTTATTTGCGCTGGTGCCAAAAGAGTTCTCTGTGCAAATCTGACAGGTTTTTTTAAAGCCCTGGCCACCCATATGATTTTGCTGTGTATGTGTATTATTTCTTTGTTTCAAAACTGATCTCCCTCAGGTCAATAAATCACCATTTTCCCCAGACTGTTCAAGGCTTGAGCATATTTGGTGATTTAGGGTGAATTTAAGTGCACCCAGCTGCCAGGATCATTGGCTCTTTCAGTACCTGTGGTTCTGAAAACCGGATGTTACAACTTGCCAGCATGGTTCAGCTTGAACTGAGGAAAAGTCACTGGACTGGCTATCACCATCAGCTCCTAATTCCCACGTTACTTTTGTAACTGTTTTGTAAAGGTTTGCAGTATACTTTAATACTGTAGATGAGTGAACATATGTACATTGCTTGAAGTGCAAAGGAAAAGGCCAGACTGATGGATGAAGACTGCTGGTGTGTCTTGTGGAAAAAGCAAAGCTAGCCACACACCACAGTTGAAAAACTGGCTGTCACTGTTTTTTTTAAGTAGTACTACCTGGCTTGCATGCAATGAACGCAAGTTAAGTATGGGCTGTTACTGAATCTTGGATTGCTGTTGAATCATTGGATGTTGTTTCATGTGAACACTAGATTTAACTGTAAGTTGTTAATCACAAACAACCCAGAACTCAAAAGTCAACAACAAACCATGGGTTCTCTTCCATAACAACCTAGAGTTAAATCACAGGACTGAGCTCAAATATAATGGCAATCCACAAAAAACCTATCAATTCAACAACCCACACCTAACTCATACTATGGATTGTTGCGAATGTAAACCTCAGGCCAACACCTACCTTCTTCTGATGCGTAATACAAAGTGAGACGCTACCTTCTCCTTAGGCATAATACACACTGGCCTTTCTAGTTTCTCCTTTATTCAGTATTGCTAACAGCAACATTTAAGTAAAATGTTCTCTACCTCTTTCTGCGAGTATTTCTATGCCTTTCTTCGTTCTTTGCATCCGTTTATTCATTTCTTTGTTCTTCGCTACCTCTTCCTCATGCTGCATTTCTTCTTCATGGACTTTTCTTCTAGTTTCCTCTTCACTCAGTTTCAGCTCAAGCACCATGACCTTGATGTTATGTGTTATACCTTGTTCTTCGAGGGTTTTTCCTGTAATATATAGAGAGATGTATATGCCAGACAAAGTCATTTGGAAGAATTTTGAAATAAACATCCTAAAATCAAAGTTTCCTAGGGAACAAGGAATTAGTTCCAATTTGACCTCTGAATGTAGATGCATAACTTCTCACATGATATTTTAAAATACAGATACATACCTAGGTCAAGTTGCTTCTTATTTGCAATTATTTTAATGCAATTTTCTTCAAAGCCATAGGTTTGTGCTATTCTGTGAACCAAAGTAAGAGACAGTAAAAGCTATTCAGTTTTAAGAGGCTAACATATCATTTTTACTCGTTATGATGCATAAACCCACCATGACTACAAGGAGTGAAATTCAGGAATCTCACCATTTTACAAGCTAGAAGGAGAAGATATAACGGTAAGAAGGGGAAATGAAAGCCTTTTGAACTGCAGTACTCAAAACATGTATGTAAGGATACTACAAATTCAACTGCTTAAGATAGTTTCTTCCTGTTTCTCTTGATAATCACATCAATGTAAGCCACTATGAATTTATAAAGACTTAAAAAAATAAATACAGCCGCTCCTTTCCATATAAATGTTTATTCTCTTTCTCTATGTACTTAGATGTAAAATATGACATTCCTATGCCGAGCGTAAGGAACATAACTAAACTAAACCCAGAGTATATACTACAAAAAAAAAAAAAAACTTTACAGAAGTGCCAAACAAAGCAATTCAGAAAATTTTTAAAAAGATAATGTGATAGGACTTACTGAGATCTGAGCTCCTTGCCTGTGATGACCAATTTTGTCTCCAGAGCATTTTTTCTTGTCTATAAAATAGAGATATAAATACCGAGTTACAGCAAACTGCAGTTCACCAAAGGAGGCTTATGAAATTCTACCAATCCAAATTCTGCCATGGATTTGCAGGTTCAGAATCACTTGTTCTCATTTGCTGAGCAGGAATAATATGTCAGGAACCCTCTATTGTCTAAATAATAATCATAGACAAATAATAATAATAACCACAGACAAAATAATATGTCTATTTTGATTTTTGATCTGTGTAGAGGCCACTGCAATTGTACAATTCGCTGTAGTTGTACAGTTGCATGTTCTACAACTGTCAGCTTTACCCAGCTGCACTTACTGTATGAACTGAACTTTCTACTGAAGCAGTTTTGAGGATGTGACCATGCACTAATCACTGTCTTAAATTAGCATAAACTGAAGACTCTTTTCAGCTAGCATATTTTCCTGCTCTGAATGAAATACTTCCATTCATTGCAAAATTTATATATGCTTCTTTAGATAACATTAGCAATTGCTTACTTTACCCATCCTTTTAGGCAAAGCTACTTCAAGCGTTGCAATTCCTGTTGTCTTAAAAGCTTCATTTCCTGTTCCCCGCTCAATTGCTTTACAGCGTATTTCTTCCAGAATGGCTTCTATTTCACAGTCATTATAATTTAGCCTGGCTGAATATTGCAATGCGAGTTCCTAGAACAATAAAATGAATTTGTTAGTGTCATGAAAGTCGCGCAAATATTCAGCAACTAAAAGCAGCCACACCAGGGCAGCCACGGTGTACATGCCTTCAGCTCCGCACCAGCCTCTTTCTGGTTGTTTGTATACGGAGGTTTCCACAGATGAATTTTGTCTTCTCGCAAATAGTTTATCAGCTTTGCCGCAAGATACTTGTTCTGAGCCATCCTTGCAGAAAAAACAAAATTAAAATGTTTACTCCTGTGTATAACAGCTGCTACTTAGAGTAGTGTAACCTTGTTCTGACCTCAATCAAAATGCTTGTTCTACTTTCTTAGATCCCTATAGGAAAATGCTTATGAATGTGATCTTTTATGCTGAAACCAATGCAATGGGGGAAATGCTCTATGTATGGTGCTTCAATTACATGTACATTCAGTCCTTTCTTTTTAAAATAAATATCTAAAGGACTTACCTACCCACCCCCTCAGATCAGCTCAGGAGACCCTCCTACGAGATCTACCCCTCAGGGAGATAAGAGGAGAGGCAATGAGGCGAAGGGCCTTTTCTGCTGCTGCTCCCCATCTCTGGAACTCCCTCCCTAGGGAAATTCGCCTGGCACCATCTTTACTTTCCTTTTGGAACCAGGCGAAGACATGTCTTTTTAGGAAATTTTTTAACACTTAGCCTGAACGCTGTGGCCCTTTTTATATTGCTTTCATAGATGTTTTAATTTGTTGTGTTTAAATAGCTTTTAATGTGTTTTATTTTAATATATTTTATGTACTGTAAGCCACCTAGGAAGGCTTCGGCAGTTATAAGCGGCCTATAAATACATGCATAAATAAATAAATACCACTTTTTAAATGTAGAAAAACCCTTTTGGGAAGTGAGGGAAGAAAAAGAGGATCTGACCTCAGAAATTCCCAGCTACTTTGAATTCAGAACAGGCAGTTCTGCTGCAAGTAGAAGGAAGATGCTTCTGGGGATAAATTCATACCCCTGTGGCAGAGTATGCATCTGTCACATCAGCCTCACCACTAAAGGTACAAACTTATGAACATTTAGACAAAAAAGTCTTATAACAGTTTAGACAGAGAAAGTTCCGCATGGCTGGCCAGGTACACTGAGAGTAGATGAAAGGCAGACCATGCACAATGCCCTCAACTCCCTAGAAGAAAGGAAGGATCAGAATAAAAATACTAGTGATATTAGCATTTTTTGTTAAGACACACACATTTACACATTTTAGTATTCCTTCCTGACACAGGAATTGATTCTAGAATCTCTTACTACTCGTGGTAAATAAGGTGTGGAAAACAGTGCAATTATGTTCAAACAGTTTGCCTTGTGCATATGACAATATTAAATTATGATACATACTCTTCTGATATCAATAAACTATCAGTTCTGGGCTGCCAGCAATGCATAGTTTTTAATAAAATAAAAGTTGTAAAGAACGGCAGGCAAGCAAGCAACAAACAAAAATGTTCAGCAAAGGCTGAGTAACATACAGCCAATAAATTTGGAAGAAATATTTAATGATTTATCACAATGTTTTTATTTGCTCATAGAGCTATATTCCTCTTGTAAACCAATTTTTATAAGAATCTATTGACAGGTTAAAATTGTATGCCAGCTACTACTAAAAGACTGTAGACGCTTGCTCAAACACAGGTATTTTCCTATGATATTACAGTTCTTCATAAATCTAAGCAAACTAAAATCTGAATAGGAGGAACTCTAGCTAAACTTGGAGAACGTTAGGATTGTCAACGGACTGAAAAAGAAAGCCTGGCCTGATCCTATGCCTTTAAGAGCAGTTTGATTTGTAGAAGTTAGCAAATGAAGCCTTTCAAAGGAGAGGGAGACATGGCCACTTGCAATGGTCTGCAGACTAAACTGCTATTAAGGGTTCAGCTACAAGGGCCAGTTGAAAAGCTGGCAGGAACAATGGCAGAACATAAGCTTCCAAGCCTGCAATCTTTAAATCACTTTTCCTACCAAAATGAAGTGGTCTGAGAACTGCAGCTGCCACTACTACTTTTTGCCATTTCTGCTGTGCTTTCCACATTTTAGTATCTGCCAATGAGCCTAAGCATAGCCACAAATGATGCCAGATTTTACAGATGCAGCCAATAAAAGTCTGCCAAAATTTTGGTATTTTTGGAATTGTGATGCAAGCAGGAAGCCAGAGGAAAGCAACTGCTGATTCCTGCACAGAATTTCTTTTTCAATCACCATATGGATGAACAGAAGGTCAGTGGTTTAGCTTCCATTCTTTTCATCCATTCATCCAGATCTGTGGTCTTCTTGCCTGGCATTGCCATTACTGCTTGAGCCAGATCAAGAAAACAAAACTTTGTGGAAAGACTCCCAGGCAGCTGGTGGGGAAAGACAAGAAATCTTAAAAGTGAGGAAAAGATGAAAGGAGACAAACCAATATCACTGTGTGAAACAAATCTATATGCAAGGCCTCTTAATGATTCAAGACATTGCAAAAGGATCTGGCAAAGATCTTAAAATGCTACCATCTGCTACTTGGGACGAGGCAGCAAAACAGATAAATTAGTTTTGCTTTCGATAGTATTTAGTTCACATGCATCGAGCACAGTGCTGCAGAAGCTCCAAAAGAAACTAAAAGAAAAACATTTTTATTGAAGTGTTGTTTTGTAAACAACTTGCTTCCCAGAAAAAACCTACTCTGAAGAGCAAATTAAATGGTACTTCCATAAGACAACTAGTGAAGGATGGAGAACAACAGTGCCTTTTCAGGCCTGACAGGGAGACCTTGCTGCAATCATGTGGCAAACAGCCACAGGAAAAGTGGGAGTCCTCGCTCCAACCTGCAAAATGTACTCTAAGGTTGGAGATGGTCTCCAGAACTGGAATATCTTCTCCCTTCTTTCCCAGGCAGTGCCCCTCCATCCATGCTGGCTCAAGCTCCGAGGGGATAAGAGGGCTGATTAAGGGCATTCCTTGGGGAGCAGCAGCTTGACCACAGTATAATTATCATCAGTCTATCTTGATCATGAGCCGGCACAGAAGACTTCATCAGCCTCAAAAGGCCATCGATGTCTTTTTTTAAGCCAGAGACAGTTCGTTTCTACACCCCTTCTCTCTTCAACAGGATGCCCATAATCGCTCATGTTCTGAGGGGCTGTGGGCATCGCCATTGGATTGTGCCATGAGTCACTGATCTAGTATCTCTGCACTTTGCCAGAGATGTCTTTCTCCAATGACTACCCATATTTAGTCTTACAGTTCTCTCCGGTGTCACAACCATTAATACCTGCATGACAGGCAGAAACCCAAAAGGCGAAGACTGAATCTCTACAGGGAGAAAGTCTGCTCTGGTCAACCTCTGATCTCTCACATGACTTCTGAAAGGCAATTACCAGAAACAAGAACTCCTACCCTTGAGGGTCCAGGGATCCAGCTACAATTCTGCAGCCATCTAAGACTATGAAGCTGGAGCAGTCTGCCTTGGCCTGATGCCCCTTAGATATGGGGGACTACAAGTTCCAGCATTCCCTCAGCCAACACAGGTGAAATAATGCAGTTACTATTTTCTCTCCCGCTTCGCTGTCTTCTACCAGCAATGACATAAAAGCTGGAACTTTTCTTGACACAGATCTAAATGACAGAAACAGCTTTGCCTGTTTAATCTCTCTTTGTCCCATTTTGGTTAAATTGCATGGAGGTCACGGGGAGAAGCAGCAGCAAGTCTGGCTTGTACTTTATCTTCTTCAGGCACTGGAAAAACACAGTTTTTTTTTTCCAGTTTTTAGAGCAGCCCTTGTTCTATCTGTTCATTTTCTTGTGATAACACCATTTATTTCCTAGCTGCTTTTTAAAACTAAGCCAGGCTCCCATTTTAACCATTATATTTCTTCTCTTTGCAACACTTTTAATTGTTCTGTAAGCCACCTTGGAGGTGAATGTGCAGAAAGGACAAGGTATAAACTTCCCAAAATTACTAAGATCTAAACTGTGTAGGTCTTGGCACCCAACAGTAAATTCTGGATGAAGCTCCTCACACCAGAAATCCAAAAAGAACAGCACATCTATTCCACTTCTTCTTCCTCAATGGATTTCCCCCATTTTCGCTAAGCAAATATGGAAGCAGCAGAGGGGAAGGAAGACTAAAACTGAAAGCAAGCTCTTGTGGACCGCAAACAATTCTTGAACGAGGCAGGGCAATGGCAGGGTACAAACTTCATCGAGAAGCCCACAGTGTTTCCTTGGCATTTGCTTTCTTCTGCTATTCAGCAAGCCTTTTCGCCAGTGAGTGGGCCAGGTGCAATTTCTATTCTGTCGCTATTATCACTTTATTATCTTTGCTTTCCAAGGTCTCAGGACGCAATCCTGCTTGCACCTAGACAGGCTAACGGGCTGGCAGGGGCTGGCAGGGGCAGACCCTTTCTTCTGTCCAGCCTTGCACAGGCCTGCACCTGTTCTTCATATAAGCCGCCTCGAGTGCCAGATTGGGCAGGAAGGCGAGGTAGAGAATCCGGGCACATACACAAGTGGCGCCGGCACCTGCAGGGTTCTCGCCCTTCCATCGCCTTGGCAGAAACGGGGCCTGGCGCAACGCAGCCGACCAACCAGGCGCACCACGGCATTCAATCCGGGGGGCGGCGTCTCCCCAGTCAGCCTGGGGTCTCTAGGGCCGCGGCTGGGCTCCCTTCCGCCCCCCCCCGGTACGGAGGTCTCCCCTGCCCTGTAAAGTGAGCCTCGGGGATGGTTATCCGCAAGGGGCTGTGAAGGCCCGACCCCGCGAGACTGGCGAGGGGGAGGGGGGCCCCCGGGCTTCCTCCGCCGGGGCGCTGCCCACGGCCACTCACCTGCGCACTTCTTTTTCTCCCCACCCGCAGGATCCAGCTGTGAAGGAGGGGCCGCGCGTGCGCGCTGGAGCCGTTTGGTGCCCCCCACCCCACGTTCGAAGGAGGCCGAGGCGCCCACCGGCCCACTCGCCAAAGTTCGCCCGCTCGGAACTGAAAGCAAAAACACGGCGATCTCCGCCCCTCGCGAACGCAGCGCAGACGCGCCGTCACGTGACCGCACGGGGCGCTCGCCGCGGCCCGAGCCGCCGCCATCTTGGGTCCGCTTTCGTTTGTGGCGTCAGCGCCGGAGCGGCTTCTCTCCTCCCCGCTCCGCTTCGCTCCCTGGGCGGGGCGGCCTCCGCGCCTCGGGCTCCCTGAGGCTTGATCTCGCCTCGCAGTCCTAATAGGGGCCGATGGCGACAAAGGGTGCGGAGCAGCGAGATGGGGACGGATCTGCTCGCCGCCTCCTCAGAGTGGATGGATTTAACCTAGGATGTTAGCCGCAGTGTACAGCGCTGGGACGGACGGAACGTGGTATCCTCAGACCCCTTGGAAAATTAAGGGCGCCGCCTTGTGGGGTGCAGGCGGGAAAGTAAAAGCTCTTCAAATCCCAGCATTCCTATGTTGGAGGACATCATTCCCCCTGTAGCTGGGGCATGCTGGGAGTTGGAGGACATTTCCCCCCCTGTGGCTGGGGCATGCTGGGAGTTGGTAGACTCTTTGTTTTGTTTGATCAGTCGGAGGATTGTACTGTAGTTAAATCACCCTAAAGTAGCAGTATCCACTTATGTGGGTCAGGACCAATTTTGTCAGAAACATACAAGAGTATCATAAGTAGAAAGTTACACATGATGAGTAACAAGGAGAAAAGGAAGAAAACAATAGCAGGACCCTAACACTATAAAATGCAAGGTTCATGGAATTCCTTGCTTCTGTCTCCACTTTGTAAATCCTTATTACTCTTTACCTGTGCTCAAAAGTGTGTGCATTGCCACTTAATGATTCTGACAAGATGTATCTTGGCTTACAGAAGGTTCTATTACAATATACAAAAAGCAAAGGAAACCAAGTTGATTCAAAAAATTGCATCCAAATCTAAGATTGCCCAATACTCAACTAGGACCAAACAGAATTTCACAAATAAACCGACTCGATGGCTTGAAAGTTTGCAGTTTTGATGGATTCTAATACAGATATTTCCCAATTCTGGAAATACAGTATTGTCTTTGAAATCCAGTAGACACATTTAGGGTTTAGTTCTTTGTATGCCAGTGGGAAATATCTGGCTGGGGAATACTGAGAGTTTATAGGACTATTTTTGCCTAAATTTAGAAAGTACTAACAATGGCAATCACATTAACAGTTGCCCTTCACAAAATGTGATTGTCACTGTTATTATTTCTGGCATTCAATTTCCTGACCCCACTAATTCTGCCTACATCCACACCATTAGTACCGCATATATTACCTTAAATTCTTGGTAACACTTCATGCATCTGAGTTATACTTCATGAAAGCTCATGCCAGAAAAAATACCATCTGTAAACTGCCACAAAACTCTTGGGTTTTTTTGCTGCAATATATACAAATGCAGTTATCTTTTTAAGTTCAGTAGCACTGGGGACAATTGCCTTGATCCACACTTATGAAAGGGGCCTCAGACATGGTGTGAGCCGCATCGCTATTGGCATTGCTATATTCTCGCGCTTTTCTTTAGGAATCTCATTAACTTGAGCTCCGTGAACCACACACACATACACACAAACACAAAACAGACCACAAACTACTGGTGATAGACTCTTTTGCCATGACGGTATGAACAAAGTAGTCGAACATGCACTTTGAAGGGACTGTCAGGGTCTGTCAAAATGAAGATCATAAAAAATGGCTGCCAAGTTAGAGGTTTTGATCTCCAGGAAAAAAAGGTTGAAAGAGCTAAAAAAAAGAACCTTTTAGAGACAGAGTGCCCAAACTGCAACCCAAAACCCACTTATTTATCGCAAAGTGCCAACACTGCAAGAAAACCTGAATATGGAGGTTTTCGTTTAGAAAAAACACCTCACAGCCAGTCCAACCAAAGATATATATATCCTCGGCACCGCACTGACATGCCACGTGAAAGCTTGGACAAGATGCGGCTAATGAGTCACGGCTTGAAATGACACTGCCTGGTGCTGCTACTCCTTTCTGAGCATGCGCATGGCCCCTATGTGCGCTATAATTCGATGCTCAGCTGCTGGGGTGATGCTGGGGTGACTTGGCTCACATGCCAGCAGAGGGCTCTGCCCTAATATAGGGCTAAAGTTCCATTAAAAAGAGGATGATTTTGAAAAAGCCTTCCTTGAGTAGCTTTTCTGCACAGCTCAACATTTCTGCCAATTCTAAGCACATTCCAACCATCAAAATCATGCCAGGACACCTCCCTTTTCCAACTCTAACCCAGTGATGGTGAACCTTTTAGAGACCGATTGCCCAAACTGCAACCCAAAGCTCACTTATTTATCACAAAGTGCCAACACTGCAATAAAACCTGAAAACTGAGGTTTTAGTTTAGAAAAAACAGCTCACAGCCAGTCCAAGCAAATATATCCTTGACACCGCATTGACTGGCCATGTGAAAGCTCGGATGAGTTACAATTAACGAGTTGCAGCTTGTGATGTCATTGCCTGGCACCGCTACTCCTTTCCGAGCATGAGCGTGGCCCCTCTGTGCGCTGTTATCCGATGCTCGGCTGCTGGGGTGTTGCTGGGGCGACTTGGCTTGCATGCCCACAGAGAGGGCTCTGTGTGCCAGCTGTGGCATGGGTGTCATAGGTTTGCCACCACTGCTCTAGCCCATTGTAGGTGAAAACCCTCCTAAAGGGAGCTATAGGTTGTGAGGCTGCTCTGTTTCCCATAAACAAACCAACCTGTAGAAATCCATCTGGGTTTATCTGACACAAGAATGTATTGTGACTTTTCTCCCATGATGAGTTAGTGTATTGTGCAAACCCAGTCAATGATTCAATAGAGTAGTATTAAGTCCAAGACACAGTATTTGGTTAAAAAAAGGAACAGATTTTAATAGTTTTTAGGGCAGTATTTCTGCATAAAACCCCATAGATTCCACAGTGTCATCAAAATCCTACAAAAAACAGTCCCTGAAGTTGGGTGAGACGCAAAAAGGCTTCCCTTATTCCCTTTATCCATGACATATGGAACAACTTTGAAGAAATTGAAAAAGCAGCAAATACCTTATTTTTCCATCTATAAGATGCCCCTATGTATAGGATGCCCCCCCCCACTTTTCTTACCAATCTCTGCGTGAGCAAGCTGCTGCCTCGCTGCGCGCCCTCGATCGCGCCCATCTCCCCCTGGTGTGCGCCCGTGCCTGCCACTGCCGCCTTTCAACTGGTCCCACTGTTGGAAAAGTTGGAGGACCCCCAAGTACACACTTTCTGCAGCATCAGCTGACGTCAGTTACACAAGGCTCATGACTGGAGGAAACCTGTTAGCTTGTCTCTGCAATTGGGAAGTTTTGCTCGTGAGGCTAGTTTGCAGAGATAAGGTACTGGCAGTTTCGCAAACGTGGTTCTCTTCTTGGGCCCCCGTGTATAAGACATCCCTCCATTTTTTGGTAAATATTTTAAAGAAAAAGTAATGTCTGATACACGGAATAATACGGTAAATTTAGTGGAAACCACATATCAGATGAAAGATCAACAGCTTGGAGACACAAATCAATTTTCAAAAGTGATGGCAAACTACTAAATACAAGTTCAGGATGGAAACAGTGTCTTAGATAAATATCTCATGGGAAAGAAGAAAATGTTCTTTGCTTAGAAGAAGCTGTGATCTGTTTGGATTTCTGGCAAGACCAGATCCTTCTTCCAAAACTCCTACCCCCACACAGCTGGTGTGAGAACTACTCCAAGTTAGTTAGAGTGACCTCAAAGATGAGCTTTTGGGGATGAGGAAGGGAGGAGACCAGTGCCACTAAGATATACATTATCCTGATGGCATCTTGGGTTCCTTCCCTCCAACGCCAAGGTGCCACACTTTGATAGTCTAAGCCTTTTTCAGGGTGGGAGGAATGCACTCCTTCTGGCTGACATAGGATGCCCTGTAATTCTCTGGGTGGGCATCTGGATTGGCTCTGAAAAATATCCCCTGGAAACTGTTGTAATTAGTTTGTTATGAGACTTTCAGAAGCTCCTGCGTGTGTAAGGGAAAGAAATTTGAGGCTTCCATTTGTTGATTGTATCAAGATGAAGAGGAGGTAGAATCCAAATCTGGCCACAATGCATTCTTGTAACTACAAGCTATTGCTGATACATCTGAATGTGGCCTATGCATCCTTACATCAAACATTAATTTATACATGGAAAAGCAAAATCTTTCAGAATTTTAGATCAGCATTGGTTCTCCAAGTAAATCATTCAAACAAATCAAAACCAAAGAAATCAAAACTGTGGTCTGGATGTAATGTATTTCTGTCTATTTCACAAAACAGTAACATTTCCATGAATTAAAAAATGATTCTATACTCATTGCAAAATGTGTTACATGGACATTTATTTAACTGATATGAAAAAGAAAATGAGCTTTCGACCTGCTTCTGAGAAAATTATGCTTAAAAAGGAAGTAGGGAACAAATTTAGATATTTATTATATTGAACCCCAGGAATGATAGAAAAGGATGGTTATCTGAAGGTTTCACTTACTGATTTTGACAAGTACCTAAGGAAAATAATTTATTTCAGTAAAAGTATCACCAAAGCGGTATATTAGGCACCCTGGTTAATATTGTCAAAACCGGCATCACATATTGCCAGTTTCAAATTAATTAGCAGTATAACTCTCTACATCTCTATTCAGAAAGAAGTTCCATTGAAATTCCATACTTACCTAGGCTACTCCTAGGTAAGTATGAATAGGAGTGAAAAAATTATTTGCAGATCAACATTAGGTTTAGCTCAGTTCAGATACCACCAATATATTTTGGAAATACTCAGCTTTGTGATAGGAATTTTCATTGCTTTCAAACAGGCTGGTAATTGAATTCCAGTTCTGAAAAATCTGTTGTTGGCTGAAAAAAGATTACTGTAGCACCACCACATAGAAAACTGCATTTAATAATTGTATTTATACTTGGGTAACATCAAGAAGACACCTAGAAAATCATTTTGGATTTGTTTATATAGTCCAGATTAATAAGAACTGCCTAATTGAATTAGACCAAAGCTGCAGCTACTCTACCATTCTGTTTCCAGTAGCATCCATCTAGATAATAATAAAGATATTTTCTTTACTGCATTGGAAAACATGGGAAATTATGAATGCTACTGGGTCGAAAACATCCCCCCCTGCCTTCAAAACACATTTCTAAATTAGTCTGGATACAACAGTCCAAAGCAGGTTTCAGGAGTCACTTTTAGCAAGTAAATCACAGTTATGTTGCAACAGGTAAGAGAAAGTTCACAGTTAGTTTCTCCTGTTTCAGAGCCAGAAGAACCTGATAGGCAGTATGCGTGATTGACCGGGGAGTAGAATTTCCAACCTAAGAAGGAAAATCCGGTAGAAGAATACACCACACATCTCTGGATCAGCAAGGTCTGGTAGGCCTCTCTGAAAAAAGGGGCTTTAGTTACAGGATGAGTAACTATTCTGGAAAGTCCCTCTTTCCAAAATAAGGACACTGAGCTGAGTTAGAAAAACCTCAGCAACGTAAACATAGCTTCGCCACTCTCTTTCACCAGACATTACATACCAGGTGTGGGAAGAGCGGGGCAGCAAGTACATTTTTTTCTGTTGAAATCTGAAACTAGCATGGACAGTTCCTCTACACATGAGAAATTCTGGTGGCCTTTCCTCAATCATACATGTATCTACTGGGGAGATATCTGTGTAAACTAAATTATACATGAATGCACACACAACGATTTCCTTGGTCATGGGTACTGGAATAGTTCCATGATGCCCTATGCAAACACAAATATACATGTGTTCAGAAGGAACATGTAGTTGTTTACACAGAGGGAAATCTGGCTGTGTGAACCTTCCTTTCTGAATATTCCTAGTGGGAAACATACAGTCCAAGTCTTCTTGCAGCTTCAGAAATCTTGGGAGCTTTTTTCTGAGGAAAAGGGTAATAGGGCAGCTTACTGGATGCTGACACCAATTTTGAGGTTGAAATTTGTGAGTGGATCCAAACTGGTGAAGCAATGGATGCCGAAGGTGAAGCAGAACGGTCTGTATTTTCAGGATAGCTGGCATTTTCCTGTTTGCTGAGTAATGCAATAGACTGTTCACTTCTTTCCAATAGTTCTTCACTTGACATCGTGCTTTCCTTCTGAGACAATATTCTGCTGTCCATGCTAACCTCTTCATTCTTGTTTTGGATCACATCACCTTTCTGGCAATCTCCTTGTGCAAGTCGGTGGATCCCTAGATGTATCCGCCATGGTGAAATCTCTTGTGTATTTCCACTGCAGGGCAACTCTAGGCTGACTTCTTTGACAGGAACACATTCCTCAAATGCTTTTGCTTTTCTCATTTTCTTGTTAATTAAAACAGTGCTGATCATGGATTCTCGGGAAAATGTTTCATTCACACCTGTGAAGAAAAAATGATGATGGTAATTACTAGTGCTTTTATTATTCTCATTTCTGTACTGCCTAACAGCTGAAGCTCTCTGGGCAGTTCACAACATGTTTCCATCCATGGAAAATACATCTTTCCCTATTATTACAAGTGACAAAAATTAAAGCCAAATGAAGTCCCTCATATTTTGAGCTAATGGGGCAATAATAATGATGGAATGAAGCAAGAAATTATTTTTTGAAAATCCACAATCTGATGTAATAATATGATGAATGAAGAAGAACAAGTTTACAGAATGCAGATATATAATGCCCCACTAAGTACCTATCACAAACAAATCCCTATTTGGAAAACGTTGGGCAAGCCAAACACAGGTTGGTTCCTCATTAGATGGGAATAATATATTTGCATGTCCTCCTTGAATGCTCTCTGAGGCAAATGGAAACAAAAGGCATAATAAGGTGGTGGCACAGAAAACTCTGTAGTGGCAAGGAGTATGGTTTGGAAAACCCCAGTCAAAATGCTGCTAGTCCATAAATTGGGCAATGAAAGAGGGAGTGTTGTGGTGAACCTGTCTGTGGGTGGATTTACCCACTGGGATAGGAGGGGAAAATAGCAAAAATGAGAGATAAAGTCTAATTACCTTGAAATGCTTTATTATCCTTGACATTTCAAGAAGAAGACTGGTTAGGTATAAAAAGAAATCTATCAACTATTCTGTACTATTTCTTTAATCTTTTTTACAATCTTCCCACTACATAAATTCTACACTTTTGATAAACCTCTCTTGTTTTCTGGGACTAATTCCAAAGGGAGTAAACACATTATCTTGTGATCTACCACAGAATCGAATGGTCATATTGCACTCAAGTAGGCATTGTTAGACCCTAAAATTTGCATCCACAACATTAAAAAAAAGTGAAAAAAGGCATCTGGAAATAGCTTTACAAATTAAACAAGAAAACCTGCTTCCAAGCACAAGGAGCCCCAATTACAAAGTGTTTCAGCCCAGTGTCAAAGTGTTAGCACACAAGTTAAGCACCTGTACGAGTTTAGCAACAGGCAAAAAAGGCTAAGGCAGTTGACTCTTCCCTCACTACTCATAGTAAGTAAATATCCATCAATAAATATAAATATAACATCTATTTAACACCTATATGAAGTCACTTGGGACATCATTGGGGGTTGAGGGTGAGGTGTCACCAGTATGCTGATGACATCCAGCTATTTCTCCATTCATTTGAGTCAGATGATGCTCTAAATGAGCTGCAGCAGTGCTTTGACACAATGGTGGAGGAGGGCCAGAAAGTTGAGTAAGACAGAAGCACTACGGGTGAATAATTTCCGGATCTGGGAATTAGGGAATTTGCCTGTTTGAACCTAGCTTTCCTGCTTTCCGAAGGAAAAGTACTCCCTTTGGATGTGCTCTTAGATTCATCATAGTCATTGGTGGTGAAAGAATGCCTTTTACCAACTTCTACTGGTACATGAGCTGCACCCATTCCTGAACAAAGGTAGCTTAGCCACTGTGATCCATGAACGGGTAACCTTGACACTGGACTGCTGTAATATACTCTATGTGAGGATGCCCTTGAAGCTAGTTTAGAAGCTTTGCAGAAGAGTACAGCAAGGTTGTGAAGTGCCTTACTGGGCACATCTGTGTAGAAAGAGCTGAGCTGGCTGCCAGCTTGCTACCAAGTCAAGCTCAAGTTGGTATTATTGATAAATAGCACTTTGTGCTAAGGGAAGCTTTGTCTTTGTAACATCCCACATTTCATCTTATGGGAACATAGCAATGGGCCTTCTCTATGGTTTATCCACCCTCTCAAATGACTGCCCCTCTTTGATGCATCAGGCAGAGACAATCATATGCTTCCGATATTTCTTTAAAATGTTCTTATTTACCATGGCTTTTCCCAACCATTAAGTAGTTAAGTCTGCAATCCTATTATAATGATAGTAAGTCCAGAAGGCACGTAAGGCCCTGTTGAAGCTCAGTAGATCTGGGGCTGGCCTGAGATTGGAGGGGAGACCACTTGGGAAATACTTGTAGCAACCTTGAATTCCACAATGGGAGAGAGGTGGGATGTAAATATAATAAACCAACAAACTTAGAGGCTTATGCTTATCCTACGTAGAACAGGAGCAGCAGCAGGATCTCCTCCTCCTCCGTTTTCTTGTGCCCTGCATGCATCTTTGCTAGGCAGACTTTCTTTGCAAGTCTAGCAAAAGCATTTCGGAGGGGTGAAGGAACCTGGACATGTCCCAGCATAGCTCAGAGAGGTAGTCAGTGTGGCTTGTTCTGCACCAGCTGGGAGGGCAAAGGACTGGAGCTTCCTGTCCAAGGTCAGAGCCTAATTTGGGAATCTAAAGTACCCTATGGCACCTCAGTTGCTGTCCAAGGATCATTGGGTTGTTTCCCAAGTCATTTCCAGCTTTGCTTAATGGAGCACTGTAGTTTCAATATTGATCTTTTACTGTCTTATAATTTCTTGTAAATTGCTTGAGAATTTTGTAAATGGGAAGTAGTAGTTAAGAAGATGAAATAAATAGATGTTATGGGGAATCCTTGTGCAATGCATTTCATAAGCCAACCAACCAGAATTTCTTCTAGGCTCAAAGACAGCAATGTTGTCAATATGACACACAAGCTAACAGGTGCTCAGACACCCAAGAACAATTTTAGGGCTGCCTGTGGCTATGCCTATGTCCCACTGGGAGTAAGTTTTCCTGAATTCAGTAGGGCCTCCTGCAGGCATGTAGGGTTGTAAACCAGTTTCCTGAGGTATGAGATGGGGGTTCCATACATTAAAGTAATTCTAGTAATACGTCTCATCGATTTGAGAATGTAAGCCACCTTGGGAAGACTATGATCTAGAAAATCCTGCCCTGGTGTAACCAACTTTCTCAGCTTGTGTGTGACCTGATTGGGCTGAGATAGATTGCTAAAAACCAAGATGGAGATGGCAGTTCCCTTTTGACTGATATGGCTAGTTGATGCAGGGACTCATTTGCTGGGATCAGAAGTAGGAACCCGTGGCTCTGTGCACAGCTAATCTGCAAGGCCAAGCCACAAGTTGGAGCATCTCTTTGGCCAAGAGAAAGATGCCAGAGTGGCTCCTGCCGCTCAGGCCAACTGTTGGCTTTCTGCAGGATGAAGTCAAGGTTTGCTGTTCAGGATGGGATTTCTTTCAGCTTCGTCTTGATCTCGCTCTTGGTATGCCTGCCTTGCTTTGGCTGCTGGAATGGCTCCCAGTTCTTACCATTTTCTCTCAACACCTTCCTATAGCTCAGCCCTGACACCACGGAGCTGCTTCACCTGTTTCTGGATCCTACGGTGGGGGCTTGACATCATAACACAAATGTACAAGGATATGCTTTCTGCAGTTTTACAAATGCAGCTAAAAAAAGTTTAAACATTCAGAAAATGTTTGTGCATACTGTGAACATCACTGTACTCGTTTGCCCACGAAAGGTTCAAGAGCCAAAAAATGCTTAAAGGGAAGGAAAAGGGCCAGACAGGGTGCAGTGAGCAAAAAAGTACTCACAATTGCACTGGGGCTGGATCAGGCAAGTCAGCCGTGCCACAGAGTGCTCAGGGAAGCTCAAAGGAGCACCAAGGGGGGAAAGGGAGAGGGCAAACAACCCGCAGAGCCCAACCATCTGTCGGGGGTGCTGTGGCTTAGCACCAGGCTGGGCTGTTGTGACGTGCAAACTTGCCTTATGCTTCAGGAGGCCTGAACAAGTTGGTTAGCAAGGCTCAAGATGACATGAATCGATAACCAGCAATACAAAATAACACATTCTTTTCTAGTTACATATTAAAACAGTGGCTCGTTCTGTTTTCACATGGTTGCCTTTCACATTAACATTCAGGAGAATTTCAAGGTGAGCTTTATCCAGAAGCAAAGCTATCAAAGCAACTTCTTGTCTCTAGCACATTTGAGCTCATTTTTATTTCTAGTCTCCTCTTATGAATCCAGAGTGACAATTCAGAGATCACAGAATGCCAGTGAAAGCCTGATTCTTATGCATGCTTACTGAGAAGTACGTTCTACTGAGCTCAGTTGGGCTTACTGACAAAGCTGTATTCATAGCGCTGCAACTTAAAATGGTTTGACGCTGCAGATACAATGATCAATAATCCCTACATCAGGGTGGGCAACTAGAACAGGGAAGAATGAATTTGGGCTGAAACGGCTTTGGCGTGTGGCCACCTGACTTCAAATGCTACACACCCTGGCATTATTTGGTCCCCAGGTGAATATTGGGAGAAGCATCTTTCCAGCATGTCTGCTAGGAACCCACATGGAGGTTTTCCCCAAGAGGGCTTGGGTGCAGCAAAATCAACTTCCCCCACTGGCAAGTTTGGGATGCAGGGGAATTCCTATATCATCTCTGAGCACAAATAGGAGATAAGCGGATGCCTTTCCTGTTTCAAAAACCTTTACCCAGTCTGGGAGCCTGTGGGTCAGGCAGTGGGGCCCATGGAGGGAGCCCAACCCTCTGAGGGTTGGCAGATGTTTCCCTCCCCTGCTCTATAGCAATGGTATCCCAGATAATTAACAGTTCTCTTAGATTGATGTGGGCAAACTTCAGACTTACAGGATATGCTTTAAGAGACTTGGAAGTCTCACTAAGACACAAAGTAACAGCAGTGGTTGTGATGGGGAAACAGGCAAACACAATGAATTGCACACTGGAATCTTCAACTGTATTACCATAGATCAGAGACCTAATTTTGGGGGCAAGGAGTTGGATGGGGAGATCTTTGCTGTTGCTGTTGTTAATGAGAAATCGTAGTTTGTGCAGATCAGCTAGTAATTTGCCAGTAGATTCAGATCAAATAGCTGCCCATTTTTGCATTAAGAAATTCCTTGTTAGCAAACTAACTTGAACTATTTGGAACAACTGTGGTTAGCGGGGGGAAACTCCAGCATAGCTCCTTTGTTCTGAAACTAAGTCTTATTGAGTTATCAGCCTTAGTGATAAAGGAGTTTATCCCCAAGAAAACATACTGCTTTTCATGGACTTTTCTTCTACAATGGCAGCCTATCTGTCACTCAAAGGTAAGTTATTTTAGCAGGATCATTTAATTTAACAAATCTTACTTTTGCCACATGCCTTACTTTCTGGAACTATCACAACAATTCTCTTTATATCTGATGGCCCAAATCCAGATAAAGTTAATCACACGTATCAGTAGAAGTAACTTGCATGTTCCAGTTAATACTTGAGACAAATCTGCATAACTGCTGTTTATACTTTTTAAAAAATGCAAACACCACCCATTGGTATTTATTTGTCCCAAAAGACCTTGGTGCAACCTGAAATCTGCTTTGCACCTCATACAGTCTAATATAAAGACTATCACTAAGTTAACTAACTTAACTGAAGACTAAGCTGTGGTGTAGTGGTTAGAGAGTTGGACCAAGACTTGGGAGATCCAGGTTTTAGTCCTCTCTTAGCCACGGAGTTCACTGGGTGACTTTGGACCAGTCATAGACACTCAGCCTAACCCATCTCAAAGGGCTGTTGTGAGGATAAAAATAGAGAGGAGGAGAACCGTGTAGGTGGCCACCTTGGGTTGCTTGCAAGAGGAAGAAAGGCAGGGTATAAATGCAATGTAATAACAGCAGGAGGTTTGGGCTTTTTCTCCTTGCCCAGCTCTTTCTCCCCCACTCTCTTGCTTTCCTTAACATCCTGCCTGAAAAAGAGTTCTGGAGAATGCAAAAGCTTGTTCACATTGGTCCCGATAAAGGAATGACTTATCGGGAAGCTTGAAAGTGCTACAGCAAGGCCTACATTTAATAAGACCATTTGAGAGGCCATGAATCTTAAAAGACATTTATCCCCCACACACATAGAAGAAAGTTCCACATTTTGATTTCTGGTTTGTGAACTACTGAAACTGCATTTCATGATATGAAAACAATCCCAAAGATGTAGGATGTGTTAGCCTGCAATTCCACACACACGTACCAGGAAGAAACCCTCATTTAACATGGAGGGGCTTTCTTCCGAGTTAAACATGTACAGCACTGAGCTGTCTGTTACACAGTAAACACAATAAAGATTCGTATGGCAACTTAAAGACTAACAGATGGTACCGTATGTACGGCAAGACATCTGTTAGTCTTTAAGGTGCCACGAGGCTGTTTATGATGAAAACAATTGACTTTGTATTCTGTTTTCAGTTGTGTGTATAAATTGCATGGCATTTAAAAATCAATGCAGGTTCTCAAGAGTTGCACCGACCCCTGATTTTCGAAGTTTCAGTCTACAAATTTAAAACATACCTGTTTTAAAAACAATAATGTGTGTCTGCAGCTTTTGCTTCTGTTTGAGACAGTCATATTGCTCTTCAAGTTTGCTTACGTCCATCTTGGTTGGCTGCCCGGAACAGTCTGAGGCTCTTTGCATTGACAGATGAGTCACTATGAAAATACCACTCATATATTTATAAGCCTTCACCATCTGTTCCCACAAGAAAGACAAAATCAGGCAGAAGCATAGCATTTCCCTCATTCTGCTTGCCAAAAAGCAAGGGTGTTGGTAACATCTGAAACAGTCACAAGCAAGGCAAAGGCTTCCTTGAATCGAACAAATTCTCTTCACTGCCTGGTGCAGAGCTGCTGATTTCAATCAAGTTGAAATAACAACTTTGCTTCAATTACATCCAGTGTGTCCTGAACCTTTGAATGCAGACTTAATGACAAGAACTGTTCAACTGGAACTGGTATTGACTTAAGGCCAAACATTCGAAGCCTTGCCAAAACCCACAGTGAAATACAAAACCTTATTTTAGCCCAGCCAAGAACACAAAAGGCTGGAAGATGCTAGCTGATGTGGCAATTGTAATTTTTAAAGCAACACTGTTATATGTTGGCAACATTTGATTTTGGTTGTGGTTGTATTTAATTTTCCTACATTTATTTTCCAGTATTTTATTATTGTGGCAAGTGCTGCGTTAACTATTTTGCTGCCTTTTGTACTCTTCTTCAGTTTTCCCTAGATAGTAACATGATAAAAAGAAAACTAACACAGAGGTGAATGGAAGGTACCTGGTTTTTTTCTTTGACACAAGCATGATTCAATTGTGCTGTACAGATTACTGAATTTGTGCCACTTTCACCCTACCTATATTGCACAAATGTCACAACACTTCCACATTTTCTGAGAAAATTTCCCCAGAGGACTATTGGCCCTTCTTTTACCTCATGCAGAATGTAAGAAAATGAGATTTTTTTTAAAGTAATCTCACAGATGAGTGGATTTTCATGAACGCTCTGTATAGATTTCCCAATTTTAGTTATGTAAAATTGTGTAAACACAATTGGCAGAAAACCTTTGGCCTGACCAAGACCAACACTTGTATCTCTTGACCCTACAAAGAATTCTCTCCCTGCTTGTTTTTCCCTTTTTTTCCAAATAAAAATAGTGTATGGATTATCAAGGTGTGACATCAGGAATATTAGTTAAGGTATTTCAAAATATCTGCCTAGAAGATATATGAAATTGCAGGCCTAAGAACGTGATCAAAGAGTAAAGCCAAAAGGCCCATTTGCACTGCATAAGTTCTAATCAATCAGTCAACATTCATTTTCAAGTGGAACTCGATAAGACTCACTTGTATAATGAAAAGACCTGCTCAGGCTGTTAGTATGTTGCTAGCTATATTGCTATCTAGATAACAGTAAAATACCACTGAGACATTTTCTGGAGGCCAGAGGACATCCTGGTCAAACGTTGAGGACCCATGTGAAGAAGCAGTGATCAGGTGAACAGGACTTGTGGGTGTTAAGTGTTAAAAGTTGCAAGACATTTGCAACAATAGAGTTGTCACAATGGCTTCATAAATCCATTGTGAAGAGTCTTTTCCATGAGGCTGTTCTCACTCAGGCTACACGCAAATTGCAGATTTCCTCAGCTCTGCATCTTGGGGTTAGTGGCGAAAAGAACACGTGTTAAATTTCAACATGCCAGGTATGTTGCCAAAGAAGTGCAAGGACTTTGGGAGCAGAGCAGAGCAGAGCAGAGCAGAGAGAGCAGAGAGAAGAGAAGAGAAGAGAAGAGCAGAGCAGAGCAGAGCAGAGCAGAGCAGAGCAGAGGGGTTAGCATACTGATTACAGAATGAACTAGGAACTATGACATATCCAATTCAGCTATAAGCCACAAAGCGATTACCTGGTCAGGGGGACAAATGCAGTTGAGGGCAGGTCTTTGGGATTGGATAGTAGGTTCTGCACTGGAACTCTACAAGTTTTGCTGGGTTTGAGGATTATTAAAAAACAAAACCATTTTTAATAGCTTCCTAGTTCACAGTTTATCTAACACACCCATTAACAGAAACGTGTAAATCTGAATCATGCCTTTTTAGATCGCAGTTTGTCTTAGAGAGCAATCCTGCGTGGCAAAGCCCTAAAAGTCTCATGCTGGCTGGGGATGCTGGACGTTGTACGCCTATTTCCTGCCTAAACAACCGTTCTTCTGTGTTGTTTCTCATTATCTCTGTTCCATTTCCCATCTCATTATTACAGATTTGAAAAAGCACACACACTTTCTTGCATTTTTCTTCTTGTTGTAAGTCTCCTGGGGGGCTATTTATGGGAAAGCAGGATATATATTGCCATAAATACCATAAATATTGATCTGGAGGGCAAAGGCCATGGTGCGTGTTTAATAAAAAAAAAAGCCCGAGTCAGGCTTTCGGGGAGTTGCATGCACCTTACATCCTTTTGTCATATCCGAGCTTTTTGTTTTTACTCTGGCAGGTGTTTCTTTACTCAGGGGAGCCTCTGATGAGCGTTTTTAGTTTAAATGAGGCAGGCTAAACACCCGAGCTTGGGAGCAACTCTGAACCTTCCATGAGGACCCTGAACGTTCAGGCGCGGGGGAAAGTGCCCCCACTTTTTCTCTGCCCGCCATGTATACTTACAAACCAAGAATGACAAAGGAGTTTATAACCTCCTTTTTACAAAGACCGCAAACCAGAGGAACTTCCCCCTGCTCTTGTCTTTTTTGCTCAGCCCGCCGTACGCAAGGCAGCTAACGCGGCCCCCTCGGGCCTGGGCGGCCCGGAGGCGGTTCTTCCCGCCGCCCCGAGGGCGCCAGGGACGCGGGTTAATGTTAACCCGGTGCCCGCGGCCGTGCGCGCGTCGAGGGGCAGCGGCGTTGCTCGTGTGCGCGGCGAGCGCTGCGCTGCGCTGCCGCGGCCGCCCTCGCGTTCGTCTTGCCCTGCGCGCCGCGCGGGGAGAGGAAGCGGCGCGGCCGGGCGGGCGGGCGCGCGGGCTCGGGCCGCCATGGCTGCGCCCGCCGAGCCCTGCTTCTTGGGATGGGACTTCAGCACGCAGCAGGTACCTCGGCCCGGGCGGCGGCGGCGGCGTCCTTCCCCTGCTGCAGCCGAGAGCCAGCGGAAGAGGCCGAGCCAGGGCTCGGCTGCCGCCTCCTGCCTGCGCTTCACGGGGCGGGGAGGGACGAAAGGCCGCCGCTTCTGGCCGCCTTCTGTTTCAAGCACCGAGAGGGCTGCGGCGCGGGCCCCATTGGATGGAAGGCGCGCCGCCCCTCTCGGAAGGCCTTTCTGCGCGCCCTCTTCCTCCTCGCTGCCGTTCAAGTCAGCGGCGAGGAAAGGGCACTCTGCACATGCCCAGAGGGGAATCATTTTCTGTCGTCCTCTGAGACTCGGTCCTGCGCTGCTGGGGTCGGGCTTAGGGGAAATCCTGGCAAGTTTATAGGAGCTGGGAAAGAGGCCGTCCTTTCTCCCTGCATCGCCCTGTACCCGCCCTCTACCCCTTTTCTTCCTCGTCGTCCTCCTCCTGGAACGAGTTGAGCCGCTTGCGATGGCTGACGGCTTCTTGGGTTAATCAGAGTACAGATTTACACGCAGTCCTGAGCGGGAGTGTCCACGGTGTAAAAGTTATGAGTTCAAAGTGCGCAGGATGGCAACCATCATTAGGACTTAGCCGAAGGTTGGTCTCAATAGTGAGGCTTAGTCTGCAATTCTACTCCCATACTTACCTGGAAGTAGGCTCCATTGAACGTCGTGGAGCTTACTTCTGAGTAAATATGTATCGGATGGGTTGTTCTGGAATCTCTGCAGACACAAGCCAGCCGCTCCCCGCTCTGAAATGCACAGATGCGATGCCATTGTGCAAAAGAACAGCATGGTGTGTTTTTGCCCTTCCTCTCTTGCCATTTGAACCTTTCTAGAACTGATTGTTAGAAATGTATTTTTGCACTTCTATATTCTGGTAATAAAAATGTCTTGGTTGTAATAAATCTTGGCAAATAATTTCAGTTCCAGAGCATCATCTTCTATGAGGAAGCGAATTCTTCAGGAAGTTGCTGATTTCAAGCACATTAAATGAAAAACCAAAGGTTCATATGTGATGTTCAGTCATGTCCTGTAGATTTTAAAATTATCTACTTCCCAACCAAATAGAAGGAGTGGGACGATATTCCTGCATGGTTTTTCCTTTGGATAAGTGCTGCATCTTTGGATTCTTGCTGCCATTCTTCACTATAGCATACAAATATTTATTTTAAAGATTATACATCTTGTTCATTTCTTTCGGGAAAAGTGAAGCTTGCCCTCTTCCAAGGGTAGCAGGTGCAGTCTGCAAGAGGCCCCAAGTGTTAGAAAACAGGGATAAACTGATTTTGCAAAGTGCGGCACTGCCGCTAGCAGTCCAATGCGTTATCTGTTGGACAAATTCCAGGAGAAGAAGGCTATTCATGGCTACTAGTTTTGATAGCTGAGTGCCGCCTCCTTTTTCAGAGGCAGTATGCCCATGTACACCTCTTGCCGGGGAACTTGGGCAAGGGGGTGCTTGAACAAGAGAATGGCACCTTACTCCCTGCTACTGTGGTGCAGTGAATGGTTTAGGCACCCTGATAGGGAGGCAGTTCTTAATTTCTCCAGCACAAGAATCCATTAACTGGGTTCAGTATCACTATCCTGTCCCCTGTATGCACTTGCTTGCGGTGTTTGGCGGGCTGCTCTTAGACCCCATATACTAAGCCCGTATAGGTCTTTCCCAAGGTGAAGAGATTGCTCATTTAAATTAATTGCTGTAATGTGTGTATGGCCTCCCCTAAATTGCCCTGGGAACTGGAAGTTTGGCGAGTGCTGAGTATTCTCTTTACAGACCGTATGCTCTGTTTCCCCTTCTGTTTCAATAGCTCCCTGGGGAGAGGAAATGCCCATTAAAGCAATTTAAGCCTGCACTTTTATGCATGTTTCCATAGGAGAAAGTCCCAAAGGACTCATTCCTATCTGAGTAAACATGTAGGATTGTGGTGTGGAGGTTTATTTGATTTTTATTCCCTCTTTCCCTGTGAGGACCTGAAGGAGGCATTGATGTACATTTACCTTCTTTTATCCCCACACAACCCTCTGAAGGCAAATAGACTGAGATGGTATAGTCCTCTCAGGTCATGAACTTGGGGGCTGAACACAGCAGCTTTCCCCAACCTGGGGCTCTCTAGAAGTTCTGATCTACAACTCCCAGAATTCCTTAATAGTAGCCATGCTAGCTGGGAGCTAATGCAAAGCGAAGCCCAAAACATCTGGACAGGACTGGGTTGGGGAAGGCTGGAGTACTGACTGGATCTTTTTTCTGAGAACGGTTCTAAACCTGAGATGCTCACATGCAGCCTGCTGGCTTTCAGCAGGGGTATGTGCTTTGAAACGGAGTTGCCAGAAATCCCAAGTTATTTGTTGTAAGAACATTTAAAAAGCCATGTTTGGGCAATACCTTTATGAGGCCAATTCAAAGGTCACAAAAACTGTGCAAGCTTTAGAGTTCTCTTGGGAAAATGTTGCAAAAAGCATGAGGAGGCGGGAGGGAAAAAAAAGAAGGTGCTTACTAGCCTAAATGATCTCCCTCGATCTCTTCCCAAGACAGCAGGGAAACTAGCAAGGAGTCTGTGATGAATGGACAGAATTGTATAAGAACCAGCTTGGTTAAAAAAAATCATGAAAAGGAAGGCCCACATTCATTATGAGGCAGGCTGGGGACACTGATGAGATATTGCGAGACATTTTCTGCACAGATAATCAGTTCTCCGGGCCTCTTTAGTGAGGTTCTAATTTGCACCATAGAAGTAGCGGAATAATCAGATGGCTAATCGCTTTCCGAATGTGGCATGAAGGCAAAATGAACCAGCTCTTTCCTATTCCCAGCACTTGATCCTGTGAAAATGATTGATTCTTTCAAACAGAGGCACACTTTCTACAGTTAATGATCTTTTCTTCTATTTTCAGCTGAAAGTAGTCATTCTGGATGAACAACTGAGAGTCATCCATGAAGACAATGTTAATTTTGACAAAGACCTTCCAGAATTTGGGTATGTTTCTCCCCTTTTGTAATATCCATAAGAGAACATCATGAGCTACCTTGTTCCCAGTGATCATAAAACAAAGATATTATTTAGGGAAATGCAAAGCAGAGTAAGTACATTTTATTTGCTTAAATATTGTGTTTCCTGCAGCACTCATGGTGGGGTCCATGTTCATAATGACAGACTAACAGTGACTTCTCCTGTACTGATGTGGGTCAAGGTAAGTATGTACTGTTTGATCCGTGTGCAATTAATTTGCAGCACTGTCTGTGTTAATGGACAGTTAAGATCCCTTTGCTTTGCAAAATGTTTGCTTCTGATGGACATGAAAATGACTAGAACTGGTTTGTTGATAAAGATTGACACCACTGCCTGATTATTTGGCCCTCCTTGGGGTCAGGGCCATGGACACTGTGACGAGGAGTGCTTGTGCTCCAGAATTCACTGTTGCACAAACTTTTATTGATCTGTAATAATTTAATAATTTTATAAATTTTGTAAAAGCTGCAAAATTAAGTGCTGGATGCAGCCTGTGCTGGAAAAGGAACCCTGGTGGGCTTCTGGGGTGCTCCTGTCTTCCTTCTGTCTCTCCGATTATCTCCATTTATACCCCGGTCTGTTGCCCTCTTGTGCATGCGCCATGTTCCTGATTTGTCCGCATGTATGTTGCAGCGTTCTGCTTGACTCCCTGGGCCAGCGTGCCTGAGGAAGGTGCTCTGATCTTGTGTTAGGTCCATGCCTCACCATAGTCCCTGCTTTGGGAGAATGTGTGATGCAGTGGATGTGGGGTACTCAGTTTAGACAGCTTCACATACCTGCTCAGACAAGAATCTCCTCTGGGGACCTTGGGAAAATCTCAGCCCCACTTCACAGGCATGTTGTGCAGGGCCAGTGAGAGCACAGCTGGAACGATCTGGACGTTCTTGTACTTAACTTATGAATTTTACAGTACATATATGGACATTTTGGCTCCCCATCGATCTACCCTGCCTTGACGAGTCTATATCAGAAATGGGGATTAAATCAGTATTAGCAGGGAGATCCCTGCTAATAGGTATTAGCCCCTTGAGATCTGCGGGAGAGGCCCTTCTCCGGGAACACTCCGTGAAAGAAATTAGGAGGGTAGGTACTCGGAGGAGGGCCTTCTCTGCGGTGGCGCCCCACCTATGGAATGCGCTCCCCAGAGAGGTCCGTCTGGCGCCGTTGTTATTTGTTTTTCAGCGCCAGGCGAAGACCTTTTTATTTAAACGTCATTTTAATTGTTAATATTATTTGCTTATTTTATCTGGCCAGGGCGACTTATTTTATGTTGTTAATTCGTATGTATATTTGAATGTTTTATATTTTAATTTTATGTTGTGAGCCGCCCCAAGGCTTCGGCGAATGGGGCGGCATAGAAATGTTTTAAATACATAAATAAATAAATACAGAACCTCTTTCAGTGGGAGGGCTGCATTGTGTGTTGGATACGCTCTCGTGGACTGCATTCCAGTGGTGGAGGCCAGAGGCAAATAGTGTATCCCAAACATCTCATCTTGCTGCTCAAAGCTATCATCGCTAGTAATAAAGTCTTAGAAGAAGCTTAGAAGTCTTTTAGAATGGCGGGGGTGTGGGGGTGGGGGACTTGTCAAAAGTCAGGAAGCCAGAAAATGATTGTTCATTGACGGGAAAGGGGCAGGGCTAGGGGAAGGGGTGTAGCTATCTAAGTAAGCCAGGTGGCCAGATCTGGTGTCCAGGAGGCCTGCATTTGACCCCTGGCCTGGAGGTTTTGGGCTCTTACCTTGTAGTATCAGGGTTAGCTTTCTGCTGTGAAAGCCATGAAAAATCACCCTTTTGCTTTTGGAAATACTTGCTGCATAACTTGAAAATAATTGCCACATGCTTCTGGATTAGTTCTAAATGCAGAACATAGTGTAATAGGAAATTGGCATGGAGTTCTCTCCAAAGGTGAGGACTAGCCTATGCATTTGATTTCCCTCCATGCTGAATGCAGTCAGACTGGCTAGCTATGTTCAGCAACCCACTGGGACCTTGATAAACTTTCTGGTTTTGCTGCCTCCCTTTGAATGCAGAAACCAGGGGATTTGCCAAGCATCCAGCAGGCTGCTGCTTTGGGCTGCTCCTTGAACCATCTTTGTCGCTTGAGGTTCAGGTGGCTTGGAGTGCTTTCTCCCAGCTTCAGATGGAGGCCCAGCTGCACCTCTACCTGGACAGGGATGGCTTGGCTTCAGTAATCTATGCTCTGGTAATCGCTAGATTAGGTAACAGCAATGCACTCTACATGGGGCTGCCCTTGAAGATGGTTCAGAAGCTGCAGCTGCTGCAGAATGCAGCAGTTAGATTAATTACTGGGACCTGTAGGTCTGACCAGTTCTGACCCAGTTGCACTGGCTGCCTGTATGCTTCCGGTTCCAATTCAAGGTTCTGGTTTCAGCCTATGAACTGTGGCTTGGAACAGCAATATCTTTTGGAGCAGCTATATCTTTTGCTACCTGGACTCTACGCTCAGCCTCTGGGTGCCAATCCCGCAAGGGGCTTGGAGGGTGGCAACGAGGGGAAGGGCCTTTTCAGTGGTGGCTCCCCCATCTTTGGAACAACTTCCCTGCTGTGGCCTGCCTGGTGCCATATTTACCATCTTTTCAGTGCCAGGGTAAGACAGCCTTCTTTGCAGAGGCCTTTAAAGACTTCTGTGTTCATTCAGAGGCCTGGTGCGATTGGCCAGGGGCCTTCCATTTACTCTTGAGGTCTTTTAATTGTTTTTTTTAATTGTCCTTTAACAGTCTATGTTATTTTAAATTAATGTTTAATTCTTAATAGTTTTATCTGTTGTATTTTATTGTTTTTATACTTTGTTGTAAACCTCCTGGAAAGCATCAACTATGGGCAGTATAGAAATGGAACAAACAAACATTAATAATAAATGCTAACATTTGGCTAGTGATCTCTGTTCAGCTTGGTAAGTCACAGGCTGTGCAGACCCAAAAAAGGAATAGGTTCTTATCCATGAGAAGGAAACCCAACTCAGTAAAGGTGTTCTTTTATCCTTGGATGGGAAAGGTAACCCTGTAAGCACACCTGGGGCCTTCCTTGTACTCCTTTCTTTACTTTGGCAACCAGGCAAGCAGGAGCTTGAAGTAATTTTTTAGTGCAGACTGGAATTGAGGTTGGAGGGATGGCCATGCTTAATTAGCAGCTGCCATTACTTTTAATATTGGCCGCTTGGCTCTCTCCGTGTCATTAGATGATTCAGCTTCTTAGCTCAGCAGTATTAAAATTGGGTTATGCGAGACAGCATTTTACACTTGCCAGACAATTTTTAATTCGTTTGTTTCCTACTTCTGTTTGATTGTTGTTAAGGTTTCCTTTGACACTGCAGTTTCCTGCACTGTGTTGTTTTGGTTTTTTGGTAGTCCCAATTTGCTCTATTGTTTACAATGACAGATACATTAATTTAAAAATGATGCCAACATTGTTTAGGATTACAGTGAGTTGTGGCATAATTATACTCGCTCATCGCTTGCTTAATTCCTATCAAAGCTGCATTGCTTTTCCCATTTTTTAAATAGTAAGTCTCTCTCTGTCTCTTTGTTGTTCTGAGAGAGAAACCAGTTTGGCTCCACTTCTTCCTTGTTTAGGCAACACTGGAGGGTTTGGTAGCCATCTTAACACTTCCATTCCCGTCCTAAGCACATTTATCTGGAATTAAGACCAGCTGAGAGAAGAAATCCTTGTAAATTATCTACTGTAGTTCAGTCCTGGATATATGCATTCAGAGGTAAATGTGGTTGAGAAAGTCTGTACTAGCCTGCAACCTTGAACACTTTTAAATGCACTTCCTTATGGCAAAACAGAAATATATCCATAGATCTCCCGTGAGAAACAAACCAACAAACAGAAAACCTCAGAAGATGTATCCTTGCTTTGCTGCACAGGACTACTCTTACACGTTTAAGAATGCATTGGGGGTGGGGTGGGGGGTGGATAGGATTTCTCACCTTGTGGTGAGCTTTCTCCTTTAAAAGTGGCCATGGCCCAATGGCAACTGAGAAGGAAGAACATTTCCATGCTGTTTCTATGCTGCTGCAAATCATTTAGTTGTTCCTACACGAGTTGTGCTCAACTTAGTCTAGCAGATGGTTGAACATGGGCCATGTGCCATGCAACACTGCGCAGCAAAACCACATGGAAGTTGGTGTGGCTGTGTTCCCAGAACGCGCTTGCTTTCCAGAGCTGTGCTGGCACGGGATGGTTCAAGGTATCCTTGACATCTAATGCCAGGGCTTGGCAGCCTGGCAGTTCTGCCTGGTCCAAAGCTCTGCAAAAGCTTTGGTGAGCAAGCGCTTTCCCATCTGGTGGGGATGAATATTTGGAGCTGGCTGCAGCATGACAAGGAACAGGGAAGGCCCAGCCTCATGAGTGCAAGGGGAGGCATTGCCAATGCAGCATGGTCTTGGAAGACTGTTTCCCCGAGAAGACCCGTCAGATAAAACACATCTATTCAGGGTTGACACTTCTGCTCTTCTTTCACCGTTGACAACGTGTCTTCTATATCTCGCTGTGCTTTGAAGATGGACGCAAGCGAGGCTATCGCTAAGCAAGAAGGAAACAATGGCAAGGGGGGACTTTAGCCTTTTCTGTGTTCTCTCGTTTCCACCCAAGCTCAACATGTCCACCCTCGCCTGTGTCTGTGTGTGAGCTGCAGGCCTGTGAACTGCTGGAGCTGCGCTTGGTGAGAGATTCTGGGGGAAAGGCAATGACTGGGAAAGTGTTAAGGAGTCCTTCAGCTCTTGCCTCTTTCGTGGCTTCAAAGCACCCTTTTCCAAGGATGCTTTGCAAGGGAGAAGAACCGCGGGGCTAATACTACACACACCTGCAGTGCAGTAATGCTGTAGTGTTTCATTTATTCAGGAGTGGCCAACTTGTGGCTGTCCAGGTGTTTTGGTCGGCTGCTCTCATGCTCTGTCACCATGGGCAGTTTTGGCATGAGCTGCAGGGAGTGGTTAGCCAAAACATCCAGGGGACTACAGGTTACCCATCCCTGGTTTACCTGGTTAAGGTGTGAGTCTATCAGTTGTGCCCTTGCTGCTTGGAAGCCTCTAAACCTCTGAAATTCTTATGCCCCGCCAGGCTGAAGCCAGCAGGTTGGGATGAATGGCAGGAGTGACCTTTGCTTCCTTGTTCCTTGTCTGTGGCCATTTTCTCCAGGTGGAAAGGGTGCTTTGGAGGGGGCTGGGGGACGGTCAGGAGATCCCACATCCTGGCCTTTCCAGTCTCTTCCTGGTCTACTGAATGTCCTCTTTTGTCCTCCTCTGAAGTTCCTTTGCTAGCCTTGGAAGGAAGTTGCCATGGTTCTTTTTTGTACTGGCTGTGAAGGGTTGGGCAGATATCCAACACCACCGTCTAAGGTCAGAATGCTTTCTCCAGCGTGAGTGAATCTGAGAAATCGTGGAGTCCCTGGGATATTCTTCTGGGGGTCATAGGACTGCTATCTTAGAAACTGTTTGACTGTAAAAGGGCAGAAGGTGTGAATTTCTCTCGTTCTTGGTCTGTATAACTTTCAGTATAAATAGACTTAGGGGGAAGATGAACAGCATGTTCAGAGAAGAGGCATGTATTCCTGTGTGCCCTCCAGATGCTGCTAGAGAATTATGGGAGGTGCAGTGCTCCACATCTGGGGGGCACTGGGTTGGGGATGGATGTCCCATGTGATTCTGGCCTACAGTTTTCATATCTCTGGAAAACGGGTCTTGCTGTTTGGGCCTGATGGGGGTTGGAATCCAGAGACGTCAGGAGGACTGCAGGTGGCCCACCCCACTTGACAATCATGCCTGCAGCAAAATAACCCCATTTTATCTAAAGACAAAAGCATGCTTTTTGCTTCAGTGCTTTTATTTTCAGCCATAGGCAAACTTAACTGATTAATCTTTAAAACCAATATGAATAATTATGATTTATTTACTCAAATGATAGTCCTATCTGTAATGTTTAGTTTGGTCCCAAAGATGAATGTTTGTGCCCAAACTTGTTTGAAGTTCTTTTCCTCTCTCTAATTTTTAAAATGTGTTTTTCTTAGCAAGTTAATTTGTTCACGGTCTCAAGATACCTTCTGGTTATTAACTGATTTTTCCATCTTTTTTCTTCTGAGATTTTGTCATTAATGGGAGGCATTCCTTCCTTGTGGGAATCTAGTGGCTGGGGAGGAAAAACCTGCCACATGCTGTGCCGTTTGCTTGTCCTCGTGGTGTTTGGTTTGTTGTTGACTGGGCCGCACAGTAAACATGGTTCTGGGACCACCTGGACCCTATGGCTGCAGGTCACAGGGTCCTGGAATGGTTTGAAGCCACCCCTGCAGCACACCTGGCCCGGCTTTGTGTGCCAAAAAGGTAATTTGGCAAATGGGGTGGTATGCAGTAGGTGGGGAAAAGAAACCTCTGGGCTTCTTTTCTTCCTGCAATGTTGTGCATTCAGCCAACCTCTGAGGACTCAAATTTCTACAGGATTGCAGTTACCCTTGTTCATGTTTGTTCTAGGCCCTGGATCTGGCTTTGGAAAAGATGAAGTCTTCTGGATTTAACTTCTTCAGGGTGAACTCTCTATCTGGAGCTGGACAGGTGGGTTATCTAAAGGAACGCTTGTGTCCATATCTGCCCTCCCGCCCCTTGAGATCAGCAACGGATGCCCTTCTCCGGGAACCCTCTGTGAATGATATTAGGAGGGTGAGTACTCGGAGGAGGGCCTTCTCTGCGGTGGCTCCCCACCTATGGAATGCGCTCCCCAGAGAGGTCCGCCTGGCGCCGTCATTATTTGTTTTTCGGCACCAGGCTAAGTCCTTTTTATTTAAAACTTATTTTAATTGCTAAATTATTGTATTTATTAGGATTTTAAATTAGCCGAGAATGCACCGGGGGTTTTAAATTTTTTTTTATCTTTTAAATTGTTATATTGTTATTGTTTATGTATGTTTTTTTGTATTTTTTGTGAGCCGCCCCCATCGCAACAAAGCCTCGGGGCGGCTCACAAAAAATACAAAAAAACATACATAAACAATAACAATATAACAATTTAAAAGATATAAAAAAATTTAAAACCCCCGGTGCATTCTTGACTTAAAACATTTCTATGCCGCCCCCATCGCAACAAAGCCTCGGGGCGGCATAGAAATGTTTTAAATAAAATAAATAAATAAATAAATAAATAAATAAATAAATGAGGAAGGGCGAGAGCAGGGAGAAATCCTACAGGGAAAAAGAGACCTTTAATCATGAAAGTAAATACAAACACAGTTTCTTCTTGTGTTTTTGTACCAGACTGCCATGCCCCTGAGGGTTTTGTATTAGAATAGCAGGGAAGAAAACACACCTTGTGTGAAGCTCAACCCTGTGACAAAACTGCATGCTGATATACAGTCAAATAACCACCCCATATTATCATATAGTTAATAAATAAATCTGTGCACTGAGAATCAAAACGATGAAACCTAGATAAAGTATGCAAGTTAACTTATTTTGCATAACATCTGCAGTCTTGGATTGCATTAATCTGCTTTTGATATGGAAGCACAGAAGTAACTGTGCAACTTGCTTCAACAGGCACTTCCTTGCATTTGCTAGAATATCGTTTCATCTATAAGGACTGGAAAGTTTCTTCATTTAAATAAGAAAAGAAAAAACCCCTGAGATTCTCAAATAGCTCAATTCTGTGCCTAAAGCTACGTTTCTCAGTATTGTATACTCTGGATGGGTTGGACTGTAATTCTACCATAAGTCAGCCACCATGGCTGGCCGATGGGAGCTGATGTCCAACACATCTACAGTGTGTAGATGGGGAGGGCTACCCCTTACTACATTTTGTGCTGTCCTTGTGCGGTTGTCGAATCAGAGTGTTTTTGCTGCCATGATTTTCGAACTATGCTTTAGTGGGCGATTCAGATTTTTGAAGTGAGGGAAAAAACACTGCTCAGACTGCACAGATCTCAAATGGCTTTCTTTCTTTCTATCTGTGCTGCCAACGTTAATTGTTAACACTTGATTAATCAGTGATGGCAGCTTTTCATTGGCAGGACCGAGAGTTAACAGCAAACGTGTGTTCTTTCTTTGAGGTTATATTGATCCTAATATACAACTGTAATAGGAAGTGGGAAAAAATGTTTGAAGTGGCCTTTCCTTAAAACAACAAGTAATGGTTTCTTATCCTATATTACTTCAGCATCCTTAGAAGGCAGCTATATGGATCTGTCAATAAGTATATTTATTCATATTCAATGGAAATGATAATAATCTAAAAGTCATCCTATTTTGGTTTCCCCTGTTTTTGTTCTTTTTACTTACCAGCAACATGGCAGTGTCTACTGGAAAGAAGGTGCAAATTCTGTTCTGCAGAACTTACCACCTGATCTTCCTTTACATCAGTCACTGAAGGTAACCCTTTCTCAGGAGTTTTAAAAGGAAGTTCAACCCAGCTTTTAGCTTGTTGAACCACAATATAGCTGTTTGTTGACATTAGAATTAATTGAAGCATGCCCTGCCTTTTTCTTACCTAAAGGCAAACACGGATGATAATACGGACAAGATGTTTCTCTCTCTTCCCTTGGAAGAAATCTTTTAACAGTTGGTCCTTGAGAGAGCAAGAAAAGAGTGGGTGTTTCATTCTTTCCATAGGAGAATGGGAGTCAGTTTGGGAGGGATGACATATGAGGAGCGATTGGGGGAACTGGGTGTTTTCAGTCTGAAGAAGAGGAGACTCCAAGGGGATCTTTCAGCAACTTCTAGGCATGTGGGGGGATCTCATGTGGAGGAGAGCCGTGACTTATTCTTCCCTGCAGTGGAGGACAGGATGTGATCCAGTGGAGCAAAGCTCAAGGAACCAGGCTTCGCGTTAGGTGTCAGGAAGTACTTCCTGATGGTTAGGACCCCTAGGATGTGGAATGGGCCTCCAAGGGAGGTGGTTGATGGCCTATCAGTGAGGGCATGCAAGGAAAGATTGGACAACCGCATGTTGGGGATTGCATGAGCGGAGCCGGCTGTAGCCAGGGGTCAGACTAGATGGCCTGGGAGACCCTTTTGGACTCGCTTTATTTCTGTGTTTCTATGAGTGGGGGGCAGGTTTGAACCCAGGTCTCCCCATCTTTGTAGTCCATATGCAGCATTCTCTTTTGAGCCAATGTATGCCGCCTAGGGGGGAACACACGTGCATATCCTTTCTGTGCTGCTTGGGACTCCCCAAACCTTGGATGGCAACCTTCCAACAGCCCCAGCTCATGGTGAGAGCTGGCTGGGTTTGCATTTCAACAGCAGCTGTAGGGTGACGTGTCGCCTCCCCTGCTCCGCTGATAGTGGCAAGGAAGATGGCGGAAGACCTTTCCTTTCCCCATCCTTGCTTCATTTGCAGTGTCTCAAGCGATGCAGGGAAGCCATCATGGCCTAATTCTGTTCACCTCAAACCAGAGACTGGTGGAGTAGATGGATGAACTTTCCAGCTGTTCTTGCCCCTTAAAGCCAGAGCTGATATACAGAAGCTGTGTGTGCTCATCTTCCTAAATCAGCCTGCCAGTTCGGCATTGGCTAGCTTTCTAACACTCTTTTTTTCACCCCCAATAGTCCTGCTTTTCTATCGGCAACAGTCCTGTTTGGATGGATTCCAGTACAGCTCCCCAGTGCTCCTCCCTAGAAAAAGCTGTTGGAGGGGCTCAGAAACTTGCTGAGACCACTGGCTCACGAGCCTACATGGTGAGAACTGTCTGAAGATAAAGGCTTGACACTTGTGGAGCTCCAGGGCCAACTTGGATGATGAGCAGAAGTTAATCTCCTGTGAATATACTAGACTAGCCTTTGCTGATGTTTCTCTCCTGGCCCTGCTCCTATGAAGACTGGCTGTAGCTTAACAAATTATTGATATTCTTTTGTGGTGAGGATGAAATGAGGTGAGCTGCAGGAGGAAATTCTGCCTTGTGCTCCTTGGAGAAAAGTTGAGAAGGATGGAAATACCGTTCTCACGGAAGGATGAGTGAACATGGGGGACAGAATCAAAAGTATGGCATTTTTCTAAAACGGAATATATACCCCAGGTCTTTGTTCTTAATGCCATCAAATGAGAACTTCTGCTTATGACTGTGTCCTGTCTAGAAAGTGGAGCAGAGAAGAACTCTGGAATCTTTCTGTCTCGCTTCTTCCACTTCACTTCATCTTTCCTCTGTGCAGGGAAAAAGCAGGGCGCATAGATTGTTTTGCAAGTGAAACACTGTGAACAGTATAGAAGTCAGGCACGTGCTCTTGAGTAAACATCATTCAAATATTTAATATTTGTTTTTGTGGATGTGGTTTTAGGCTCACTGGATGTAGTCCGATGTAAGTTCAGCAAAAGTCCCCAACAAGTATAATCAGGAGCATCCTTCTTGCAATGTCCATCCCTGAAACTGCTCCCCAAAATGGGTTCATTCATTTGAACAATGAAATTGCTTATCCTAAAATATCTTGATGTAGTTTACAACACAACCACGAGAACTCGAGTTATGTTAAAATACAAAGCATGTATATAGTTTCTCTGAATTAGTCAGTACCTGTTTCCCTAGGGATGCTCCTTCATTGTTCACACTTTCTCACTTTTTTCTGTTGTTTATTTACAGAACACCGCTATTTTGCAATTTAAGAAGACAAGATAAAAGAGAGAGAAAACCACTAATTAAAACTCATCCCCTCCTTGTAGGGAATAGGAACTGACAAGCAGGCATTTAAAAAGCCATTCAACTGTAGTGTCACTGCCACACTGAACAGGAATCAATTCCAGGGACAGACATTGCTAAGAAGTATAGAGGTCTTTAAAAATCTTCAGAAGTGCTTTCCAAGTCCAGCTTGGACAATCTGGTATTGTAATTTAAGTTTTAGTGAAAAAATAGCCAGAAATGGGGACTGGAAAGACACAGGGAGGGCAACAGAGAAACCATGGGAATGCAATGAATTTGCGACACTGTCTGGATTAATAAGTGAAGAAACAAAGGATGGCATATCTGTCTAAAGAGCTAGTATGGAAGTAACTAGTCTTCTGAACTGTATGGATTGGGTAATGATTCCTCCATTATGCTAGAATCCTGCTTAAGTAATCACAACTGCTCATTTCCTTGATCTGCAATTACTGAAATGTAAATTGTGGCCAGGAATATTCTTGTGCAGCTTTCCCTTGTTTTCAAAAAGCGAGCAAAATTCTCATAATGAGCCAATACGTTATAGTTTGTTTAGTGCTTATAGCAGCCGAATAGCATCTTCCATCATGCATCAGATAAATTAAATACCCAAAGTGTAACGTCCTGAACTCATTATGCTGAGTTAATGATTATTGACTCCATTTACAGTTTGTGTGCCTAAGCCCTGACCTGTCTTTTCTCAGCGTTTTACAGGAAACCAGATAGCAAAGATTTACAGCCAGCACCCCGAGGTCTACGCACAAACAGAGGTTGGCTAGTCTTCCGTTTGCTTATTGGAAATGGGAACTGGGTTTTGCTTGGTTTGGATACTTTTGAAGGGAAGCTTACTAAGCCACTTGCAAAAGGGGATAAGGCAGCAACAGTTCAGAGACCACATCCTAAATAGGAAGGGTCTCTGGGGGAAGAAGCGGTGACAGGCATGATTGTCTTGAGGGTCTTGGTTGCCGGTCTGCCCAGGGTGGGCAAGACTTTGTTCCAGAGCTGCCATGACTACAGCTTTAGGTGTTGCCCCTTCCCCAGGCCCAAACGTAGAGATGGTGATTTGGTATACTTTGGGGGCTCTGGGAGCCAATTTCAGACACCCCCAATTGTAGGCCTCTATTCCCACTGTTGCGTTTTGGTGGCCGCAGAAAAACAGTACTGCCAAATTTGCCAGTCACAGCGAGGGAGGGCTTCTTTGGCAGCCCATGAGCTGTGTATTGCCCCACTCTGGGGTATCCTAACCAGTTAAGAATTCAGTAGTCCTTCTGTAGCTGTGTCCCCATGCCGTAAAACATTTCAACGGCTGACTTTTCTCTTGCCAGTCAGTGGCTAAATGCATAGAAACTTTTCAAGAAAGCAAGCTGGTGTTTTTGCACCTGCTTTTGGGCGTAGCGCTGTCCCCCTCGAGTCAGCTTGTGGGTCCCTGGTTGTACAACCAGCAGCATTTCCCAGCCACCATTTCTGGCAGCCGAGCACCTTCCCTCCTCGCTGCTGTTGGTGGCAGAGGCGGTGGTGGAAGAACGGGACTCCCTGAGTGTGCTTGCCAGGAACTTGGATTCTGGGCCACTGCAGAATGGCCTGAAGTCCAGGAAACTGGAATCAGGAAATCTGTACGTTTCCTGCACAAATCGTATTCTTTATGCATTTAAAGTTTTTGTATCCCATCCTTTACCCTGTCTCAGCAGTAATCCTGCTGCTCATCCTTGCATCTCATTAGCCATGCAGAGGTTTGCTATTTGGAATGCTGTTGGAAGCACTGCTGAGTGATTTAGTACGGCTTGCTTCTGAGTAGACCTGCCAAGCCTTGTCTTGCTTATTTACGAGTAGACTTGTTGTTCATGCTTACTGCTGAGCGGGCATTCTTCTGCCTATGATTTGCTAACATGGAACTGGGGGTTTCAAATTTGATTTCTCAGCTCTGTAGTTTTGCACCTGGGCCTTCCTGCCTCTGGAATGCACTCCGAGAATGTTTCCAAAATGGGATTCTTCCCGGGCTAAAAAGCTTCCTTGCCCTTGTCTTTGTCCTCCTCGCCCACTGAAATTTCGGACTGTTCATGTGGGCTGAACACACATTCTTCCGCTGTTTACTCTTCTTTTGGTTTCCCTCCCCTCGCTTATTGTTCATGCTCCAGCAAGTATAAGATTTTTAGCTCTCCAGTGCGGGGATTGACCTGCTTATTACTCATTAATGGCAGTATGTAAATATGTGTTGTCCACCCTCATCACCTTTCAGTTCAACCTTTGCCCTTCGGCAGTGTGAGGAAGGGACAGACGCCTTTTCCCCAACTAAACAGCAGTCCATTTAGCAACTGGCTTTTCTTGTGGCTGCTCAGTTTTAAGGACTCCTTCCGTAGTGTAGGTGCACATTAAAAGCACAGGAATCTGCCTCGCAGGTGTTCCGTGGTGCAGCCAGGACAGTCCCCTGTGAGAAGCAAGAACTCTATCAAGTGTCAGCTTGCAAGTCTTCTCCACCACCTGCTGGTTTATCTTTTTTACTGGAGATGCTGGGGCATCAATCTGTGGACATCTTTCTGCAATGCATATGCCAGTCTTCCCCAGTTGGCCAGATCTGATAAGAACTGTAGGGGCAGCATGTTGGAAAGAGTTGCACGTACCCTACAATAGAGAGTATATTTGCCCCGAGGTTTTATGGCAGAGCGAATATGAGCTGATTTCCCACTTCCCTTGAATTCTTGCTTTTGCTTCTCTGTCTACAGGCCTTTCTAGACAAGGCTGTTTAACTCTCTGGTGTTGTTGCAGAATTACGACTGGGATTATTCTCCTTTCCTGACTTTCTGTACTTTCTGCTACGTAACCGCTAGACAGCACTGTGGTGTAGCAGAATTCCACAACTGCATTACTGGGAACTAGAAAAGCTTTCTCTCTCTGTATATGGCACTGGCTCGGTCTTTCAGCACTTCCTTGCCTTCTTTTACTTGGGGCATAATCCAGTGAAAGTTATAAGGTCATAAGTAGTGCTTTTGATGAGACCCTTTAATGAAACCTGTTACACCAGGGTTGGGATGAAATGCCGCAGAATCTGTCCCTCTAGCACAGTGGTTCCCAACCTTTTCTGTGCTCCACACCCCTAGAAAATGGTTGATTTATGTTCACACCCCTGCAAAAATAGTATCACATTTGAAGATGAAGAAGTCAAATTTCTAAGTTTTGAATCACAAATTGAATCACATATAGTGCTGCAACTGAACAAATTAAACTAAAAGATAAGCTTTTAACTCAGTGCATAAAATTCAAATATTAATTGAACAATTAGAAAAAAATGTAGAGTAAAATCAATCCCAATTGTGAACATAAAATTCAATGACTTCTTTGTTCCTGCTTCTCATTCACGATTGTGTCAAAACGTGGAACTTTCTTGCTGATTGAGATCTGCAAGGCTGCCTGCGGATTCAGCCAATTCTTAGATTTTGTCTTGATTGACAAAAGAGAATGGAATCCAAATGCAAACAAAATGATCATAAATAATTTTGTTATTGGGATGACTTTTGGTGAAAAATGTTGCGATTTGCTGAGGGAATGCTGGTCCTGCTTGCCAGGAATTTGGACTCAGGGCCACAACAAGACAGACCGGGGTCAAGGGAGCCGAGCCCAGGGAATCTGAAGGATTCCCACCCCTGAAACAGATCCCTCACATATCCCTGTTTACTCCCATGTTAAAGTCACCCACTGAAATGAATGGGGCTTTCAGAGTGTTGCACTTTCATTGGAACATGCTTTTGCTTTAAATTAAAAGCCAAATGCTTGGTATTCCTTTATTTCCTTTTTGTCTTCCAGAGGATCTCTTTGGTTAGCAGTTTTGCAGCCTCGCTTTTCCTTGGGGCGTATGCTCCCATTGACTATAGTGATGGTAAGTGTCTATCTTTCTCAAATAAGTTCAACTCAGCCAAAAGTCAGTGTAGTGTAGTGGGCAGAGTGTTGGACTGGGCACTCAGGAGATCCAGGTTCTAGTCCCTACCTGGCCACAGAGCTCCCTGGGTGGCTTTGGGCAAGTCACTGACTCTCAGACTAACCTACCTCACAGGGCTATTGTGAGGGTAAATGGAGAGACGAATTATATAAATCACCTTAGGTTCCTTTTAGGAAAAAGAGAGTCAGTGTGGTGCAGCAGTTAAGAGTGTAGGACTGGGACTCAAGCAATCCAGGTTCTAGTCCCCCCTCAGCCGTGCTGCCAACTGGGTGACTTTGGGTGATGCTCAGCCCAGTCTACCTCACAGGGTTGTTCTTGTTGTGGGGATAAGACAGAGAGCAGGAGGAGGAGAATGTTGTAAGCTACTTTGAGTTCTTTGTGAGAAAAAAGGTGGGGTATAACTAATAAATAACATGGGATATAATAAATAAATGTGGAACCTCCCCTTTGTTGATTGGGAAGGAATGAATGGATGTGTTCTATTCTCTTGTTTCTTGGTGAATGAAAGAAGCCACAAAAAGGAATATTAAAAGATGCAATAAATAGACCACAAGCCTATACTGTAAACCAGATCAAGCAGCAGCTTGAATTTGGGAATCTGAATTCAAGCCTTGGCTCAGGTGTGGATTATTGGCTTGTCTGGAACAAACAACTCATTCTTTCTCGAGTCTGCCTGGACCAGCATTCCCCAGCATGGTGCCCTCCAGAAGTTTCAGACTACATCTCCCAGCATTCCTGGCCACAGAGTCCAAAATATGTAGAGGATACCAGGCTCAGGCAGGCTGTTGGAGACAGACAGTGCTCCATTTTGATCGGTGCAGTGCAGTTCTCTCCACTCTTCCTCTCTGGCTGGTAAGTGAAATGCAAACATGAGCACCAAATCGCAGGTTTGGTTTCAACTGAAACCAGAGTTGGCTAGTCAGATTCAGGTCATGGGTATTGGGACTGAAAGAGGCAGTTGTTCTTAGTGGATGCTTTAGGGCCAGGGTGACACGGACTCTTCCCTGGGAAATGAGACCTGCATATATTGAGATGGAAGGGCTGGGAGAGCTTTTCTCAAGGCTGCGGTCTGCAGGTGTTCAGGTGGGCCTTGGGAACCGTCAGAGTCTGCAACTTCTGGGGGGGGGGGGAATGGAACAGGAGCCCCAGGTGCCAGAAAAGTTTGTGTGATCCTTGACCCCATTATGTGACATCAGGAGAGAAGGGCTAGCCAACCAGAGGGCTTGTGTAGAGCTAGGCTAGCCAGCTCCCAAAGGGCCCTCCCAGAAAGGAAGGGTCCCAGAGATAGAAGGGTTTTTAGAAAGAAGGTTTCTTAGAAGTAGTTTCTAGTTTGGGTCCAGTGAACCACTCTCTGCAGGCTCGGACTCTTTTGCTGGTTATGGATTGTTGGATGTAAATAAAGAGCTTTGGCCAAAGAGAGTAAACAGCTTTTGCCAAATAATGGTCTGTTGTTCTGAAAGTGGGAAGGAGGACCCCTGTCTCCTGACAGTGGGTAAGAGGAGATTGTGGGTAGCATTGGCCATGGTTCATATTGCTTCCAGTGCAATATCAAATTGTAGTTAAAGGATGCAAGGGAGCTTGCAGTGGAGAGAAGAACAGTGGAAAGAGACTGCAGGAGGGTCCTTCCTGAGCTCTTAACTGTGACTTTAAAAATTGCCAGCATTGTCTGGGCAGCGGGCATGCAGCTGGAGACTAATGGCACAACAGTTGGTGAAAGCTGCATGTGGGACAATTTTCGAGCAGCTATGCTGTGACACACACATGGTCCCCGTGTGCCGCGGTGGCTGCTTTTCCCCGCCCCCCCCACGAGCGGCTTTGCGCGGCACGCATTGCCTAATCACCCTCATGCTGTGTGGGCGACCACATCGTCCGAACCTGGCAGGGCACACGGCAGGGCTGGTTCTAACGCACCCCAGGACCCACGGCTTGTAGTGGGGTTCTCGGGAGGTGTGGAACCCACCCCTTCTTGCTGGGTTTGGACACATGTGTGCCGCAAAGGCAGAGGGGGCGACAAGAAGCCACCGTGGATTCTCTCCCCCTTCGATTGTGTGAATTTGCTCAAATGACATCTGGCCTGCAGCTGCTCTTCACCTTTTAGAAGTAACATCTTTAAAATACTCTTCATATAATCACCCTCTACATTTTTTTGCTAAGCATATGACATTTGGATTGCCAAGGACTTGGTCTGTCGTTCAGCCCTCCACTAGAACAATTCTTTTAAAAAAATCCAGTCAGCTTAAGCTGAAAGAATGTCAGAGCCATAATCTGGAATGGAGTCAGGGTCAGTCGCAGGAGGCACAGATCTCTTTCTGTAAAATGCTTTGCGCTTTAGTCAATTGATTTTTTTAATGCCAAAAAGTTAGATTAGAATGACAAATTATTTCCATTTGTACTGCGTGGATTTTTTTTTAAAGTGAGGAACTTGAGACCCAACAACCTCAATGTGTCATTTGATCTATTGCTCTTTCGAAACAGCAGCAAAACAAACAAAAACCACCCTACATTTTAAAGAACAGCCATGTTATTCCCACCACGAGATGCCTGGATTCTCCCAGTCCTCCACCTCCACGCAAGCAGTGCTAATTTCTATGAACCAGAGCCTTGTAAGGGCTCCGTTGAGTAGACTGGATTGGGAAATAGGGACTTGTCAAAGGCCAGCCAGCAAGCTTTGTGGCAAAGCAGGGATGTGAACCTAGCATCCCAATTGCAAAGCAGCATTCTTTCTATATACAGCCTAATTTCTGGTAGAAATGAAGACGCTACATGTTTTTTTTCATTGCACGTTGCAGAATAAGTCTCTCAGTCACCAGGCAGTGGAGAATATCCATCTGATATCCATGGGATCTTTCCTGTTGCTCTCAGTGGTTGAGCAACTGGATTTTCCTCTGGCTATGCTCATTTTCTTCTTTTCCTTCTTTAAATAGAGGAATTTTGAAAGAAGAAGGAAGAGAAGAAAAATGAGAGGAAATGAGTAATTAAGAACTGGGGTTGGAAGTTGGCATGGAGAGAGGCTCTTCAAGGGAAAAATAACCGGCTGGTGTCAGTAGGAAGAAATAAAGCAGAGAATCTGTGAAATGGAAGCATTTCATTTAAAGGTACAGGAGTCCAGGATAATCTTAGGAGAACTTTGCCCATGGTGGAGAGGCTGGAGCTACAAATGAGGTTTTATGACTAAAAGTTGACCTTCCCCCCTCAGCCACTAGTGAAGTCTTAAAAACAAGCAAGATTTTATTCTTTGGCCAGGGCGACTTAATTTATACTGTTAATTTATATTATTCTATGGAAGTTTATTTATGGATGTGAGCCGCCTCGAGGCTGCGGCGAATGGGGCGGCATAGAAGTCTCCTAAATAAATAAATAAAAGCCACTGGAAATTCACAATTTGAAAAAGATGACAATTCCAGAGAAAAGGACTATTGTCATGCAAACCTGCTCAGAGCAGCACAACAGTCCGTGTGGTTTGATTTATCCATGAGAGCAGCATGTTGTTGGATGGCACCTGTGGGCGCCTCTGCTTGCCGTGGTTTGCTGTGCCGTGTGAACACAGCATCGTGGGTTGTTTGAGGGCACTCACGTGACCCTAAAGCAAGCCATTGGTTATCCGAGGGTTGTTTTCAGCCCATGATGCTGGGTTTGCAGAACATGGCACACTGTGAGCATCCCGCCTCTGCCTGCAGATTCAGAATTGCAGCCGACATTGTCCTCTAAGCTCATGAGGAAATTAACTTGTGAACAGCCCCTCTATGTCACATAAAAAGACAGATTAGGCTAATTTCTGTTCCAACCTTGAACCTCTCTGTAGATGCTAAGAATGCATATTTTAGTGCCTGTCACTAACGTATGTCACATCAGCATTTGAACAGCCCCTACTAAAATGTGAGCTGCATTTCTGGGACCACTTGAGCGACTACTCAATAGTACTTTGCAGTGACATTCTGTATCTGTCCTAGGTACCTATTGGACCTCTCCATATCACCACGGGTCGGATCCACCTTCTCATCCTAACTTTGACCTGCCTTTGCATTGGTCACTGAGCCACCACCTACGAGTGGCTGGCGCTGACCCTCCAGCCAGCCACGTGGCCGTCGAGGGGACTGTCAGTGGCTCAACACACTTGATGTCCCTCTGTGGGGCAGTGCCATTTTTAAACGGCTTGTTAATGAACACAAAACGTCTCTCTACCTTTTTAAATTCCTGTCTCCCAAGCAATATGGATAACACAGAGACCCACCACCACTGGACTTTATTTAATTATGGCGTTGTCAGCCTTCTCTTTCCAGGGTTAACTAGGATTCCCAGAGGCTTACAATAAAGGCCATTCTAATAGCTATCTGTAAAATCTCACAAATAAGCACATTGACTTGGATTATTTTACCAATAACTACTTTTTCATTCGTAATAAAGCTATATTCAACAAACCATCTGAAGGCCATCAGATATCTTGCTCTTTTGACTGAAGGTTGCCCTCTGAATGGAAATGAAGCTTGGCCTTTTTTTCTAACGGGCCAGCCATGTTTGGGGGCCACAGCAGAAGTTGGCAGGCCAACCTAGGAGAAGGCTCCTGCTAGATGGCATCTAAGGGACCGCTGGTAATGCTGGACCAGAAGGGTGGCCTTCGAGCTCTTCTTTGGTGTTTAACACAGAGCAAGACCTTGAGGGCTGAGTGTCAGGATGTGAGGCAGCTTCAGGGCCCCGTTTTCTGGCCAAGGTTAGAAGAGCAGCCCTGGTAGCCTATGCCAGCTATCAGGGCCCTTAACGAACATCACCTGGGAGTCCTGAGGGAAGAGTTATATATGAACCAGTTCTGCCCTCCAGAAGCTGCCTCAACAATGAGGGTCTTGTGGCTTGTTGTGGTGCTTCCTGTTGCTATGCAAAACCTTGGCTCTGGACCTACCCCTTTCCTTGTTCTGGCTCCTGCACCCTGCTGTGAACCCTTGGCT